CAAGTCGGAAGTAGAATCGTCTGGGCCCGAAAGCCACTTCTGGATCTGTGCCGGCATCTCGTCCAGGGCAGCCTCTGAGGTGGCAGACAGAGGGAAGATGAGCGGCATGCCCTCTGCTGCCGCCGTGCTTTTCTCTTCAGCTCCATTGCTGCCATGGCTTCCATTGACGCCATTTGTGCCGTTGGCCAGTTGGACACCATTCTTTTCGCTGTTGTTTGTAGCAGAATGACCACTGGCACCGTTGACAATTCCATTCGTAGCTCCGTTGACAGCTCCGTTGACAGCTCCGTTCACAGCTCCGTTCACAGCTCCCTTAGTCAGATACCCAATATGGTCAGAAAGGTACTGGTCCAGCGATTCAAGGATAACGTGACAGTTGGTACCACCATAACCGAAGGAGTTGAGCGACACTCTGTGAGCGCCTTTTGAACCCTCAGGGAGCAGAGGGACAAGATCTAGTGGCACCTAACAAAGAAGGTAAGTACGATGATGATGTATGGCATGCAGATGCATAAGAGCAATTACCGAAATCTGCCTCTCGTCCAGGTTGAGGCCTGGCTTCTGCTCGATGAAGTTCAGGTTGGGTGGGATCTGCTGGTGTTTGAGGACCAGAATCGACTTGATCAAGCCGGCGAGACCACTGGTCGCCTCCGTGTGGCCAATGTTGGTCTTAACTGAGCCCACATACAAGTTCCGGGTCCTGGTCTTCTCAGTGAAGACGTTGCCCAGGGATTGCACCTCGGCGACATCACCCGCCTTAGTACCCGTACCGTGGGCCTCCACATATGGAGTCTCGGCAGGGTCGAGATGCACATCGCCGTACACTCTCCGGATCAGAGCCTCCTGGGCATCCGGGTTCGGGAGCGTGACTCCATTAGTCTTGCCATCTTGGTTGGCGCCGGAGTTCCGAACGATGGCGTGGACGGTGTCGCCGTCTGCAAGTGCGTCTTTCAGCCGCTTAACGATGACGACAGCAACGCCTTCTCCGCGACCGTATCCGGCTCCTCTGCTATCGAATGTATAACACTTGCCATCTGGGTTGAGCATACTGGAAGAGTGAAGCCAGTCAGTCAGGGCTGCAACGAAAGGTTACCGTTTAAACCAAAATTGAGTGAACGTACCCGCCTGAGCTCATAATGACATTTTGATCAGGGTGCAAGAGGACTTCTGTGCCGCCAACAATGGCTATCCGAGACTGTCCTGTTCTAAGAGCAGTGCAGGCTTCGTGAAGCGCGACCAAGCTACCAGACTTTTACGCAGCAGTGTTGTCAGCCCCGGGCTCACCTTGCGAGCGAGCATCCGTGAACTTACACAGCCAGTATCAATAGTCATTGAGATACCCCGAAGATCGAAGAAATGCGACACACGATTCGCAATGATAGCTTCTCCTGTTCCGGGAATGTGGAATTGTGACAAACCCTCGAGGTTCTTGTATCCGATCCGATCGTAGTCGCGCGCGAAGAGGGCGGCATATACTGCGGTGTCGGAGCCCTTGATGCTCTCCATAGGGATTCCGGCATTCTCCAAGGCTTCGAATGTCGTCTCTAAGAGAATCCTCTGCTGGGGATCTGTGACGTCGGCCTCGTGGTGTGCAAAGCCGAAGAACCTCGAGTCGAAATCTGTGACGTCCTGCGACATGAAGTATCCGCTTTTAGTGTTGTATGATTGGATGGAGGTGCCATCAGGGTGGTAGAATGAATCAACATTCCAACGGTCCTTCGGCACAACTGACCATCCTGAGCCACCTTCGCTCAAGAGTCGCCAGAAGTCTTCGGCGTTTCCTACGCCTCCTGGAAGGCGGCAGCCGATGCCGATGATAGCAACGGGCTCAAGGTCCGCCATCGTGCCGTGTGTGCTCAAGGTACGAAGGCAGAGCTTGTAAATGGACGTTACTACAATTGTGAAGGTAGCTATGGGTATAAGACTCCAAGACTGACAGCGAGGAGAACCGAGAGAACGACATCCACGGGACATATCAGTCGCTTCTTAAGAATTTAAACATGTAGCCATTCAACTCTACATGTTGTTCTTCGTCAGAAACCCAGCCGAACGAAGCACTGGCGGCTTCTTTGTGCCTGACATGTGCATATCCTCTTCACTTCGTCTCCAATCCAGCCTCTTGCAAGGCGTTCAGGGCCCAGAGCATTGTCGAGATACCTGGTCATTTTGATTCGTGAAGAAGACCGCGCATAAGCGGTGAAATGGGTCGGCGAGGACCTCGATGCGCAACTTGGTCAAATTTCTGGGGTAAAAATGCTTGCCGTTGGGGTCCCGGGGCCTCTCTTGGACAAAACGTGCCCTCGGAGGTTATGTCCCACTCTCAGCAACGTGGAGGTTTCTTGTGATTATCCGGATCCTGAATCTGCGAGCCGGCCCACAGCTGTGCAGTGTCTCCACCACCGTGAAGCCAATCCGCATAGTTTTTTCGAGTAAGTGATAGACGTTGAACGGGAAAGATACGACGTATTCCGGGGAATGGCCCCGTGTTTAGGCTAATAGTCTATGGTTGTCATACTATAAGTAGATATATTATAGAGTAGTATCGGAAGCTGTCCATCTCGGCAGCTATAGCGGCAGCGGTCAGTCGACGACTAGACCTTAATATAGGTTAGGTCCACCTAGTAGGTTATAGACTGAGCTAGATTATAGGCTAGGCTAGGTTTACACCTTTAATAGTCCTAACCTATTAGTATTAGTTTAATATTTTAACAAATTAACCTAGAACCTAGTAGATAATGTAAACTTTAAAGCAGACTAGAAAATTTCCTACTATTAGGAGGAAGCTTCTTTTCATTCAAGTAGTTTCTATATAATTAATCTTATCATCTTTCTAAAATCTACTAAGAATATTACTATAATAACATAAAATAGGGCTAAGACTTTAACCTAATTTAAACTCAGCCTAAACCTATATTTTTAGGGTTAGGCTGGGTCTTAACTTTTAGGAACCTAGAACCTATCAGGCTGGGTTGACTAAGGCTGGTACTCGTCCTAACCTAACCTATGGTAAGGCCTATAGACGACTACTTTTTCCGAATAAGGTGGCTGAGCCTCAATCTGCTCGTTGGCTTACTACCGTTGGCTACTTTCACGAATTAGGAAATAGCATGGGCTAACGAACGAACGATGCCCTTACTTCGGACGCTAGCACTATAAGCAAGATAGTTCTCGTGAGGCTTATAGAACTCGGAAACAAAGACGCGTCAATAAGGTGGTGTGGTGCACTCGCTTTATTATAAACATCCTCTATTATAAACATCCTCTATTGTTATACGCCAAAAGAAAAGAAAAGAAAAAGAAGAAGACAACAGGAACACGTGCCTCAACCGGGATTGCTGCTCAAGACAAGGGTTCATCAGGGAAGCGAGCCATAGGAGAGCTATTCTCTCACATTTCTTGGCACAATTCCCTCTGCGGAATAATCAGGGAGTGGTACAACCTAGGGACTACAGTACTTTGCTGTCGACGTTTACCCTGAGATATGAATGGGATATGCTTCGGGAAACCAATGAAGCCCGTCCGTGTCTGCAAGGGCTATGGTGGCTACCTACAAATAGGGCGACGTTGGCTGTGGTGCCACACCTCTCCACTTTACTGGGTTTATTCGGGGGCGATCCTGGGATTCTGGGGAGGGCGATGTGAGAACTGGCCTCCAAGCATAAGCCACTCCCGCGGTTGTTGACCAATGTCAGACAGCGCTAAGCCGTTGACCGACACGGAGAGGCCATGTCGTGGATCTGCCACGCCTCGGCCCTTCCCCGCTCCGGACTGATGTGGTCTCTGGAGGCTCCATGGATTACTGACTCTGCCTTCTACTCGTACACTGTGCAAACGAGAATGGATCCAGGCCCTCCTCGCCTTGCACGCTGCGAACGTAGAAAGGGCGCGGAGCTACAGACCTCCGGACCACGCCATGTATCAAAACGACGCTCCATGGTACGGTGTTACACCCTGAATAAAGTAGCTAGGAAAGTGAACACGAGAATGTTGGTTGAAGACGGAAGTCACCGAGTCATAGCTTGATTGAACGCCCTCGAGGGATACAACTTCACAGGCTGTGTATTGTGTATTCTGTCAAGAGTTCTAAGTCGCATGCCAAGTCCTGCAGGGAACTCGGCTCATTACTGTTGTTGCTGAACGTGCAGAATGCCGCCCACCGAACTGCCCAGCGCCGTCCTTCGAGTGTACCGACCAGCTGGTTGTAGAACTCCAACTTGCTAGTTGCCATTTCCTTCCGTTCACTCGCGATGTTCATTTTACCTTGCCTGTATTGAAACTGTGACAAAAGGATGTGTAATGACGGCTTGCACACGCCGGTGGGCTACCGTATTGAGTCCTTTTTGACGATATACCAACTTTGTAGCTCCGGTCACCTCTCGTCACACCACAGGCAGCTGCTCCCCAGATACTATCATCAAAAACCACAGATTACCCGCACGGCTCTCACGACATGCTCACTCAGCCATGCAGCTGATCCTGAGGCCAGTGGAGAAGAGTTCTTATCTACCCAATCCGGGCGCCAACGTTGGCCCCTCCGCCCTCTTTCGTGAAGAAAGAACAAGTCTCCGAATACCCACACCTTAGCGAACGCAACTAGCTCATAGCTATTGTCCGTTCTCTTGCGGCACAATACCCTTCTTGTACATTGTAACGCCACATGCCGCATCCGGCACAGACTAGTGCCTGGTGTCGAGTTCGGCGGCCCCCAGAGGTCCTCGGGGGCCGGCCCCGGGCTTTGGCAGTACGCCCTGCCAAGCATGTCTTGGTGCTTTGTTCAACTCCAGGTCTCTAACTCCAAGTCTTCACAGGATTCAAAACGAAATGCGAGTACCTGCGGGGGACGCGACTTTCTCCGCAACCAAAGACGTTCGCAATTGGAAAGGTATCCGGCGACCAGCCTGCCCACACGATGAGGTCGAACATGATACAGCCGAAACATCTTCTTCCTTCGTTGCTGGAAGGGTTGATGTGTGGGAGCCCTTTCACTACCAGACTTGGTAATGTCATCGGACGCGTATGATATAGTCATTGTCGGTGGTGGGACAGCGGGTCTCATTGTCGCCGCTCGACTATCTGAGGACCCGGGTCTGCAAGTCGCTGTGCTTGAGTCTGGAGAGGACGACAGCTCGAACCCAGATCTCCAAACTCCCGGCCTGTATGCTTCTTTGCGAAATGGTCCATTGGATTGGAGGTTCAAGTCTACCTATCCAGTGAGTTTCTCACCGCTCTCTATGCATGCCTTTACTAAGACAATGCTTTCCAGCCACCACATGGCGATAGACCACTTTCTTTAGCATCAGGCCGCACCTTGGGAGGCACAAGCGGCATCAATGGCTTCGTCTTCCAGCCAAGCTCAAAGTCTAATCTCGACTTCTGGACCGAGCTTGGGAACAGTGGCTGGGGCTTCGAGGCCATGGACCGGGCTGTGCGCAAAGCCGTGACTGTCCACGGCCCGTCTGGAACAACCCCACGAGGCTCCGGGCCGATTCAACTAGTCATCAATGAGTCGGAAATAGAGGCCTCGTGGGTCAAGACTTGGAACGATAGCCTGGCACAGCTTGGACAATCGCCATGCGATGCCTTCTCCGGCGAGCAACACGGCCCAATCACGAATTTTGATACTGTTGATCCGGTTTCCAACAAGAGGTCTTTCACGACCAATGCATACCTTGACCCTGTTTGTTCTAGAAGCAACCTCACTGTCCTGACTGGATCGACCGTGAACAAAATCGTCTTCAAGGAAAGAAATACTGGAGCTGGGCATATTGCAGATGGCGTTCAAGTGACTTCGAAGGACGGGAAGCAGAGCATCATTAAGGCTCGCAAGGAGGTTATCGTCGCGGCAGGCGTCATCAACTCCCCCAGGATCCTCGAGCTCTCTGGCATTGGCGGAAGGTCGGGTTTGCAGAACCTGGGTATAGACTCGATTGTCGACAATCCCCACGTTGGAGAGAACTTCCAGAACCACTGCTTCTCAGGCGTCGTGTTTCCAATCCGAGACGATGTCGATACCTTGGATGCATTCATCCGAAAAGAGCCCAGCGCAGTTGCCGCAGCCGAGAAGACGTATGCGAGCGGAAAAGGAGGCCCGATCGGAAGAAGTTCTACTCTCTTGAGTGCGCAAATGCCTATGACCGATATCACAGACGAGCATGGCATGAACGAGATACAGCAGCTCCTGAAGGAGGCCGCAGGCAAATCAATGGGGCCTTCGGTTGCCACGCCAGCGTTCCGGAGGGCTTGGGACTCGTACATCGAAAGGAACCTCACCAGCAAAACAGAGTCACCGGGGCGGTTCATGTTCATCCCATGCTATTCGCCATTTGATGTGGCTGATCCATCGTACCGCGCCCCAGGGAATCACTTCACCATTGTCACGATGCTTTCGACGCCTCTTCCTCGAGGCTCCGTGCATATCAATAGCAGCTCACTCGAGCATTCAGACAAAAACACAGGGATGACACTGGATGTAGGCTTCTCCCCAAGCCCTCTCGACGTAGAAGTCCTCGCCCGGTACGTCATGTACGCCGAAAAGTCCCTGGCTCGACTAGAGCCCTTCGCGTCTCTCCTTAAGCCGCGCGAGAATCGCTTCACGCATATCGAGGAGGCAAGAGAGTATGTCAAGGCTAATACTGCTTGGACGCATCACTTTGTTGGTACATGTGCTATGATGTCGCAAGAGATGGGAGGCGTTGTTGATGATAAGCTACGTGTTTATGGGTGTGCGAATCTTCGAGTCTGCGATGCCAGCGTTATACCGGTCGTGCCGAGGAGCAACCCTCAAGCTGTGGTGTATGGGGTGGCCGAGCATGGCGCTGAGATTATCAAAGCGACACTGGTGTGAGTATGTCTGAGGTCAACTGAGGATGGGTTCCTGGCCACAGGCACGAGAGAGCTTTATTAAAACTGTAAACCGGCCTCTCCCAACTGCCTTGCGTGAATTCTGCAAAGTCGGCGGCTGTATGAAAGGAAATGCCGTCTTTGGTTGGCCTGTAGCACCGTGGCCCCAAGAACAAAATCTGCTTACCAAATTGTTCAGAAATAACCCTGTCTCGCGCGGATTGTTGACTGGGGTCGGTAGCGGTCTTCAGAGATGACTGCATAGCCGGATGCCCAGTTGCCCAGGATTGGAACTCGCTGGCGGTCCAATTGGTGTGCGACATCTCCCCATTCTTAGGGGCTCTCCGCTCTGTCCCGCGCTTCAAAGGTTCCCACTCGGCGGACAGGCCCCGCAGAGCTGCTGGACCGGTGGCCTGTTGCGCGAGTGAGACGGGAATCCCATGTGCATTTTAGCTACATTCTGATGATACGTTTGGAAGGGGACTTGGGCCAGCTGCTAGCGGCAGTCAAGGCGCGTGTCTGTTTCGACTCCGACGAAGGGCATCGCCTAACTGGATACACGGACAGTAACCGACAGCAACTGGCATGAATACCGTGCTGGACTGGATTATCACGGTACCTCGAGTGGGTTCTGAACCCTTGCTGTTGCTTTCACTTCACTTGTGCAGATAAGTACTGCCACGGCGCCCTTGTCCCAGGCGCGTTGTAGCCCAATTCTCTTGCTGCGAAAGGGAAGCTTGCTTACTCCTTGTGGAATAACTTTTGTTTGATCCGTGAAGTGGTATATCCCTTGACCTGGACACACGCAGCTCGTTCTGGTACAACCTGCCCTTTGAAACCATCACCAGCCGGCGACGACACATGCACATGCCCGCAGAGTCGCGCCTTCCTCTGCAGAATCGTCGTGCATCACTCCTTCCCTCCAACTCGCCTGCCTTTGCCATTGCCTTGCCTCTCCTGGACAATCGATTCTGGCGGTTTCTTTTCGATCTCGAATCGCTGACCTCGACTGCGTCTCGTCATCCAGCAGTCGTTCTAGCCAGGTCGTTCTCGTCACAGTGCCTGGGCCCCTCAGTTGGGTATGAACCAACATACTGACAAGGAGCTAGAGCTGCAAGCTCCAGATCCCGCTGCTGCTGCCGTTGCGCCAACCAATGGCGAACGTCGCGAGGATGCTGGTTTCGTAACACCGGTCCAGGATGTTAGCCTAAGCAAGACCATCGACGAGAAGATTCCGCCCTTTGCTGCCGACCACAACGTACAGGACGAACAAAATGCAGTGCTGGCACAGACCCGGAGTCATGCTACATCTGCCAGCGTTGCTACCACGAAGCAAAGGAAGCCATGGTACCAAACCTGGAATCCATTGCGCTGGGGTGCGATCCCCCCCATTCCCAAAGAGCCCATCGTCTCGCGCGAAGCCAAGGCAGGGCTCTGGAGTAAACTGACATTCTCTTGGATGGGACCCATCATGACCGTAAGTCCATGAAACCCTAAGTTCCAGCGAGAGTGCCATCGTTGCGGCCATGCCTTGCTTTGGTGACCCTCAGCGATGCGTCCTGCATGTCCTGTCTTCGTGGGGACGAACTATCCAGCGTTGCAAGCATATTTCCTCCCGTAGCCAGGGCCCTTCGATCGTGATTCTTCCATCAAGTGCTGACAAGGCTATCCGCCTCGTAGGCCGGTTACAAGAGGCCCTTGCATAAGAACGACATATGGACTGTGCATCCAAGCCGTTCTGCAGAGCCTTTGACGGCCAAGGTGCAAGAGTCATTCAAGCAGCGTGCAGCTAGAGGCGACAAGTACCCCCTATTTTGGTCCCTCCACGAAGTTTTCTTCTTCGAGTTCTACTTTGGTGCTGGTGCGGCAGTTCTAGCCGTTATCCTGCAATGTGTTGGCCCATTTGCACTCCGATTCCTCATCCAATTCGCCGCAGAGGCCTGGGTTGCCAACGAACGAGGAGACCCCGCCCCTCCTTTGGCTGAAGGGATTGGCTGGGCCATAGGAATCACAACCATTCTCATCCTGCAGAGTCTGGGAATTGGTCACTTCATGTACAACGGCATGATGGTCGGAGGCCAAAGCCGAGGTGTCCTGATCGGGCTCATCTATGAGAAGGCTATGGTCATCTCGTCTCGAGCTAGGGCTGGTGACCATGCTGAGGCCGACAAGGCGCAGGAGGAGGCCAACAACGACCAGAAAGATAAGAAAGGGAAGAAGAACAAAAACGATGTTCCGGTCAGAGACGGCCTTGGCTGGGGGAACGGACGCATCATCAACCTCATGAGTGTGGACACGTACCGTATCGACCAAGCCAACGGCAATTTCCACCTAGTCTGGGCTGCGCCACTCGCAGTATTGATCACTATCGCCCTTCTCATCGTCAATTTAACATATAGCGCTCTTGCTGGTTTTGCTCTCATTGCTATTGCAATGCCGCTCCTTGGCCGTGCTGTTCGGAGCCTTCTCGCCCGCCGCAGCAATATCAACCGTATCACCGATCAGAGGGTGTCACTCACGCAAGAAATCCTGCAGGCTGTTCGCTTCGTCAAGTTTTTCGGTTGGGAAAAGGCTTTTATGGACAGGTTGGGAGAAGTTCGCCGCAAGGAAATTCGTGCTATCCAGTATCTGCTCGCGCTGCGCAATCTCATCAATGCCGTGAGCATGGCGATGCCGCTTTTTGCGTCTATGGTTGCCTTCATCTGCTTTTCCCTGACCCAGAACACCATGCCACCCGCTGAAATATTCTCGTCGCTAGCGCTTTTCAACACCCTGAGAGTCCCTCTAAACCTGCTGCCTCTGGTCATCGGCCAGGTTGCTGACGCATGGGGCTCTATGGCTAGGGTTCAGGAGTTCCTTCGTGAAGAGGACCAGGAGGAGACTGCCGTTATGGATGATAAGATCGCACATGCCGTGGACGTACGAGACGCTTCTTTTACTTGGGAGAGGACTCGCACCCAGGACTTTGAGACTGATGATGAAAAGGGCTTGAAAGGCAAAGCGCAGACGGATGCTAAGAAGTCAACCTCCACAGAAGAAGGCAGCACTCTTCTGAAAGAACGGGAGCCCTTCAAGTTGCACGATCTCAGCTTCCAGGTCGGCAGAAACGAGCTCGTTGCTGTTATTGGGAGTGTTGGTAGTGGCAAGAGCTCACTTTTGGCAGCACTCGCCGGCGATATGCGTCAAATGACTGGCCAGGTGACCTTCGGTGCCAGCAAGTCTTTCTGCCCACAATATGCATGGATTCAGAACGCAACGCTGCAGGAGAACATCACTATGGGAGGAGACATCGATAAAGAGTGGTATCGAGATGTCATTCATGCGTATGTTCTTCCACTCTACCCTTGTCTTTCAAAGCTCATTTCACTAACTCTCAAAGATGTGCTCTTCAAGCCGATCTGGACATGTTGCCTCATGGCGATGCCACTGAGATTGGCGAACGGGGTATTAATATCTCCGGTGGCCAGAAGCAACGTCTCAACATTGCAAGAGCTATCTACTTTAATGCAGATATCGTGCTCATGGATGATCCCCTTAGTGCCGTCGACGCCCATGTTGGCAGGCATATTTTCGATAATGCAATCCTTGGGCTCCTCAAAGACAAGTGCAGGATTTTAGCAACCCATCAACTCTGGGTTCTGAGACGCTGCGATCGCATTATCTGGATGGAGAACGGCACCATTCAAGCCGTTGATTCCTTTGACCATCTTTTACAAGGCAATGCCGCATTTCGAACTCTAATGGAGACAACGGATTCCGACAAGAAGGACCAAGTCGACGCGAACCAAACGCATGCTGTGGCGCTCAGAGACGAAGACAAGGACAAAGATGATAAGGACAAGCAAGCCGCCCTTATGCAGCAAGAGGAGCGTGCTACTGCGTCTGTGTCTTGGTCAGTCTATGGGGCCTTCATCAGAGCATCGGGGAGTCTTTTCAACTTACCAACCATCCTGTTCCTGCTGCTGCTATCCCAGGGAACGAACATCATGACCAGTCTCTGGCTATCCTACTGGACGTCGGGAAAGTTTGGCTTAGCAACGGGAGTCTATATAGGCGTCTTTGCTGGGCTGGGATTCCTTCAAGCGTTGATGATGTTTGTCTTCTCCGTCTCTCTGACAGTTCTTGGAACACGATCCAGCAAGATCATGCTCAAACAAGCCATTTCAAGGGTGCTACGAGCACCTATGTCATTCTTTGACACGACCCCGCTAGGCCGTATCACGAACCGTTTCTCCAGGGACGTGGACGAGATGGATAACAATCTTGCGGATGCTCTGCGAATGTACCTCTTCACCATCGCCATGATCACATCGGCCTTTGGTCTAACTATTGCTTTCTTCCCATTCTTCGCTGTGGCCCTCGTGCCACTTTATATCATGTTCATCTTGTCAGCTGGCTATTACCGCGAATCAGCACGCGAAGTCAAGCGTTACGAATCTGTGCTGCGTTCCAATGTCTTTGCTAAGTTCAGCGAAGGCCTCACTGGCGTTGCGACGATTCGCGCCTACGGACTCAAGGACCATTTCGTTGAGGATCTGAGGAAGTCTATTGACGGAATGAACTCTGCTTACTACCTGACCTTTGCTAACCAGCGGTGGCTGTCTATCCGGCTCGACACCATTGGCAATCTACTGGTCTTTACTGTGGGCATTCTAGTGGTGACATCACGGTTCAGCGTGAATCCCTCCGTTGGCGGTCTTGTGCTCAGCTACATCTTGGCTATTGTTCAAATGCTGCAGTTCTCTGTTCGCCAGTTTGCCGAAGTTGAGAACGGAATGAATGCTGTCGAGCGCTTGCATTACTATGGCACGAAGCTGGAAGAGGAGGCGCCTGAGCATACTATTGAAGTTAGGCCTAGTTGGCCCGAGAAAGGCGAGATTGTCTTCGACAACGTGGAAATGCGATACCGAGAGAACCTCCCTCTTGTGTTGACCGGTCTTAGTATGCACATTCAAGGAGGTGAACGGATTGCTGTGGTAGGCCGCACGGGGGCTGGTAAGAGTTCCATTATGAGCACGCTCTTCCGACTGGTGGAGGTCTCTGGTGGCTCTATAACCATTGACGGGCTTGAAATCTCGACAATTGGATTGCATGATCTGCGTTCACGTCTTGCTATCATCCCACAGGATCCGACGCTCTTCCGTGGAACGGTTCGGAGCAACCTGGACCCGTTCAATGAGCACACCGATCTGGAGCTATGGTCGGCCCTCCGCCAGGCTGACTTGGTGCCTGCGGAGACGAAAGACGTCGACTATAAGATGGATTCGTCCAGGATTCATCTCGATAGTATCGTTGAAGAAGAGGGCCTTAACTTCTCCCTGGGCCAGCGTCAACTCATGGCTCTTGCCCGCGCGCTCGTGCGCAATTGTCAGATCATCGTGTGCGACGAGGCAACGTCCTCCGTGGATATGGAAACAGACGATAAGATTCAGAACTCTATTGCCACCGGGTTTAGGGGCAAGACCCTTTTGTGTATCGCCCACCGCCTGCGTACTGTTATCGGTTACGACCGCATCTGCGTTATGAACGCGGGCCGCATCGCCGAGCTGGACACGCCGCTCAAACTGTGGCGCAAGGACGGCATTTTCAGAGGCATGTGTGATAGGAGTGGGATTCGCGTGGAGGATATCACGAGAGCGATGGAAGACCTTGCGGCGCTGAGGGAGGCTGAGCCGAGTGACCCCTCGTACTCGGGGGACGAGAAGGAAGAGTGAATTCAGATGTAGAAAGACGCTACACAAGCACGGATTTAAAACAAGCGACTTGATTCCTTTTGGTTTTCCCTCAACTCCGAGATCCTGTCAATGTACCACAGGGATCTCTTTTTAGATGAGATTACCCTTGTTTGAAAGAGTATTTTTGGTTTCCTCTTCTGCCTGCGTAATGCTGTAGGGCGGGCGTTAACAACGGAAAGTTATTCCTATTCCGCCACGCCCCTCAAATTTCCTTGGGAGACGGAAAGTTTAATATCAAGCAAGAGAATAAGTACCGGAGCTTGAAAGAGCAGAAAGTGGACGGAGACAAATGTAGCTGGAGACAACAGAAACTGACTCTATCGATACCGAGTATAGAGGGGTCAGGAGGACTCGGTTTCCTCTTCAAGGAGAGCACTTACACTCCGTACCGCGAGAAGGTGCCCCCCGTCGCGGAGCTATTATATCTTAATGTTCTATATAAGTAAGAAGGTCTTTGACTTTAAGGGTGTCGCCAATCTTTTACAGACTTCAGTACTCGAGTAGCGAGGAAGACGAGTTAAGCGAGTTAAGCTCAAATATTAAGTTCTTGTATATAATGCGTTAAGTTTATAAGTATAGTATCCATTGGCAGTTGCGGTTTAAGCACACTACATACTTGGTAAGTATATGCTGTGTAAAGTACTAGATACTTATTTAGTCCAATATATAGTATCATATATCTATCAATTTTGTTCGTACTACTGTACTTAGTATCTAGTAAGCGTTTAGTGGCTTGATCGAGTATGTACATTGTATTTGGGTGTACCTTGCGAACAAACTTGAAGTACTACTAATACTACTTACATAGTACTTATAGTTACTAGTAGTAGCGTATATTTCCTCAGGACTTACCTGTTTCCCTCTTCCCTTTTCTGTCCGGACAATTTTAACGAGTAGAGCGAAAAAAGGGAACAGAAGTCATAAGTATGTATATGACATATGTATTCCGTTATATTAATATGCCTCCTTTTTCAACCGAGGGTAACGTCTGCCCATGGTGAAGTCCCTGGCCCCACTCTACTAAGCCGCTACTATAGACTTATCGTTCTAGGAAGTTTTAAGTGAGACGCAAGTCACTCTATACCCTAGTACTTAGTAAGAAGTACTATGTGCATAGTACAGGACGTACATAACCTACTAGCGTCAGAGGACTTGAAGCACGAGGTTCTTCGTTGAAAGGAGCTCTCAAGTGCCCTGACTGAGCTTACAAGTATGTACCATGTACTACTAACTACTAACTCGTTGATACCCGGACGGAGGGAGGTACTCACTTTCTAGTCCCACTCATGCAGGGTTAAATGTTTTGCCACTCGGATGGAGTACTCGCCCTTAGTCCGCTTCAAGAAGGGAAGAAGACCTGATTACCAGCACTTTCAAGTGGAAAACGAAACCCGATTTGGTGATAGCACGAGCTGTCCATCTAAAGCTTATAGTACATACAATACACACTTACTAGTACATAAACCACATTTCGTTCGACGTCAAACAAAAGTCTTTCGAAGGACTGTCCATATATGTACCTAAGTAATTGCTCCTCCAGCACCAACTAAGCCCAATTCACCCAAGATTGCTGCGGCTGTTACGATAGACAACGACAGGATCTTTACATTTCCTTCACTACAAAGGTATCATCGGCTACAAGGATCACTCCTAAAGCCATGAAGCTCCTTTACCCTAACTCACTCAAACTGGACGTGAGTGGCCTTGAAGGCTTCGGCGTCTCACTACATTGTTACGATGTCCAAAAGCCCGTTCCTGAAGACCTCATCGACGCCGAAATCCTCGTTACCTGGGTCAATACTAACCTCCCTGATGCTGCCAAGCGAATGTGGAATCTTCGCTGGGTTCAATCACTTTGGGCCGGCCCTAACGGTGAGCTCTCGGCAGGCTTCGCACCGAATGTTATCATCACGGCCGGCACCAATTTGCATGACGAGACTGTTGCTGAACACGCACTTGCACTTTTACTCAGCGCCGCGCGACGACTTCACGAGATGCGTGACTACCAATCTCAAGGAAAGTGGCCAGGACATTTGGGTGGGCCACTTCCCGACCGACCCAAGGGCTCATTTACTTCACTCAAAGGAGCCAACGTCCTCATATGGGGCATGGGAAATATTGGCCGCAAGGTCGCGCCTCACTTGATAGGCTTGGGGGCGAATGTCCGAGGGGTCGGCCTCTACGAAGAAATCATAGACGGGATTCAGGTTCAGACGAATGCAGCATTACCTGACTTGCTACCCAAAACTGATGCGTTGATAATGATCCTTCCCGGTTCCAAGGCAACCTTCAATGCTCTTAATGCTGAACGCCTAGCTCTGCTTCCGAGTCACGCCTGGGTGATCAACGTGGGGAGAGGAGTCTGTGTGGACGAGGATGCACTTGCCGATGCACTCCAAAAAGGTCAAAAGGGTGGCATCGGTGGTGCAGCCCTGGACGTCTTTCACGAAGAGCCGCTGCCTAGATCTTCTCCACTGTGGAACGCGCCGAATCTCATTATGTCCCCTCATGCCGCTGGCGGCAGACCCCGATACTCGGAGATGCTCATTGCAGACAATCTGCGTCGTTTCCTGGCAGGACAACCTCTCCGGAACAACGTATCAAGCGGGGGGATGTACGCATCATCAACACCACAAGAGAAAACTCCCGTCAAGGCCTCATTGTAGCCTCCTAGGGTAAGAGCTAGGCTAGGGTCCCGGTGAGCGGGCGAGAAGAGTACTCGGGACTTAGACGTTAGGGAGATTGTGCGACGCTGGCAAGAGAAGTCCGCAGGCCAATGAGTACGATATGCGTCTCTGGCCTCCGAGTATTTTTCTCATGATCCCGAAGAGCGGGGCTAACAATATTATGTTTCTGGGGATCGATATCCATAAAGGACTAATCTGGAAATGACTTTCGGGTCCACACATCAGTACCATGTACATACATAGTATTTTGTACGGCATAAAGACAAAAGAACCAAAAGAAGCTACCTCGAGATTTCAATCTGGCATCAGGAAATACAATGCATTTCAAGGTCATGGTCTTTCGAGGTCCGAAAATTCCCGGGTTACCCCGTAACGGGCTGCATATGTCGTCTTTCAAAGTGAGCTCTGAGCCTACGAGAGAATGAATAGAACTTCTCGTACTTCGTATTTACTGTGTATTTTGCGGGGAAAGACCTGGGGTATCTTGGCAGAACTTGAGGTACGGATGGGATATTTTTAACCCTAAATAGGTTGTGTACCCCGTCCAATGAGCACGCATCAGCGGTACCAAAATAAATGGAACGACTCAAGCTACTCGTGCTTTGCCACTCCTCCAACTCAAAGCGTGCGAGCAAAGGTAAAAGTTGATCAATCTGACATTTCGCAGCACTGGCATCGGAAGATGAGATATTAGTCCTCCTGGGAGCTACATGCCACATCCGCAGCATTCTTCCACTCAGGGCCTTTCAATTCCCAGGAAGTTGGTGGATATCAGACGTCCAGACGGCAGAACATTTTCCCCAGGACAGACATAGCAACACCAAAGGTTGGCTTGATTGTCGACCAGCTTATCTTCCAAGTTCATCACTATCACTTGTGGAATGTTCCCCCGAGAGAACCCGGAGGACCTAGTCATAAGGCGTCTTCCAGCTACGAATCAGGCTCATGTGCATGTACTGTATTAGAGGGTCCTGGGTCCACCCGCAATCGCTTGTAGAATTGGAAATCTGTTCTGAGATCCTGTCCTCACTCCGACCTATATCATAATAGCTTCCAGCGTACTCTCTTCATCTCTTTGTCTACATAGTATAGCTCTAGTCTGTTTTACAGAGCGTGTATTAAGCGAACTAGAAATGGCACTCGCCCGAAGGACCCCGATTCTGCTCGCCCCAGGGCCGACGGAAATAGACCCTAGAGTCCTGAAGTCGATGGGCGCGGTTGCAGAGTCACACTTCGCCCAACCCTTTTGCAATACCTTCGGCGATGTATTGACAATGCTTCGCGTACTATTCCAAAGCGAAGATCCCAATGCACAGCCATTTGTTATTGGAGGGAGTGGCACCTTGGGGTGGGACTTTGTTGCCACGAACTTCATCGAACCGGGAGAAGCAGTCCTTTGTCTCAGCACCGGATACTTTTCCGATGGGTTCGAGATGTGTCTCTCCACCTACGGAGCTCGAACAACAAGAATGGCAGTCCCCATTGGGACCGCACCCGATATTTCCAAAATCGAGGAGGCTCTGAGAGCAGTACGATACAAAGCCTTGGTTGTCGCTCATGTCGACACGTCGACCGGAGTTCTGGTCCCGTTGAAGCCTCTCTCGGACCTTCTCAACCGTGTCTCCCCTGATACACTGTTCATTGTCGATGGCGTTGCCAGCGTTGCATGCGAAGATCTTCGATTTACTGCCTGGGGGGTTGATGTCGTTGCAACTGGCTCACAGAAGGCAATTGGTTGTCCTCCTGGTCTCAGCATTCTCATGGTGTCCCCACGTGCACTGAAAGTGGCGAAGACAAGGAAAGCACCCCCTAGTACCTGGTATGCCAGTTTGACACGGTGGTTGCCGATAATGGAGAACTACGAAAGGAAGCAATCGAGTTACTTTGCCACGCCTCCAACTCAAATCATTCACGCCCTCCACACCTCGCTGACCGTGATGCTATCACGTCCTCTCGAGGAAAGATTCAGGCTACACAAAGAAACAAGCGCACGGGTGAAAGCAGTAGTTGAAGAGCTGGGCCTCAAACAGGTAGCTACACATACAGAACACCAAGCCAATGGCCTTACGGCATTTTGGCTTCCTGATGGGCTGACGTCGAAAGCTTTCCTTTCCAAAGTCTCCGCCAAAGGCATTACTTTCGTGGGTGGAATGCAAAAGGAGGTTGGTCACATGTACGTCAGATTCGGCCACATGGGTTATAGCGCCGTGAGTAAAGAAGAAGGTCATATTGATAAGGGAATCAAGACGTTGAGAGAAGTGATGATGGAGTTCTATGCTGGAAGGAGCAATGATTCGGGTTTTGCATACGAAGGGACATTCACTGGACCAGCTCGCGCGTCCCTATAAGGGGTCCCGGACGGAAATGTATCCATTCAACTGTTGACCTATTGATCTCCCTTCTTATCCTGATCTGTTTCTTGCCAGTGCAGCTGCAGCCTTTTTCATAGTTATACTATACAATGGATCTGTTTGACTTTATAAATTGGAGAGCACAGTCTCTGCCGATGTTATGATGAGGGAGGATTTCTTTCCAAAGCCTGAGTGGACGCTTGGATGTCAGCATCAGGATAAACAATTGTCCGCCAGGCTCGATGTATACTTCATGGAATCCAGCATGCCAGTTTTCTGTCACCTCTAATGACCATTTTGATCTGGTTTCGTAAGATCTAGGCCCGGCACTTCCCAAATGTACTCATAGGCTGTTGCGCGAAGAGCTCAGGAGAGCCAATTTCCCCAGACCTGTCGTACTTTCCCTACAATATGGTCATTGGCATGTCCTTCTTTTGACCTTCTCCACCTCCCCCGCTTGGCTCTTTGCCTGTATGACTCTGTAGGTTTCAATTGACCGAGGTGAGGATATATTTATAATGTACATAAAAGTAAGACTTGTTGGAAGGTCTATTGCATCGTGAGCATCGAGACAACTTGAAGTTCGACTTAGGGTTTTGTTCTAGCGACTGTGAGAGCTGAGATTCGGTAGTACAAGCCTTGTCAACGAATATGTCGCATCTTGTCACAACGAGGAAGAAAGGGGAGAGGGCCTCTCCCACAACAGCCCGGTTTTCATGGCTATATTTGTTGTCTCAAGGTGGGCGGATATACATTCCAATATCTATCCCAATGTAGCAGCTGGACCTAGAGGTCGCCTCTTGACTAGGGATGATGTGCCCAGGAGATGTTGGCAACCGTCAAGGAAAAGCCTTGTCTTCTAGGTTAGGTCGTCGAGCACGTGACACGACTGCCCACCTCCGTGGGGATGAGTATATCTGAATGATAGAAGCTCAAGGGCGGGAGGGTCGAAGTAAAACATTAGGAAGGAAAAGGAACAAAATAAATGACCCAGCGACAGCAAAATAAGCCAAACTCCAGCAAAACCCCGTCTTCCAGGTTGGCGGCCAAGACCAGATACGCGGGGCCAAGGGACGGTCCTTTAGCATGAGGCGGGGCAGCGAAGGCGGGGAGAACTACCTTCATTCTTCTCGGATACTAGAACCTCTAGATAGGCTATCAGATCGCAATGGGTCCCAGAAATTACTCCGAGGCTGATTTCCAAGTCCCGTCCCAATGTCCCATTCTCTTTGTCGGAATGATATATATACGATGTGGCACCGGACCACCGGACCATCCGTGCTTGTTACCAAGCTCTTTCTTACACACTGTGAAACATGAAGATTGAGTGAAGGATAATCTGTGTATATTCTAAGCAGATATCGTGGAGGCTTGCGACCAAATCAACCAGAAATATGGCCATACCCGTAATGGGATCCGAAAACCTGTTCCAGACACTTTCCATCTTCAATGTGACAGTCTTAACCTTACTCCTTGCTATCATCTTTCTGGCAAGGGCCCTCCATACTGCATTTAGACCCGGGCTCCGGAAACTTCCAGGGCCGATCCTCGCTCGGTTTTCTGGACTATACAGGCTTTCTCTAGTATACGCAGGGCGAGCGCCGTATGAATATCGAAAAGTGCATCAGCAATATGGGCCGATTGTTCGCATCGGACCAAGCCATGTCTCGGTTTCTGATCCTGCAGCAATTCCCCAAATCTACGGAATTGGGACGAATTACCTGAAGGTAATGAAGAATTCGATCTCGTACTCGTCATGGTTAACCTCAAACAGACAAGCTTCTACTCAGTATTTAGCCCATTTTACCAAGGGACGCCGCTGGACAGCCTTTTCTCGACTCGAGATACCACATACCACAAAAATGTGAAGAAGCCAGTTGCCAATCTATTTTCCATGACGAACCTTAGAAGCTACGAGATATATGTCGATGAGTGTAACGGAATTTTCATGGACGCCATGCGCGATCTAGAAGGTCAACCAGTTGACTTTTCCAAGTGGCTTCAGTGGTACGCATTCGATGTCATTGCATCGATAACGTTCCAACGACGTTTTGGCTTCATGGAACAGCGTCAAGACGTGGACAACATGATCAGAGATCTTGACCTTGGAGCTGGCTATATCAAAGTTATCAGCCAATATCCCGGATTTCATCCGTGGTTGATTGGAAACAGGTCGTTGATGACATTTCTAGAAAAATGCTTCGGAGAGTTGCCGGATGCTCTCTCGCGCTTCATGAAGGTACCTGCCTCCCATATACCCACATTCGCCTCGTCGATTTACTGAAATGCTGCCCAGATCACGGAGGAGGAGATTGTGCGATATAGCAGCGAAGATAAAAGAGAAGGCGTCGGACGAACAGATTTTCTTGCACAGCTAAGAGCCAAGGAAGCCAAAGACAATCAAATATCTTTTCGAGATATGATGAATCATCTTTCTAACAACCTGTAAGTATTTGCCTATTCTAATTATTTGTCATTAACTGTGTATAGACTTGCGGGCTCTGATACTACCGCAATCTCGCTACGTGCTGTGTTTTATTACCTCATCAAAACGCCGAGAGCGTATGCAAGACTAGTTGCGGAGATAGATGAAGCAGACCGGAACAAGAGGTTGTCCACCTCAGTCACCTTCGAGGAGAGCCAGAAGCTTCCTTATCTGTACGTTGAACCCGCGCGCCTGTGTGCTAATACTCCATTGACTCGATCAACTAGTCAAGCGGTTATAAAGGAAGCGCTGAGAATGCACCCCGGGGTCGGCTTTCCTCTTGAGAGGTATGTTCCTTCAGAAGGCGCCGCGATCTGCGGCACTGTTCTTCCTGGAGGGACCACTGTCAGTGTGAACGCAGCAGTAATTCACTTGAACAAGGATGTGTATGGCGAAGACGCTACACAATTTCGACCTGAGAGATGGATCGATGCTTCACCTGAGCAATCCAAACTTATGGATCGCAGTTTCCTTAGCGTAAGTTCCAATCTAAGCCGATGGATGGTTCCAGGCAATATACTGATGGCACAGTTTGGGTATGGAGCTCGGACTTGTATCGGCAAGAATATTTCGTTGCTGGAGATGGGCAAATTCATCCCTCAGGTCTTGAGGCATTTCAACATAGAATGGGCATCAGAGCACCCGGAATGGAAGTTAGAAGCTGCTTGGTTCTGGAAGCAATCTGGAATCATCGTGAAATGCAGGAGGAGACCGAGGACAACGGAAGGGATCTGACGTCCCCAATCTTTGGCAATTCTTTGCATGGTGCTTAACGCCTTGTAGAAATGTTTCAGCACAAGTACCCTTTATCTGACCCCATCAAAGTATGCGACAAACTCCAGTCTCCCACGAGCTCTAAGGTACTGCATTCCTCTGGCAAACCCTGTATTTAGTCGAGTGGGTCTGCGCAGGTCTAATATGTCTTAAGTTGGGCCGATATGCCTCGTCAACATCCACACATAAAATACCACGTGGAGAACAAGCGTATCTGTGTCCAAAAATCTTCGTGGAAGCCGGGTTGCATTAATGCTCTCTAGTATATGGACCGTCTCACATGCGATACTGCCGACTACAGTTCACCACTGAACTTGGCGAGAAATCCCACCTATTCGCTGACCGTAGCCGCCATTTAAGCTGATATATCCCCCCATCCCAAGAAGTGGTATACGTCAATTGATTCAACTCATTATTTCTCGAAATTACACTCCGGTGATGATTTTACCCAAAAGACTAAAAACAATCAACAGCCAGGATTCCCAAATGGTCACCCACTTTAGTACTAACTGACCGGCATGTGGCTTAAGTACGGCTGAGCGAACGGGAAGCCCTGTTCTCCACATCCTATGGTCGATTGCGGAAGATAAATAGCCCTTAAAGGTTTATATACGTGACAATAAAGTTAATTATTGTCTACAAGCCGCTGCATGCCTGGTCACATAGCAGGTCACTCTGGTACGATCTGTGGAGGGTGTCTGTTCTCTTAGACGATCCCCTAATCGAAATTCAATCTTGGGATATTTGCCCAAGATGTCCAGTCAATCAAATCCCATTCTGAAGGCAAGTTTGTGTCGGGCTCGAGCTGAATTTGCGGATGCACCGAATCTGGTTCCAGAGACACCAGCTTAAACCAACTTTGATGGAGCAGTCCTTGGTGATGTCTCAAGAATTGTCGTATTTCAGCTGAGCTTAATTTGCTGGGTAGTACACTACGCAGCTTGTTGAATGAGTCTAGGAGGTTTTCAATTAGAGAATCATCTCGGATCAGTGAATTGACATCTTACTGATGAGGAAACTCGGTAGATTCCAGGTCGTTGCAAAATGCCCCATGAACAGCAATAACAGATCTTCATAACTAGAAAGCTTTGACTTGAGCTCCAGCTCGGACTTCGTCGACTGTTTGCCATGCAAGTGTATCAATATGAGAGTCCGCAAAATGAGAAGGCAGGTCGCTGGATCCACTGATGTGCAGTGTTTCGGGTCCCAATGCCTGACAATTGAAACCACATCCTCACACATTTCAAGGGATGCCTGCCAGTTCCTGAGCCATTCAGACTCATTTTTGTGAAGTAGGCACAGAGTTATCATGAGACGACATACGTGGAGCTCCAGTAGAAAGACCAATCTGGCATGGTGATTAGAGCTTGACTCATTGGAAGCAACGTCCCTCGAGGGCCTGAGATAGCGCACGGGCAATGCCAGGCGAAATGCAGAGACATGATTTTCCAAAAGTTCAAGTTGTCCGTTTAGCCGATCTGACGGGTTGAGTCGCCAAAGCCGAGCAAGTGTTGCTGCTCGCCTAAGAGCTGTCTGACTCACTATTTGTAAATTCAAAGCAGTGCTTCGGCCTCGGGCCACGATCTCTTGCACCGTCGTCCAAAGAACATCGGCCTCTGGCGGCAGAAAAATTGATGTAGATGTTGCTGACTGACCATGAAGGGACGGGTGTGTCGACAATAGGGCCGTGCCGATACTTTCAACCTCAACCGAGAAAGGCGTCGCAGCGGTTATGTTAGAGTATGAGTCGAGGCAGTAAATCCACCACCAGATGTGCCTCCATTCCTCCCGCTCATCCTCCATAAATGGCTTCGAATCATATAATGGGCGTTGATTCTTATTGTCTAGTTGATGCAACCCACGAATATATGCCCCACGCACTAGTCGCCCAATCCGAAGCCAGGCCCTGTGACCTGGGTATTGGTGGAACTCGTAGTAGGCTAGCAAGCACGATTCCTGAGCCATATCCAATGTCGCGAAACTACTGATTGTCTGTTCGTCGCCAACCTGGTCATCAAGGCGACGACGCAGATAGGACTCTGGACTTGAGACTTTCCATGCATCACTGATTCCTCGAAGTTTTGTGACCACCGCCAAAAGTGTTCGCAGTAAGTCCAAATCCACATCACCTCGTTCGTATCTTTGCATGAAGGGCTCCCGAAGCAGAAGTGGAATGGATGGCTGCACATGTGAGAAGAACGTCTCGATGCTATTTCAAGTTATCCATGTGTCCAAACTCGCGTATCATGGTCCACATACATTTGACGTTCCTCATCAATCGAAAGCTGTATGTCAAGCGATGCATGTTGACTTCGAGAAGACGAGTCTCTGTCAGCGGAAGGCGGGGCAAGCTCCAGGTCGGTCAAGAAGAGTCCTGGGACAGTCGTTGAAGACGGGTAGACCTGGTGCGGTGATGGGTTCCCGGCGGCGGACTCCAGATGTGGAACAGCAAAACTCGCTGTAGATTGGTCTCCAAACACATGTTTAGTCTGGCATTTTCATCAATCGACCATAAAAATGGTGCACTACTCACGATCCTTACGCGGATGGGCTGCAGCTGTTGTTTTGTTGCGCCTTGAGCCTTTTGCAGGACCTGGTTTTCGTTTCACGAAAGAGTAAAGACAAGAAACTCTGCCTTCGGCACAACGCGAACATGCGGGACGCCCCAGATTACCTGGACAAGTCAGTAATTTGCCTCGTTCATTCCCATTGAATTGGTGCACATTTGACTTTCTTGCTGTGTCAAATTAGCAAGACCAAATGTGTTGCAGAATCTGTGGGGATACTGACGATCTGCAACGGTCACAAGCTTGGGTAGTGGTGAGTTTGGTTGGCATCGCAACTGACGTAGGTGTCGGATTGCCAATCCTCGTGTAGTCAGTATTTAGTTGGCGGGAAGAAGCCATCTCGATAACATCGGAGGAGCGTCGTTTTCAAGGTTAGCAGGTACTGGCAAAGAGAGGACAAAGGTCCATCTCGAGCTCGAGTCCATACATGGTCAATGCGGGGCAGATTTGTCGAAGAGTGGGGATCCCAGCGAGGCTGGCCTACACGGAGTGAGAAACCCTCTCAACCAAGAAAGGTAGATACGAGGATCGAGCTAATATGAACACGACACTACAGTATAGAGCACGAAGAGACAGAACAGAGGATGCGTTCGTCTCCTAATCTACCAGGTCGTCTGGAGTAAGTTTTCTTAGTATGGGAGGGCACAAGAAATCATCATCATCCCTTGCCGAGTTCCGAACCCCTTCCCACGGAACCAATGCCAATGCCACTGCCACCACTATCCCGCATCAACATTGTCTGTCCCGCCTTCGGTCTATTCCGTTTCGCGTCCCACAGATCGATACTTGCCAGCGATTTACCATTAAATGCGCACAAACCGCACGAAGTCGGCCCAGGAACGCGTGTAACCCTATAGGGGTAGGGATTAACATACAGTTAGACTCCATAGCCACGCCGAACCCGGCCCATCTCTTGATGACTATCTCGAGGCAAACACCCAAATTTTTCACCACCATATAATAGGCAGACCATTTTTCTTCTGGTGCAATCGGCTGTACTCCGAATCGATGGCCGAATTACCAGAGAAGATAGATGTACACAGCCATTTTTTGTCATCGGCCTACCGTGAACATTGCCGGGTGAATGGCCACAGCGCCCCTGATGGCTTCCCAATGTTGCCAGTAGGTCATTCGCCTCTCAATGTCAAGGTATCATGCACGCTAAATCGAATTACAGGAATGGAACATAGAGAGGCATCTCGAAATGGCAGACAAGTTGAATATCAACAAGTCTTACTTGTCCGTTTCATCACCCGGAGTTCACCTTGTACCAAATGATGATGAGCTCGCTCGGAGAATCGCTCGTGAGTGCAACGTCGTGGCTGCCGACGCGAAGACGCGCTTCCCAGAGAGGTTTGGATTCTGGGCATCCCTGCCGTTGCCCGATGTTGACGGCAGCCTCGAGGAATTGGCCTACGCATTTGATAAGTTGAACGCGGATGGAGTGGCAGTAGAGACTAATACTCATGGCTACTACCTGGGCCATCGCGACTACGAGCGTGTCTGGGCTGAGCTTAATCGACGACACGCCCTTGTCTTCATACACCCGACCTCTCCCTGTGTCCTCGAGCACCGGGATACAGGTTTAGCGAGCTGTCACAAAGCTGCTCCACTTCCAGAATTTCCAAACCCTATCTTCGAGTTTTTCTTCGATACAGCCAGAGCTGTGATAAATCTCTTTTACACGGGAGCAATAGCGCGCTATCCTCAGATCACCTATATAATTCCCCACGCGGGAGGAGCCTTGCCGACATTGATAGAGAGGTTCTCACGATTTGGACGTGCTATTCCAGGTCTCCCAGTTGACGGTTCCGTCACTCCAGACTTTGTAAGGGAGCGACTGAAGACAAATTTCTACTTTGATATGGCTGGAACTCCATGGCCTGATCAGATTCCGGCGCTTCTTGCCTTCATTGGCAAAGACCAACTGCTCTATGGAAGCGATTACCCCTTCACTCCTGCAGAATTCGTGGGGGTGCTTGCAGATACCATGGAAAAATGTATGGCTCGGGTATTCGAGACTGAAGCAGAGCGAATGATGGCCTACAAGGGGAATGCCGAAAGACTGTTTCTTCAGCAAAGCGTAGCCAGGAATGCCTCTGCTTCTAACAGAACTTCGAGTAAAGCCACCGAATCAGGACACTTGTGAAGGCCGGTATGGGAGAAAGATTCACCAGCACATGGCCCTCAGTCTCAATATGGATGGTTGCTAAAGGAAGTTCAAAAACGAAATAACCAGATTCAAGGTAATTGTAGTCGCAGTATGTTTGTGATAAGTGATTCCACGGAGTGCTTGTCAAAGCCTAGAGCAATAAGAAAATGGTTTGCAACAACGCAACTACAGGGAAACTTATTTTTCCAACCACAGAGTATTGTGTACCTGCAATTGGTGGAACTTCAAAGTTACAAGTACTTTCGAGTCTTTTCCACCACATACTCCGCGAAAACTTCCGGGTGGGTAACATACGGGAAATGCATTCCCGGGAGGGTTTGAAAGGGGATGTTGTGTTTGGTCGCCGTCACGATATTGTCCAGGAATCGAGCCGTGGGTGTCGATGCGCCGACTGTCCAGTCCAGCGGTGCCTTTATCAAGTCTTCTTTGCTTACTGGGGTGGATTGTGGTATATATCCAGGGTAACCGCGAGCCCACCGGGGATAATTCTTCCAAAGCCTTGCATGAGCCTCCTCACCGAGTTCTTGCCACGAACCCTCGATGTCACCCACACTTCCCACAACCACATTGCTTGACATTGCAGCGGAGACGGCCTCATCATCCATTTCAAGCAGGGGCTTCAAGTCTTCCATGAGATAAGTCGGAACTTCATGGGCCAGCGCATTCCGCACCCTTGTAGGATAGTCAGCAACCAGAGCAAGCACAGTACAGCCGCCTGAGCTGCATCCCCAGAATGTAGCCTTGTCGATTGCTAATTCGTCGCAGATGCTAATGACATAGCTGGCCAGCTTCTGGGCGGTGATCTCTTGGTATGTCTCCGGTGGTGCTTCAGACGACCTCGACATCCCTGGCATATCGAAGGTTGTGACGGTGAAGCCACTGTTCGCTATAAGAGACATAGGCTTGTCGAACATCTTGCACTCTCCTAAGCCATCTGGTATCAGCACCACGTGAGGACCAGAACCCTCTTGCTCGTAGTACCAATGGATTCCGTTTTTGGTGGTGATATTGGACCTGGTGCGCATGGTGACTAGACTAGACGACGTTGGGCGCGAAGGTGAGTTGTTGTAATTCTTTAAGGACTTGGGTGCTAGCGACGGTAAAAGTTCTAGATTTGCTCGTATGTCGTCTGCATATATTTCTGTTCTGTTGAATTGAGCTGGCTGACTGGCCCCTCTTCCATGCCAATTCAACATCCCTGTCGCCTCCCCGCTTTGTCATTTAGCTTCCCGTTTCCCACCTCCCGCTTCCCACCTTGACTATCCTCGGAAGCGCTTACAATGCTCCATTGCATCACTTTCGAGTTACAGGAATCCCCATTTACTGTTGCCTCCATCAGAATCGATTGTGAACGGATCTGATGCAACAAGTTGCCGAGTCGACCGTAGCAGTGCCCACTGTGCTGTTGCATTATCGCTATGCCAAAACCTGGCCAACCGACTTCTGTTCGGTTCGGCGGGTATCATCAGTGCTCAAGTTGGCGACCCCGTCGGAATAGCGATTTGTCCTTGGGGACCCAGTTCGCCCGGAACCACAAAAGGTTTTATTAAATATTACATGGACAGTTCTTCCTTCTCCCAGCTTCATTCCTCACCGTAAAATAAAGTGGTTTCCCTTGTCCAGACATGTCTCGCCCAGAGAGACTTGAAGTGTTCGCCCAATGTTGCTCGCACGTTTCGGAAGAACCATTGTATTCTGGATCCTGGTCAAAGTTAGCCCGAAGCTAAGAACCCGGGATCCCACAGAACAGAGGCTGTCCACGCTTCCCCTTACCCACGATGCTGTGGAGAGGAGACTCCGTCCATCAGACTAACAGCGTCTAGCCAGACCCTCGACGAAGCGGAATCGTCGAATCCCACTTCCCACCTCCCACCTCCCAGAGTGACCAATAGCAAATCTTCCGCGGCGCATCATGGGACTTTCGTAACCAATTCGGGGACAGTGTGCGAGCAGCAAGTGAGCATCCGATGTATTGCTAGAGTATTTAGAGCAGCACCCAGATGCTTGGATAGCCTTGCAATCTCCCTGATGAGGTGTCCACTGTTCTATTGAATCTGAAAATACTACCACGGAGCAAATTTCCTACAGAGATGTATGCAAATTCGCCTGATCCAGTGACGGGGACAGATGCAGATCTGATTAACGTCGAGCACAACCCAAAGTCTTCCTCTATTGAGGAGAAGGGCCAGCCGGGATCAGATCACCTGGAACGAGTCGTACATAATGACCAGAACCTTCACTACGACGAGGTCGACCAGGAGCCTGAGCTCCATGCGAGAACTTGGCTGGCACTGACCGCTATGATGCTTCTGAATATGGTTCAAGTGGTTGCCCTTACTGGGCCTCCAGTCGTTGTATGTTTGATTCTACATTGCCTCTCAACAACACGTTTGACCTAATATGATACAGCTCTCCTATATTGGTGCAAGTCTTGGGGAGACTGCGGTCCCGACCTGGGTTCCCAACGCTTTGTCTCTCGTCCAGGCGGTCCTTGGTCCCATCATTGCAGCCGCTTCTGATACCTTCCAAGCTCGGAAATTAATCCTCGTTTGCACCTCGACCATCTCGTTCATTGGAGCAGCTATCGCACCCGGATCCAAAGATATTTATCGACTCATCGTCGCACAAACCATTATTGGAGTGGGCTTCGCTGCAGTGCCCCTCGCTTATGCTGTGCCTAGCGAGATACTCCCTAGAAGATGGAGGCCATGTGAGTTTAAATTCATCAGCGTGCTCGGAAAAGCTGAACTAATTGCTTGGTAGTCGCGCAGGCTGGCATCAATGTTTCTGCAGCCTTGGGCTCAATCCTTGGACCGCTCTCCATCGGTGCGTTTACCAGATCTGACCCTGTCCACGGGTGGCGCAACTTCTACGTATGTAGCTGTCCAAGCCGGCAGTACAACAGGATACTGACCGGGTGTTAGTGGCTGCAAATGGCACTATGGGGGGCAACTGCCCTCTCTCTACTGCTGGGTTATAGGCCACCGAAAAGACATACTCGTTTAGACCATCTATCCATCAAGCAGAAACTGAGCCACCTCGACCTCCCTGGGTTTGCTCTTTTCACGGCTGGACTGACCCTACTCCTCACTGGAATTAACTTAGGCGGCCAACCATGGCCATGGGCCAGCGTACGTGTCTTGGCTCCTCTGATCATTGGCATCGTTACCCTGGTAGCATTTGGCATATACGAATGGAAGGGGACACCAAGTGGAATACTACATCATGATTTATTCCGTGGTGGAAAGTCACAGGGACGTGCTTTCACCATCTGCGTTGGCCTTATTGTGGTGGAGGCGATAACTGGTTTCACAATTACGATCTTCTATCCAATCTTGTCAGCCTCGAACCCATCCAGTGGTACTACAGATCTCAGACTGACACTATGACATAGGAATACATTGCTCTTCGAAACCGATCCATTCTTACTGGCGGTGCGCAGCCTACCGTATGCAGTTATGAGTATTATAAGCAGCGTCATCTGCGGATACTTGAGCGTCAAGTTCAAAAGCATCCGCTGGTTCATCTTTTTTGGTTTTTTGGTGTTGACAGGGACTTGTGGGGGCTTCGCAGCAATCCAACCTGATGGTAACATCGCTGCGATGGCCCTGTCCGGTCTCTCAGGTCTTGGATTAGGTCCTCCGCTCATTCTCATCATCGTTGGCGTGCAGCTTTCGACGCCACACCGCCTGATCGCCACTGCAACGGCGGTGACATCTTCCGCTCGAGCTGTAGCAGCAGCAGTTTTCACTGCCATTGTGACCGCAGTCTTCAACAATCGAGTCGCGAGCAATGTTCCTGCTTACACCGCCCAAGCAGCCGCGGGTGCTGGCTTGCCCCCTGATTCACTCCCTGCATTTATCAAAGCTCTACTTGCCAACGACGCCGCTGCTTTGGCTCAAGTGCCTGGAGCCAGCCTGGCAATCATAGGAGCAAGTGTAAGGGCCTTGCACCAGGCATTTGCGGATTCGGTCAGAATAGTGTTCATCATTGCGACACCCTTTGGCCTTGTAGCCTGCATTGCTTGCTTCTTCTTGGGGAGTGTCTCGTCGACAATGAATTACAAAGTAGATGCTCCTGTCGAAGATCTCCATGCGAAAAAGGCGGATACTCGCCATCGTGTTTAGGTTATTCGCGATTGCCCAACTGAAATGCCATGGAGGTGGGCCGGGGGGACGGGGGTAGTTCTTAGCTTCTCCAGTCGCCTTTGAGCTGCGCGGACCATGAAAAGAAGTGTGACAGAGAACGCAACCGGCATGTCACTGTTTTAGCTGTGGGCTTAAAAAAAAGGAGAGCAATGTACACGATCTGGCTTGGTCTTTTGATCCGTCAAGTTATCCAGTCAGTGTAAGAGATAGGGAATTCTCAATGTTGTATTTCAAGCCTTGGGATGGCCGGTTTGGCCATAAGGTCACGGGGGTTAGTCAGCTGCACATGTCAATTTAGGTGGCCTCGAGAAAGGTGCAGAGGAGGTCCACAGAATTATTAGCTCCTTTAGCCAGGTATTATGGACCATTTATGGTTAACAGACATGTGTGTCAGTATCTGCGGCTGAGTGGAGGTGTGAATTGGCGGTCACCCACCTGGGCTATAGCTACGCCTGACGCTCCTTGGCCACTCCTTGGGCGCTCCGGGGCCGAGGAACGTCCAGAAGCTCGCCCCAACTGACCGGGTTCCAGTTAAAGCCTAGTTAAGTATACGTAGCTCGCTTAGGCGACTTCACATGTTGACCACTAACTATCTTCAGTTTTGTCTGCTGGGACCCAGCTCCAAGTGCCCCACCAAGGGACCGACCGAGTATCTTGTCAAAATTAGGAACTCTGAGCTCTAGAGAGCAAGCGTGAGATCATCCACCTTCGTCCCTTGGCCGATTTGTTTTTCCTGTGTATGATAGAAAGCACACCCATCGGTATGACCATATCAAGAGGTACAGCCTGAGCAAGCTTGCCTTGTGCGCCTGCCTTGCCGGCTAACTCCAACACCCCTCCTTCCTCCTTCTTCACGTGCCTGTGCCTCAACATGGACGATAGCGCCTCCAGTACCACCACGCCCTCCAAACGGCCTCATTACCGCATCGGCGGGCTGTCGAATTTCATCCCCCTGAATGAAGAGACCGCTGGCGTCTCAACACGGGGCCAGCGCCTGCCCAGCTTGATACAGTCGCGCTCCAACGCCTCGCTGTTCACCCTTCCGCGCCGCCCGCGTTCCGAGCGACGAGGCTCATTCCACAGTCACCATTCCACCGAGGATGAAGAGCATGGGCTTCTGGAAGACCAAGAACCGTTGGCTAAAAGATGGTCTCACGTCACCGAGATCGATGCCAGGCGCATGTCTCTGGGCCCCGAGATTCTCATGACGCCTCAGATGCGCAGCATGCGCCTGATTGGGAACAGCAATCCCAGATACAAATGGCAGCGCTACTACAAGACCGAGGAGGAGCTCAAGCGGATGGCCAAACCCATCCGGAAATACTACGAGCGCAACAACTTCCTGGTCTCGCAATACCTTTACATCGATCGCCTGCTGGACTCGTCGCTGCCGCACAATCTCATCCAGGAGTACAATGCGGTTGGGTCCAATGGAAACATCAACAAGATGAATACAATCAACGAGGAATCCACCTCCAATCCGCCTAACTCGATTACACCGACCAGCGCAACCTCTCCGGCCATTCCGCCGCAAGAAGCAAAGCTGAAGCGAACCCCCAAGAACCTGTACAAACTCCCCGACGAGGCCACTCCATTACTGAGCAGCGACGATGTATTCGATGACGCTCCAGACGAACCCTTTCCCGACATTAAATATGACGAGGATGAAAACGTTGATTCCGACAGTCCCATCGTGACCCTCGCCATCTACATTAACCTGACTGCAAACATCATTCTCCTCGCAGCCAAGATCGCTGTTATCGTCATGACGTCCTCGCTTTCCGTCCTCGCCTCCTTGGTCGATGCAGCCCTTGACTTCCTTTCTACGGCCATCGTCTGGATCACCACCCGCATAATCTCCCAACAAGATCAATATGCCTATCCGGTCGGTCGTAGGCGCTTGGAGCCAGTTGGCGTTTTGGTCTTCTCCATCATCATGATAACCTCATTTTTCCAGGTCCTCCTATCCTGTTTCAACCGCCTACTCTCCGACGATCACACCGTTGTCGAACTTGGCATCCCCGCCATCGCGATCATGCTCAGCACCGTCATCATCAAGGGATTCTGCTGGTTCTGGTCCCGACTGGTAAAGAACTCTTCTGTGCAGGCGCTCGCCCAGGACGCCGCGACGGACGTTGTGTTCAACACGTTCTCCATTATCTTCCCTCTAATAGGGTTCTACCTGCAGATCTGGTGGCTCGATGCGCTGGGCGGTCTCCTGCTCTCTTTGTACGTGATATTCAACTGGTCCAAAACTTCCTCGGTACATGTGCGCAACCTTTGTGGCGCCGCCGCAACCGCCGATCAGCGGAACGTCCTGCTCTACTTGACCATGCGCTTCGCCAAGACCATCAAGCATATCCAGGGCCTACAAGCATACCACGCGGGTGACAAGCTTAATGTCGAGGTGGACATTGTCCTCGACGAGAACATGAGTCTTCGCGACAGTCATGACCTGGGCGAGAGTCTGCAGTATGTGCTGGAGAGTGTCCCCATCGTGGATCGTGCGTTTGTCCATGCGGACTATGCCGATTGGAATTTGCCGAGTCATATGAATCAACAGGGCTGAAAAGGTGGAAAATGATGGACGCGGCTATCTGAACGGGTCCGGTAATGGTCGTGTACAGAGTACGGAGGCACGCTCGATTAAATATTGACTATTTTATATGCGGTTGTATCAATGGGGCTCGCGTCAAGGTAGTATGAAGCTAGAGTGGTCGGGGATTTTGGTATTGGGATCATTCCGTGTTGGTTCAGTGGATATGAGGACTTGTGAGGCTTGACCTGAAAACCTTGAATTTGATTGGACGGTGGCAGTGAGATACAATTTTGGGAATGAATATACCGGAATAAATACCTAGGTAAATCCTGGCCAGCAATTATCTTCGATTTCGAGCAAGTGTATGAAAGCAAGTTTTTGTGGTCTTTGAAGGTTTCTGGATTTCTCCTTTTTGGTACATCTCATATCGTATGATAAGGTCAAATACACCTGTGGCAAAGCCGGACCGCGTCGTCCTTTTAGTTCAAGAAAAGCTACGGGTGTCGGCATCTCAGTTCACTTATGGTTTGTGAAATGCGGTAGCTGTTGCAGAGAGAAAATTGTCGTGATTGTAGACCCAGAGGCGGTGCGGCGCGTCCCAGCCTCCGTTCTGGACTACGAATCCCACGCCAACACAGTCTCGGGGGCACGACATAGTTGTCCGGACCTAAGGGCGAAAACCAGGACCCCGAAATGAAGGAGCATGGCTAGCGCGGCCTTCCAGAGCTGTAGATCCGGGGCTGAGAACTCCGCCAGCGCGACACCAATGACCGGGTAGACGAGTGCGGCGTTCATGCCGTACGCCAGACAGGGCTGAAGCGTGCTGATCAGCTTGATGCCTAGGATAGCCAATCGTGTCGAACGAGATGCGATGTGAGTGTGTGCTAGGGTGCGTGCACGGTGCGAGATACGAGCTAGGAAGGTGCCGGGGGGTGGGGCGGGCTGTGGCGGTCCTAGAAGCAGTTGATGTCGTACGGGCGGGTCGGTTGGTTGTGGTAGTTGCTGGGAGGATTTTTGGATCGGGGACGTTGGCACGGAAGCGGAAGGCTGGCGGGCGCGTAGGACGATGTTGTTTCTGTTCCTGTTGTTGGTCCTCAGCCCGGGGTAGTTGTGACCGGTCGAGCTGGCTCCCCTGGATGTTTCTTGGGCGATTTCGTCGCCTTCGGAGCTTGAGTAGCCTCGTTCACCAGCGGGGCCATCAGCGAATGTAGAAAGCTTCTTTCGATCGGTTGTTGCGCCGTCGTATCCAAGGCGAGAACGTCTGATTGTCTTTTGCCCCATTTCGAGGCCCAGTCCTCTTTGCGGCGAGTTGCCTTGCCTCGGTGAGTCGAGCTTTTGGATTCTCTTGCCGGGAGTAAGTTCCTCCGGCTCCATCGAATTCTTCCTCCGAGCAGGCGGGATATCATCAAGCCTCCCGGACGCGACGACTTGGAGTACATCATCTGCCGTTGGCCGCGTCTCCGGGTCTAGTGAAAGAAGCCGTTTTAGAAAGGCATAAAGAGCCTCGGGTAATTCTGGTCTCAGCTTTCGATGATCATCAAAGCCTTCCCAGCTCATAATCTCTTCCCTCAACTCGTCCACATCCTCACGTTCCTCATGCAGAACGTTCGAGGCATGATACGGGAGAGTGGCGAAACAGAGAAAGTGAAGAATCATTCCCAGAGAGAATATGTCGGACTTGGCAGTGAAGTTGCCGAACGGCCCTCCTGGCGATAATCTGCGTAGGACTTCCGGCGCGCAATAAGAGATGGTCCCAGTCGCGCCTGTCGACCGGCGGGTGGCAAATTCATACTGAACTTCTCCAAAATCGCTCACTAGAACTCGAGTTTCCCCACCGACGGTATGCAGCAGGCAATTGCTTGGCTTCAGATCCCTATGGATGAAATTATTGTGGTGAAGAAAGCGCAGGCCGGAGGTAATGTCTCTGAAGAAGCTGTAGATTTCATCGAATGGGAGTCTTTTAGGCTCATTTTCTTTTCGAGGGAGTTCCGTCTCCCCTCTAGACCGACGTCGAAGTCGCTCTTTCAGATCCTGGGTGGTCGTTGTCGCCTGTGCCGAGCCGAGAACGTAATTGTGCATGTCTCCTCCATTACAGTATTGCTGTAGAATGAAGGCGCATGGGATGCTTGGTCCAAATGAGCTTGTCTGGTAGTCCTCCAACCAGACATGACGATAAGATACTAAGTTTTGATGTGACAATGTTGTCAGGAGCTGGACCTCGACAAGCACCTTCTCTAGCCAGGCGTGATCATCACCAACGGGGACACGTTTGCAGGCGAAATGGCCAAGTGCAACTCCGTCTAGTACATGCCGGACCAGCAGCACTACTCCTCGTCCGCCTCTTCCCAGCTCCCTTTCCTCAATGAAAAACTTCTCAAAGTAATTCGGTGAAAAGGCGGTCTCGGAGATGCCATGAGCTTGTGCGGGAGGGGCAGGTTCACTGCCGACAAACTCTGCTACAGCAGGTGGCGTTTGGGTGGCAGCAGAGGACGGATGGAGCCTTGAACGAACAGGTTGCGCGATACGACGCCTAGGAGATGGGGGAGACGAGTTCTCGTTTGAGTTCGGCAAGCTTCTGGCTAGCATATCAAAGTAGTCCCGGGTGATGAAGCTCGGCTGGTCTTCCACCTCATCTGTTGCAGAGACATGAGTAGATGCTTCTTCTCGTGTATGCCAGGTTCGACCACATGTTGGGCAGTTGGGCGATCGTCGATCAACTTCTTGGTTATGGTGGAACGGAACCAGTTGATTCGTCTGTGGATCACGATAGACGATGGTATCCGCATTGCGGCTGGGATTTTATGTTAAGCAGGAGTTAGGGACCAGGTAAAATTGCAGACTACTTACAGCACGACATCTCGGTTGTTGTCGTAAGGGATGATGGACAGGCTGGGAATACCATCTGCCCTGTCGCCCTCCATCTTAACGCCAATCAGTTGCAGGTTGTAAGAAGAAACGGATCATGGCTGAATAATGAGTCCATGACGGACCGATTGATTGATCTTGCAGACGGCGAACTAACTTACATTATTCATCGCACGTCAAGGCTCGTGACTGATTGTTCAGGCGTGGTGTCATTCAAGTCAGTCAGCTCGCGAACGCGACTGGAAGCCACTACTGGATGGCCGCATTTGCATCAGTATCAATGGAATCCGTCGATTGATGGTCCTTGGTGTTTATTGGTCGTTACTTGCAATTCGTGCGAAGATCAAACGGCACCCGGAGAGGATGGTGTTGGTTGCACAACGAAGTACGGTTCAAAACTCGAGGTGTGATGTGAATCATGTGATACAGGAAGCTCTAATGCCAAGCCTCCTCACCGGAAGTACCTCGGTATACCGATACCTTACCACCCAGCCTACCAATCTTGGTATCAAATAGCGAACATAAGACGAGAATTGACCAAGTCAGTGAGCACACATTCAAAAGTCGGAGACCTATTTCCTTCTTCATACATCAATTATATATTACGCTGGTTTTTATTGAGCTCCCGGCCGCGGAAACACTGGTGTAGTGCCAACTCCATTTATATCAAACCCAGAAAACGTCCCCTGATTCCCGTGTTGCCAGCCTTGGCCGGTCTGCTGATTCACGAAAGCACTTTGACGAAACGGATTGGTGCTCCCTGTGACATTGGTGTTTATAGCACCTCCGGCAGTCGTAGGCCGATTCTTGGCAAATGGATTGGTGCCCGTGCGTTGTGGCTGCAAAGCAGGTGGCTGGCCGAACACATTGCTCTGACCTGGGTCTTGTGTGAGAAATGTTGGCTGGTTTGACGAAATTGGAGACACTGGCGAAAATGCTGACTGATCATATCCTGACATGCCACCAGGGCTATTCGCCGCCAATGCACCTGTATTGTGCTTTGCGAATGGATTGGTCGATAAACGATCAGGCGACGGCCCTGTCATAGCTGAAGGGGAGTTTCCAATGGGCATCATGGATTGCCGAAAAGGGTTGGTTGACGTGGGGTGGGGCTGTAGCTGGGTTGGCTGCCCAGGGCCTGGACCATGTGACTGGAAATCTGCCACCCCATTCTGGGGTATTGGAGATAGAGAGGACGAGAATTGGAAGGGGAGTGGCGACTGCTGCTGCTGAGGCTGAGTACCATATCCACCGAATCCTGCACCTGTGAAGTCTGTCTGAAGAGGAGGAGGTTGTGATTGTGGTAATGCGCTACCTTGGAAGGTATTTTGTTGCTGAAAAAAGGGATTGAAGCCGGTCTGCTGAGGTACTTGTTGCTGTAGTTGGAGTTGTTGTTGCTGTTGCTGCTGCTGCTGTTGAAGAAGCAGAAACTGCTGTTGCTGCTGGTAATCTTGCTGCTGCTGTGCATTGTTATGGAATTGGGCCATTGGTTGTTGATTCTGCTCAATGGTTTCGAAGAAGTCGATGAGATCGGGAGCTGGGCCTTTTGACTGAGACGGGATTGGGTGAGACACAGGCGCAGCAGTCTGCTTTACCTCTGCAGGTCTATTAAAGGGGGCCGGCGCGGTGGCAGAAGATACTGGTTTTCCGGTTCTCTTGGCCTCTTGCTGGGCAAGATATTGCCTTCGATTGATTTCAAAATCGGCATCATTGAGGTAATCCTCAAGAGAGGAAGTCAGGGTTGTTGGTGCGTGCTTCAGCTTTGGTACCTCTAGGCGAGTTGATGATTCGTACTGCCGCGCAACACTTAGGTATTGGACAACTTGCGCCGTTTGCGCACCGAACGTCTTATAGATATTGAGTGCTCTCTCTGCATCTGGACGGGACATCTCGAAATAGTGCTCTTGCACAACTGTTAGCCAGTACTTGAAGATATATTACTGAGCGCTTACCAAGGACATTGATAGTGCCCTCATTCATAACTCTATATAACTCAAGTAAGTCGAGAGTTAAAAGTCGGAAAGCAGTCAAGGTGATCTCGTTGTCAGGATCGTGGTTCCCAAGGAACTTATTGATTAGCAAGTCGAAGGATGTCAAGGCATTCTTAACTTACATCGCATCGGACTAAGGCCTCGATCTCGTTTTGAACGATTTCAGTCTGTCTCAGCAAGCCTTTGTCGATTGTCAACCTCTTCATCTTGCCGACTCCAGCCTGGACGAAATCGGTCTTGGTGTCGCGATAACCACGGACTCGCTCAAGGAGATATTCATAGTATCGCCGAATATTGGTTCCTTGAGTTTGGACTACCCCACTATCAGAGACAAAACATAAGGATCATTATATCTATACACGGCTCGTACCTTCTGTGAAGCTGCTGATGGCTAATCTCTTTGGGGAATCTGATATATATCTCAATGTTATGTCGGGCTGCCCCTCCCTAATCATGAGATGAACGATGATCAACGACTTGAACACAATCGTCCATGTCGAATCTCTCAGGCGCAGTTGAAGTGTTCGAAAGACCTCAGCAACGCCAGATTCGCCCCCGTTCGTTGCAGATAGAATCGCCTCGACATATTTGGACTTTGGGGCCGCGAGCTGTTCCAGAATGTATCAGTCTACGATCCACAGATCGACTAGTTTGTGAATTTACCTTGATCTTTGTGGCACCTTTCACGATCTTCTCCATATTTACCAGGTATTTTTCGTCCTCCCACACCGCGAAGCAGAAAATGAATTCAAGGTGGTAACGGGGAGAGAGGAGCGGTGGTTCCGAGACGTCCGGTTGAATCGACGCGGAAATGATTCAGAGTGGTTGGTGAGGACAGGGAAGGCGACGACAAGAAAAGAGGCGCTATGCTGGCATGAGGACTATAAGGACATGTTGGACAAAACCGGCTGGCAAACAAGATCACAGCCACAGCCGGGTTGGTTGCGCAAAGAGGCAGTGAAATTGGAGGCTCAGTCGGCCTTGGGAGGATGCGTGCTTGGAAGGCTGCCCAGGGCGAGAATGACCAGCGTCACAGAAGGACGAGGGAATGAGGGACCGTCGGCGGGATGAAGTGTGTAGGTAGTTGTGAGAGAGAGATGTCCAAGAAAATGATCTACTGACGCGCCAGGTTTGCAGCGCCCTATACCAGAGCTGCCTAGCTGCAAACTTGGATTCGATTGGGAGGGAGAGAGAGCGTTGACGTACGAGGACACCAAGGACGACAAGCCTCAAGTTACTCTCACTGGCCATGGCCCGTGGCTTCGTTGGCAGCCGCGACTGACCAACGACCAACAGCCAACAGCCAACAGGAGCTGTTGCTCAGCGAACGCACGCTAGAGAGCTTGGCAGAGCAAACCGAGCAAACAGTATAAACGTGGCAAATTTCCATTCTTGCCAGCCTTGTCCAAACCCTTAACCTACTATTGGGATGATATCAACGAGGTCATTGATCGTGCCAATGAGGGGACAGTCTTTACTGGGGCTATTTGAGGAACTGCGTGCTGGAGCAGAGACGTGTGGAAGCCCATCTGCTGACAGCCTGAGCTTGTCCGGCCTCTAAACCAACCCTGTTGCCCCATGCGAGTGTTGCTAGAGCGCGAACAAGCATAATACCTTCTCAGGCCGAGACCTCGCTCCACCCCTTCCGGTGGATCACCATGGTTCTTTTACTGTAGTCGTTCAATTACTCTATCGTCGATTCCCGCTTCATCCGCTTCATCGTCCCATCTGGGCTATCTTCGACAAAACACCGCGCCTTCTGTGCTGGGAACGTGAGGTGAAGAGCAGTATCAACAATCCCGCTGATGATGAAGCCCCAAGGGTTGACATCTATAATTGGGTCAAATGCTGTAGGACGAATTTGATGCAACCTGGTCCGAAACTTATATAATAAAGGTGACTGAATCCCACAGGTACCGTGACCGAGAACTCAACTGCCCCTACGAATCCTGGTATACATGGCACAGTACCAACAAACCACTAGAATGCAGAACAAGCAGTCAGTCGTGGATACCGTGGGAGGGTAAGACGGTGGGCTCTCCCAAAGAAATTGACCGCGTCCAGAGCCCTCCAATTGATCCCTCAGCTGCACCAATAGATACTCGATCTATCACCAGTGTACAAATCCGGCATGCAAATCTTCCTCTTGTTCACGATGAAATAACTCGCGATCACCAATCCACCCATTGGTCCAAGAAACACTGCAAAGCTACAGAACACTGCCAAGAAAATGGTAGCAGTGTTGACCAACCGCCACGAATTTAGGGCCGTGCTTGCTACAGTCGTGGTATATCTCCCCTCCGAATATTACAAGATCGAACCGCACTGGAAAGTGCATTTCCAGGAACTTTGACGCCGATCTGGCTGACGACAAGTGCCAGTCCAACAAAGAAGGTCGCGGCTCTTGTCCACCTGGACTCGGGGCTCTGCTGGATCTGTTCTTTCCAGGGGGGCCTGCCACTTTTCCGGCAGCTCAGGACGAGGAATTCCACGCCTTCGTCGAGGATCTTCAATCAGTGATTTTTGAACGGAATGACAGTATTGTGTATCACGACACCATCTACCCATGGCGCTGCATTGGCAGGTCAAACCGCAGTGAGTCGACGCACTGGGTGCATGATTGGGCCACGGCATGTCTTCAAGGCTAGCCAGTGCGTTGCTTGGGCCTCTGACGGCAGTGCTGGATGGAAGCCCTTCTCCCCAGTATACTACAACTGCACAGAGCCATGGAGTGCTGTTTACGCGACCAAAATATACTCCTTAACGCAAAATAACTGACCTCTGATTAATGTACAAACAACCTTCAACTATGCTGTCTTTGTGCTGGACCAGCGTATTGTTGACACAATCAGCTATTTTGGCAGCCGTACCTTCGACCAAAATTGGGTCTAGGCCGTCAGTGACTGGATGTTCGTGGGGGCACGGAGCGGCCTGCCTACAAGGACAAAGTCAAGATCACCAGCCAGAAAGACTATGGTTACAACGGGCGACGCAGGAAATGGCCTGGGTCATTTCAACGATGTCACGGCTGGAATGGCTGGAGGGCCTGTGTTCGGGATGTAGTCCGGAGATTTTGGGCCCAGAGTTGGTGTGTCCAGCACACGAGAAAGGACCCCAACCGCGGCTCCGGATGGTAGAACTCCGTACCGCTACTGACAAATGAATTTGGCGGCAGATCTGCATTGCTGGAGCCGATAACATTTGCGATAAATGTGATGCCATGGTGCCATAGCTAAGAGGGGCGTTGTGATTGTGATATGTAGTGCCGAACCAGCACCTCGCGTTTCATGTAGCTTCTGCATTTCCTCTGCGCAAATGCCTCTGTTTAGCTGCAGATGTGGAGCTATTGATTCTGCATCTCAGCCTCTTCGGATGCCACGCGTTGACACAAGTTCTGAGCCTGGAATTAGCACTGGGTCTGCAGAACTTCTTTCTGTCGTATTTGCGCAGCCTAATTTAACGCCCAGCAACACATCTGCACATCACACTGGGCTGAAAGATGCACACATGGCAGGTTTCCTTCAATGCCAGCTAACACGTGTCCCCTGAGCACGAGGTTGTGACTTTTTTTCTAGGCGTTTTTATGTGTCTCTTCCTTCGCAAATACCTCACTAATATGGCTGTTTAAGAAACAGAAACTGGCCACATGGACGGTATAACTCTCTATCTAGTGGATAATTCAATTACACTATTATATCAGCTTCGCAGAAGATGGTATGGCTGCCTCATGAATATCGTCCTGGGTCATGGGCAAGTACAAGCGATATTATGGTATCGGAAGCGACAATGGCCATGTTACTTTTATGCGTCGGACTATACTGTCATCCTCCTAGATGAGAGAAAGTGATATAGACAAACATAATACCCTTTCTCTAGTGGCTTTACTAACGTGAGGTCTAGAGGAATCATTTAGTTTATACCATAGGAAGTTCTTTATTTAAGCATGCAGGTTCACCTCTTACGTATACTCTATTCTCCCCTGCAAGCCAAAGCAGTGGAACCGAACTTTACATATGCGACTTACGAGATTAGGGGTCGCGAATTGGTAGTTTGCTTCTTATGTGTGCCATACCACCACTTCATCACGGTAAACCCACACCGGTTCTTCTTCTCCCTGCATTCAGATTGTTTGTTAAGCTGCTAAGGCTGATTTTATGTCATCCCCATCAATCACGACGCTCGAGGCCTCTCTGGTCAATAATCTGAAAAAGGTATTTCGGGGCTCGATGCGTTCGCCGCCTTCACGGCGAGACAACTGGCTCGTGAAGGCACGTTTCTCAAGCTGCACTCCGTTCCATTGTTTTGACTCCCCCCATCTATCTCTTTACATTGGTTATCAGCTGCTGACTCTAACGACAAGACCAGCACATGAAGAGAAGTATGATAAAGCCACAAGCGCATCCGATGGATAAACCAATCTGTCTTCCCAAGCCAAGATTTTTCCAGAATGCAGCCGCGCCAGTGCTAGTTTCAATACCATACTCAATGGAGTCAAACCTTAACGAAGTGTCTCTCAACTGTTCGCGACATGCATCTAGCCAGCTCTCTGACTTGTTGAGGTTCGCAGCCTCGATAAAATTCTTGGTGTCAGCGCAATCTTCCCCACAGCAACAAGGTAGGATTTTCCCTCCATATGGCACGAGCCATTCAACGCGAGTGCCGACATCGCAGACCGGTAGTGTGAACATGCCTTCCCAACTAGCACCATCTTGGAACGGGGTCAGTCTTTCGTTTGATGTAAGAGCCTCCAGGAGCCTGGCTGTGGAAAGCTCCGAGGTATAGTTATTCCCACCCGCTTGTTCCCAAGCTCGAGCGCTGGATTCAGTGGTTTGTGATGGCTTGATAGAATAAAAGCTCCCGTTTAACACGGCAAAATCTGGTGGTTCTAGTTGAGTTTTATCATGGAAGTAGTATGGAACGTATGTTTTGCCGGTCCGTGGAGAGAGGTACCTGGAATCCTGGTGAAGTTCAGTATTGCTGATATTTGCGGTTGTACTTATGAGGTAAAGAGGCTTAGTCCTCCAAAGTCCGTTGACTGCGCGGGCAACAAGGGATGATCTATAGTAAGTTTCAACTTGTGTTTGTGAAGGCAACACAGATGGGTCGACAAACGCCCCGTCTTTAACAAAATCCAGAATGGAGGACCCATTCTCGTCGGTCTGTCCCGCAAAGGTGTCGTTTGCCCAAGAATCTATAGCACTGCGAGCTGCCGAACTCAGATTATAGAACATGTCATTAAGGCTGCGAATCCCGTCGTCCTTGGTAAGATCCTGTGCAGGCTGGAAAGATTCGGCTACGTGGGAAGTAGCTGCGCCTCCAAAGGTTCCCAAGCCAAAGAAGGCTGCAGATCCGACAGCGGTACCAACCCTGTATGCACCAAATGTGCATATACTAGTCAATGTGGCGGCTACCCAGAACCCAGCCGTGTTTCCATGATATTCGGGATCCTTCCATTCGAAAATGTTTGCTGCAAGGTCGTCTACCAGATTTGTTGCATCCAGTTGACCCAGGGTAATGCCATTGTACATAACATTAAACATTTGGTTAAGATTTTGAAGGGAGAGTGCGACCAGGTAGATCCACGAAGGATTCTCGGCTTCTTGTATCTCTGAAATCCGGTAAATATTTCAGTGCAGTCAAGAATCTCCACTAAACTCACCAAAACAAGAAGGGATAGTGCAGCTAGATATGGACGAAATCCCGCACCGGAACTGGTTGATACCAAGCAGTTTACCAAAGGCATGTTCAAATCTGCGAGCATCGCTCGAAAGCTCATTCTCCCACCAACTTTGTAGATTCTGATCCGCCTGGCTTGCAAGGTAATTTGCCGGAGTTGGGTCCCAACCAGATGAGACGTTACAAAGATTTGGATCCGTCTGCCGGGAAGCCGCCGACAAACTCCAGGACCTCAGACATTGAAGAATAAGAAGAATCAGAATGAAGTTGATAGACATACTAGCTACTCGCTCCTCGGATTATTGGCGAGCAAGCTGCCAGGGTGTGAGAAAGGTGCGAGTGTCAGAGATCTAGGAGAAAGCCGAGCCACTCTATAAGCTACCTAACAAGAGTTGTGTTTATTCATAACCGGCGGATACGAAGCAATACATAAATAGTAACAAGGAAATTCAATGGCGCGTTGCCGCGCTAGCAGTTTAATGAGAGGAGGCGCACCAGGAGGCTGACTCGGCTGAGCGCGTCGAGGGGCATCAGATTTTGCATCGCTAAGGCTGAAATCGCTGCTCCATGCTCTACACTCGGTCGAGGCTGACATGAGTAAGAAAGAACCCGATATCTAAAAGTCAGATGCTTTGGGACAAGGAGAGAAAGAAGTCTAGGCTTGATGTTAGCCGGGAACACAACTGCTCAATCTTTTAGACTTGCCCGATGGAGAAGAACACGGTTCGAGAAGGAAGAGGACGTGAGAAAGGCCACAGCCTCACAGGCGATTGCCGCGAGGCATCCGTTCTTTTAGGTGCTGTTGTCTTCACAGCCGGGTGGTGTGGTAGATCATGGTAGTACGATCAGGCATTGGTCGTCGAAAGTCCAATCGTGGGGGAAGTGTTCAAGCCAATGGACGCCATGACGCTAAATCCTAGCTAGTTATATAATAGCTGGAGATAGAAGGGAAGGCCAAGAGCCTCACGCTCGAGCAAAGACGATTGTGGATATCTCCTTCAGTCAATGAATATATTAGTAAGGGGACACGGGAAGATTCGAACTTTCCCCTGTTAGAGCTACTTACTATTCATGGCAATTGAGGATGTAGAAAAGCAGGTGATTCCATTTGTTACAGAGGACTTGTAGCCCAGGGGTCCACCTGGTCAATTAAGCGCCCAAACCGTATCGGCAAAGGGTACAATTGAGTTGCTGTCGTCAGAACAGGTAATTAATTATGGATTCTTGTCTTGATCAAGAAGGTGGGAAAACACAAGGCCGATGGTACAATACACATACGGTAGGTCACACCGAGCATAGCACGTCTTCAGGTCTCCACGAGCCCGCATGGCCTGATTGCCCTACCGCCTTTTATAGCTAATCAACTACTAGTTAAGCCTCGCCATTGGGAAACTGCCCGATGGCCTTGGAGTTGTCCGCCCACAAGCCGTCTGCGAGTCGTGCAACGGAGATTTCCGCGAGTTTGTCGTCGAAGATATTTGAGTCGAGTTAAGCTAGCTGGGTACTTAGGTACTCAATACAATGCACACCAAATTTTTTGGCAAATCTTTTTGGAAGAGAAAGGAGAGGTACCTTTGCCCAGTGAACTTGTTTTCCTTCGTGAATGTGGGGATTGGTCACAGCAGCTTCATTATATTAATATGCCAGGCGGACTGCATAAACTGGTGCACACCACGATGCTCGAGAGTCTCCAACCGCACGTCAGCAGCAAGCCGCAATAAATAATGTATAGAATAGGAGTTGACGTTGGTGGGACCAACACAGACTCGGCCATTCTCGATGTCACAGCCTTAGACTCACCGACACGAGGAGTGCTTGCCTCGTCGAAATCACCAACCACTTCAGACATCACCAGCGGGATCTACAACGTCATAAAAGATGTGCTAGCTAAATCCAACACTCGAAGACCGGAGGTACTGAGCGTTACCATCGGAACGACACACTTCGTGAACGCAGTCGTCGAAGCCGATGAGAGGAGACTCAGCAAAGTCGCGGTGGTCCGACTCTGCGGTCCGTATACTCGACAGATCCCGCCGTTCTCAGATTTTCCTGTGAGGTTGAGGAAGATCGTTGACGGCGGAGTCTACTATGTGGACGGTGGCTTCGACATCGACGGCAAGGAGATTCAAGCACTTGATGCAAAGCAGATTGAAACCGTGACCGAAGAGATTAAGAGTGCTGGCACTACGGCAGTTGCAGTGGTGGGAGTATTCTCGCCACTGGACTATGGCTGTCTTCAGGAAGAACGGTGCAAAAGCATAATGCTCGGCTTGGACCAAAACCTAGCCATTACGTGCTCTCGCGACATTGGACCTCCTGGATTGCTCGAAAGGGAGAACGCAACCATACTCAATGCTTCAATCCTCTCTGTTGCCCAAAGGGTCATCCACGGATTCAGGAGAGCGATGATGCGACTGAGTTTAACTTGTCCTTTGTATTTGAGCCAGAACGATGGTACTCTCACAGATGTTGAGTCCGTTTTGGAATTTCCTATCAAGACCTTTGCCAGCGGACCAACGAATAGTGCGATGGGCGCGGCGTTCCTCGCAGGCTTAGACAAGGCGCATGCTGTGGATAAGTCTGACTCAAGACCACAACAAGTCATTGTTGTGGATGTGGGTGGCACAACAACTGACGTCTGCGCACTGCTACCGTCAGGCTTTCCTAGACAGGCCTCTAGTTTTGTCGAGGTTGGTGGTGTCAGAACCGTGTTCTCCATGCCGGAAGTGGCTTCAATTGGCTTAGGTGGTGGCAGCAGAGTCAAGCAGAATAATTCTGGAGGAAAGGTGGTGGTAGGGCCTGATTCTGTTGGACATCTCATTACCGACAAGGCTCTAGTATTCGGCGGTGATGTTATGACAGCAACGGATATCATCGCTGCCCGCGGAAAACACCAGATAGGAAACCCGGCATTGGTGGCAGATATCCCAGAGCGAGTAGTGAGCGACACCTGTTTGGAGATCAAACGAATGATCCAGACTGTTATCGAAGAGATGAAAGTCTTAGCGGATCCGCCTATGGTGGTTCTAGTAGGCGGTGGGTCCATCCTAGTGCAGGACGATTTAGACGGAATTGTGTCATGTATTCGACCACCACATCACGACTCGGCGAATGCTGTTGGAGCGGCCATTGCGAAGGTAGCCGGTGAAGTCGATACTATTGAGATCCTTCAAAACCAAGATGAGAGACAAATATTGCAGAAGGTAAAGGCGAACGCAGTCGACCTTGCCATCAGAAAGGGCGCTGCTAAAGAAGAGGTAAAAATCGTGTCAATCGATAAAATCCCCCTTCAATACGTCACCAACAAAGCCACAAGATTCATCGTCAAGGCTGTCGGGCGATTGGAGTCTGGAGCAGAGATGACACCTGCTCCTAAACCAGAAACATCACCAAAAACCAACGCTTTTGACCTTGCAGAGGAGCCGGCTGAAGAAGGGGTAAAGAGACTGGCGGATCGAGAGATTAAAGAGACTCCGCACAAGCCGTCCATGAATCTCGACATTCCATCTTACCGCCCACACGTGAGAGATGGAATATGGTCTCTATCAGAAGTGGATCTGGAGTTCATTGCGTCAGGGACTGGAGTCCTGGGCACTGGTGGTGGCGGACCATCCTATCGTGAGTATCTCGCAAGCCTGGATTGTCTACGCACCAAAGGCTTTGGCAGAATCAGGGTCATTTCTCCCAAGGCCTTGAAGGAGTCTGATTTGGTTGCGTTCGGGTCTTGGTATGGCGCCCCAAGCGTGTCAGGAGAAAGAATCCCGGCTGGATGGGAGATTCAGAACGCTATCGACACGGTGAACAAGGTTTTACGAAACACTGATTTCCAGGCAATGGTCGCCGATGAGATCGGTGGTGGCAATGGCCTGGCCGCTTTCTCTGTGGGGGCACACTATGACAGACCTATCGTTGATGCAGACGGTATGGGTCGAGCGTATCCTTCCATGGAGCACAGTAAGAAATGACACACCCGTCTCCGTTGATGCAAAATCTAAACGGCTGGGAATAGGCACAATTTATCTCAACGGCTTTCCGATCACACCGTGCGCAATTTCGGACGCATGCGGCAACGTTTCGGTCATTATGGTGAGTTAAATCGTCATTGTCGCAAAGATTCCAGTTACTCACCGGATACAGGAGGCAGAATCCAATGCTCGTCTCGAGAAAATGCTCCGGCAGATCGCGATAGAGCTTGGACTGGGTATAGCAATATCAGCACGGCCACTACCAGGTCCGGTGATTCGGGACTATACAGTTCCCAACACTGTTTCGCAGGCATGGTATCTAGGGCGTGCTATACATCTAGCCCGTAAGGCAAAGACGAGCTACATTCAAGCAATCGTGAGTTGTCCTGCAATTCTCTGTGGGACTAGTTCGCCTGATTAATTGTGGTTGCAGTTCGAAACCACACCGGGACGCCTGTTGTTCTCGGGCAAGGTTGTCGACGTTCGTCGCGATGTCCAATCTGGATATACCATGGGGACTTGCATCATTGCACCGTTATCTGATGATGAGAAGGAGCAAGGCTTTGGTTCGGACATGGGCTCAGACGCTCGTCACCTCAAAATCCCTTTCCAGAACGAGTATCTGTACGCCGCATACACAGATGACGAGGGAATCCGAGAGACAGAGGTTATCTGCACCGTACCTGACCTTATCTCTATTCTCGGCCAAGATGGCGAAGCGATTGGATCTCAAGAGTTGAAATATGGCCTCAAAGTCAACGTCATTGGAATGCCTGCCCATCCGCTGTGGACTGAGAGTGAGATGGGAATGAAAGTTGGTGGTCCAGCATACTTTGGTTTGAGCATGCCATGGAAGAGCGTTGGAAAATACGAGATGCCTAGAAGCGTTGTTGATGACTTCGATGGCTGAAGTAAATTGAGGCCCGTTTGGAACACCAGTCCTGCTCCTTTACTTGTCAGGCTTTCAGATTTGGAACCGGTCGGCATCAGACCTGAGCATCGGGATATACCTCAGAGTGGGTTCAGAGGTCAGCTCGGAAGGTTGTCAACCCATCTTCAAGTTGAACAAGATTTTGGGAGGGACCACTAGAGGCAGCATGCCATGCCGAGTACTCGGCCATGCCACGGGATGCGTCACGTGATACCATTATGCAAGAAATGGGTCATGTGACACTACTTAACCGAACATACAGTAACATACTGTATACACGTTTCAAAAAGGTCCGCCCCGCGCATCGCCTCACGTGGGTCTTGAGTCTCGACTCTTCACCCGACAAGCAGCACTAGCAAACTACATTTATATTTATGACTTCCACTATTCATGGGACCAAGTCATGCCATCACTTTCCCCTCGCGCGGAAATGCAGAACAGGCAACTTCTCCACCTGTTGGAGAAGGCATCGAGGTGGAATGATAAAGAGCAAGAAACGCCGTTCAGAAATCATCTCTCGGGTGGGGGGGTTTCCCACATGCTTTGACAAGCAACCGAGCAAGCGAGTCCTCACCAAGTCACTGCCTCGTAGAGTTACCTAGGCACAAAATGGATTATTCACATGCTCAATGCAAATCTGTCCCTACACAATGGTATTACTCATATCATCATTCATTTCATTCTTATTTCTCAAACATTTGAGTTGCTGTAACGTAAAAGCATACGTGGCAATCCCTGCCATGGCCAACTCCTAGCCCTAGCTTCGAATCCACTCACTCTGAGCCTAGTAAAGGCAACATGAACGACTGTGAGGAGGCTAAGCATCCATTGATGTTCCCGGACCGTTTGGCACAGCGCACCCACACCAAATGAACAAAACCCTGATAGCAATGGTTCCGCCAGTACTAAGTCCACACAGTTGACAATCTCCGTTCCAAAAGCAATCGACCCAGGCACTTATACATGGTATGAAGGGGATAGGATATACAATCAATTTCGGAAGGTCCTCATGATTTGTGTCCTTGCTCAATCCATCATGAAATCCCCTCTCAGCATTCTTTCGCCGAGATGGTCAGGTTTCTTCATCTTGGACATAGATTCGGCGGGCTTGGTGATCTCCTTTGGGGGCGCCGGGTTGGAAATGCTGGCCGACCGAGGGCGTGTAGAATGAGAAGAAAACGGGTTGCCGGATGAGAAGGACGGAGAACGTCTGGTTCTGTCACGGATGGCCTCTGACCAATTGAAACCTTCTCCTGTGCAATATTAGTGTCCTGATCTGCAGAAAGATGGTGGATGAGAAGCCGGTGTGGTTGCAAAATTCATGCAAGAAAAAGATCTCAAGGACAGGCCTCGACTCTTACCTGCAGTCTTGGCCGTCCCCGACGCAACTTTACGTGATGGAGTGGCATTTTCAGAATTCTCATCCAAGGTAAACAGGGAAGATGAGGGGCGCCTACCACCGCCAGAAGCTGAAGGACTCCCTCCTCCTCCTTTGACATCTCGCAAGGCCTGGGCCCCAAAGCTCACCCGACGCGCAAACGAAGGGGAAGCTGGAGGCTGTATGGTTGCCTGAGTCTGGTCGTCCTCCTCGATGACTGCCGGTTCATCCCCAAAACTGTTCCTGAACTCGGGAGAGCCCGAGGCGGACGAGGTAGCAATGCTGGCTCGTCGTTGACGTGCAAATGCACTGTAAGGAGAAGATTGATTGGAAGGGTTGGTAGTCAGTCCCAAAGAAGTGATGGAAGCACCTCTTCGATGATGGGGCGCAGGATTGGCAGGGACGGCAGCAGAAGGGGGGGAGGAGGACATGGCTGCGGTGGTTGAATGGGATCGGGGGTTGAACATGTCGACAATCGAGGCACGACGACGGTTGGGAGGTGGGGATGCAGGGGCGCCTTGATCAGCCATATCGATCAAGGTGCTTGCTGCACTGAGGTATTCTGTTCTTCGATTATCGGCTTCGATACTGGAGGTGGAATTTGAGGTTGTCGTTTGGATGGTATACGGCAGTGGTGGTGTAGTTGTAGGGGCTCGAACAATTGGCGGTAGGAGCACAAAGGAGTAGATAGAGGTCACGTCATGGTGGTACGGGCGTCGCCTGATCGAACAGCTGATTGGAGGGGCCGAGGAGACAAGGGATACTAGGGTAGACGATCAAGGTACTGTGGGCCCGCTGTGGGTAGGGCGGGGAACAAATGGTGATGATCAATGGTGAAACACAGAGACGGTGAGGTAGAGGAGAGGGAGAGAGTGAAGGAAACGAAGAGGGAAAAGATGAACGTGAAGAGCAGGGAGACCAGAAGCAAGGTTTGCATTCGAAGAGGGAAGAAGAGGGAAGTTCCATATCCATATATTTTCCAGTTGTGCTCGGTATACGGATAGGAATTAGTTAGGACGTGCTGGAGGTGCACTGGACAGTTGTAGCCTGTAGGTGGTGCAGGGGAGGTCCCTAGGCCTGTCAGATTCACGAGTCCCCTAACCTGATGGGCTGGAGGGGGGAATCAACAGCCGTGTCAGGAAGCATTGTCCAGGTGCATTAGGCCCGCATTGGTGCCCGAAGCTGGTTGGCTTCAACGGGCTCCTCGGACGCCCCCCAGGCTACTTCGGCTCCCTAGGAATAAAAAACCGACCAACGGGAGGCGCGGAGAGGAGCTGGAGAAGAGCCAGGGCCCAGGGGACTGGGGACTGGGTTATAGGGTTATAGCTAGTAATCTTGGCTTGTGGGGTAGTTAGAGCTTACGGTGCAGACTCTAGAGACCTTGTACGATGTAGTTACTCGGCACGAGGGACGGCGGACGGCGGACTGACAACTCAACCACAGCCAACAGCACTTTAACTAAACTCTGCTGTGGAATCTGAGTACGGAGTACGAAACGATGATGGAGACATGCTGGCACATCATGTCGTTGCCATGCCCTTGAGGTCCCGTGATTAGCATCGCACCTCATTCGGTCTCAGAACTACACGTGGACAATCCCGTCTTCTTAACCAGGACCAGTTGCAAGTGTCCTTCATCTATCGTCTGCTTAGTACCGGCTATCCAGGGAGGAGTCAGGAGTCAGGAGGCAGGAGTCAGGACTGTCCTTGCTCCTAAGTTCTTGTGAAATTGGTAAGTCAAGACTTACTTAGTCGGATATCTCTCGGCCACTGCATCTCACTCAAGATTTAACAGGAGTCTACACGCTAGTGACAACACCTCTACTGAAATTCCCTCATGAGCCATCCATTATGCAAGGTTCTTTGTACCTGGTTCCTTTCCTCCTCCTGTCAGCCCGGAAACTGGCGGGAGCATTCCTCAGAAGGCTCTGTTCCATGCGGACAATTTGTAAGGAAAATTGGTCCTTCTAGCTGGAACCTGGAATGTAGCAGCTGGTTGGTATGCACTGAAACGATTGCCAACTAGTTCCAATGCGCCATCTTTGTCTAAATGCGGCTCTTACACTCCATCTTCAATTACGAAAGTTGTGCATTCATTGTGGGCTCCTTTGCAAGCGTTTATCTCTTGGTTCTGAACCATGCTAGTAAGTGAAATTGAGTACCACTGGAACATGATGTCAGTTGTTTCGTCTCAAAGCCGCTGCTTCACATCTTAGATAACTCATCCCACAATGGCAAAAAGGGAAGCCCGAAAGCCTTCAGAAGCTCAGACTTCACCTTCTACACATCCTTTCCATGACATGGATACCCCTCTCCAACCAGAATCTGTTGGCCCGGTTGGTTTGGATGAGCTCACACCGTCCAGAAATTAGGACAGGACTCACGCAAGGTGACAGGATCGCTTAGCAAATCAAAGCAATTGAATTGATCACTACTTTTACTGCGAGTGAGAGGCTGGTAATCATCTTAGATGTTGCCTCATGTCTGCCAGATCTCCATAGACTGCTCAAGGACAACAAGGCATCTAGCGAATCTACAGAAAAAATCCTCATCCCATCATATCATAATTTGTTAGAAACACCCACAGCGGATTCAGACTCTGAAGAAGGCGGCTTGATTGAACCCAAGTTTGCCATTCGGGCCAGGGAAACTTGCAAGCTCACATATCATAAGTGGCAACAAGAAGCCTATCGGTCTGAGCTGCATCGGCTCAGGCAGCTAGCCTGGAGAAGTCTCAGAATTCCTCACAAAGTCAAAGAGAGAACGGGGATCCTCCAAAGAGCAGAAGAGGGTTCATTGATGCTGCATTTTTCGACATGCCTCTCGTCTCCACCACATTTTCACATTTGCTTAAAACATCGGACACCGCAGATCCGAGAAGCGTTGAGGATTGGTCGACGAATCGCTAGATGCCGGGGTGGTCCCAACGACAAATATGACCAACTTCGCTTTTACGAGGAGACTGAATTTCGTTCAGATGGCGTCGCATCTGAAAGTCTTAGTAAAATGCATTTGTACACTCGCTTTCCCATCGTAATGTCATTGTCATCATCTTCAATAATCATCATCACAGACTGCTTTCATCACAGGTGGGACAGGAGGCAGCTCAAAGCTAACTCCACAATCGGCGATATCCCGATCAAACTCTGACCACCCCCAGTCTGTACTAGCATCGTTCACACTGTTGAAAGATCCCGGTGCCAGCATCTCCTCTGACTGTGGCACCAGAATGCTATCTGGAGGCAATGGTGGGAAAGGCGAGGGTTTCGGTGTGTCCGGTAGATACTCTGGACACTGCTCCGAGAGCGTTTTCCACGAAGATATTTTCTTTTGCGAAAGGGAGTTATGGTCTTTCAACTTTTGGCAGCGGTGGTGCAGAATATTTGGGCCAGTTCCGACCGGTGTCATGGTACGATTTCGCTCTTCCCAAACATGGAAAGAACAGTCGAACAGCAAAGAGGCGCCAAGCCGATTCTCGACAACAAGCGAGTGCGGCCGAGAAATCAACAAGGATCCGCTTGCTAGTCGATTTTGTGCCCTCTCACGGAGGATATGGACCAACAAAGGAATATTGATTGCAGCTCGGGCATGGTCACGGTGCTGCGGAAACGACCGAAAGATCTTAGACGCGTCTTGAAGGGCTGAGACGATAGTTTTGCGATCCTGTGGGAGTACAATCGCGTGATCACTGCCGACGAGAGCACGAAATATGAACATGACCGCGAAGTAAAGATGCGTGAAGTAGCTTTTGGCATGGAAGGTCAACAGCCTCACTGGGTAGTTCGTGGTGGCTGGGCTGGATGAGAGACTGATGTCGGTCATGGCGGAGATCAACTGTAAGGCAGAGTGCAAGCCTCTTTGAAGGATAAGGTAGTGTTGGGCCAATATGTTCGGTGAGATATGGACCGAAGTTGTGGAGGATACCTTGGATACTAAGACAAAACTCAAGGCGTAGAGATAGAGTTTAGATCCATGAAAGATCACCTCCAGGTTGGAATTCCAACATGCGAGGTATTTCTGTTTGACTTGGTCGAGCATACTGTCGAACATTGCTGCACTAGTGAAATAGCTGCTAATATCCTCGTCTGTATCAATATTTGACTGATAGAGACACGTGATTTGATTGAGCTCCAGCTGTGCTAGCAATGGAAAAGACGGCTGTTCGGCCATGCTGGAATACACACCATCTTTGGCCTTTTTGAGTTCCTTGAATTGCCGGGGTGTGGAGAATTTGGGACTGAACCCTAAGAAGATGCTGAGTCTGGAAGATAGAGTTAGCGTAACCGCATTTGAAATGAATGAAATGAGACCGCCTATGGGTCTCGAAACTCACTGAGTACTGATGTTAAAACAAGCTAACCACGTCTTACGCTGGGTGGTGATGTTCAAATCATTTGCATAGGCGCCTCCTAAGACCTTCCAGCCCCTGATCGGACTGTTCTCCGATAACGGGTTGTGACAATTGAATCGCAAGGCAGCATTGATGGCAAGGCCAATGTGCTCCCAAGAAGGGTCGTCAAAATGATGCTCTTGGGGGACCGGCCATAAACAAACTAAGAGGAGAGAATGGACAGATTCGATTGACTGTAAGGCGGAGAGGACTTCTTGCGACACTAGCTGGCGATGTGCGATAAGCGTAACGTTGTAAAGGGTCGAGTAGTTTTGATGTAGTTGGCAAGAGATCATCGTAATCGTCCAGAATAACAACGGCGATCGATCCGCCAGACCAGACAGTGACGACACTGGCTCAAGGAACGGCGCATGAGGGAGAAAAAACTCCTCGAAACTGATTTGTCTTGATTTCAGTATATCGCAAAAATATGAGGAAATGGAAATTCTTACTGAGCAAACAGGTCCACTGCTATCTCCCATCGTAACTCGGCACTGCCATGAACGAAGCAGCTGCGGTCTCTCTGCGTTTCGTTACGAAACCAGCTGCCAGGAGGTGTACTACTAACCGCTCTAGACGTCGAGCGATCTCCGTCTTTCCCGGCAGAGGACTGGGGCCGTTCCCACCTGTCACTCGAAGGGAGCGCAAGATTCTCTCCTGGGGAACGCAGTGGGCTGCTTATGGCAGGCCTCGATTGGCTTGATGATCGGCTTAGAGTGCTGAACTGCAACGAAATACCCCATGCATATCTAGGAGTGGATCAGATATTAAGCCAGGTTGGATTTTGCATGGTGGGCAATATGTCAGAATGGACTTGCTTATACGTACCCTCTCGTAGCTACGCGCTTGAAGCCTTTGTCGAAATGACAATCCCCGTTCCTCTCCCTACACCTGGTGCACGGTTTTCTTAGCTGAGATGTGGTCAGATTCGATACCAATCCATCAACTGGGACTTAAGTTTACCCACATGAGCGTCACAGCCTTGTTTTACCTGCCGGCAATAATTGCACGAGCGTGCTCGACGCCCCGTTGGCATTTTCTCAGCCTTGTAGCACCAACCCGCGTCAGGTTAAGCTGGAGGACTTTCAGTCTCCGCCAGGGCCAATGTTGAGTAGAATGGTCCCTTTATGGCAAAGTTTAATTTGTCCATCCTGATATAGCTGTAGATATTTAAATACTTAGCGACGACAATCGGATTTCAGCACGATGGCTCAGGGAAGGCTGAGCAATTACGTAGTTTCAGAGGACGACTGATCGTCTTGGGGGCCTTAACCTGGTATCGCCACAAACCTGAGGGTGTCGCAAGAGAAAGGCAGTGCGATTACGCACTAGCAACCTCGACCGCCCCAACTCTCAGCAAATCTATCCAAGGATAAAAGCACAAAATATTGAAGCCTAATCGAGCTGAATTGAGGCGCCCACAAGGTATGATATCGTTACCTATTCAGCGTACCTAAACTAAAGAGCCTCGGCCTCGTCGAGGATTGCGCGGAAAGGGGGTTGGCCCTGCGGGGGAGCAAACAATAAGATAGGCAGTTTCATGAATTGACGCTCACGATGTAATGCTTGGCCGTAATTAAAGTCGGGACATTTGTTTTTCCGAATCAAGCTACTCCAGACAGAACGCCTAAACACCCAGCGATGATTCGTACGCTTTTACTGTAAATATATGTGAAGCACATCAATCAGCCGTCAGTTGTCGCAAGCTTCGAATGTGCTCAGCTGAATTCCCGAGGATTAGGTGACATCCATGCAAGCTCCATACTGTCTAGGTCACCGGAGTCGTTGGAATTGACGTGCCCAAATTTATGACCCGGACTGAGGCTTTCTTGCTCAACAGGCTTCTCTCTTTCCGTCCACTGACTGAACTTCCGGGCAGATATTTTTTCGTCGAACATCCGATCAAGCTGCAGCGCTGTTCGACCCAGCGTTTCGGGAAGAACGAAATAAGCGAGGACAAAGGTTGCTCCACAAATGCCAACCCATATATACCCAATCTTTGCCCCAAGATTTCCAGCGTCATCGTTGTATATATATGGCGTGCCCATGGAAAACACCAAATTCGATACTCCACCCACCGCCCATGCAACGCCGGTAGTTTTCGCTTTCAGTCGTAAGGACGAGGATTCACCTGTAATAACGTATGATGCTGGCCAAACACCCAAGGCTGCCACAAGCGGTACCAGGTTTGTCGTGGCACCTACGATCCTGGACAATATTAGTCCCATGGTTCTCAAGAATTCGAGGAGTTGGAACATACCATGCCGCAAAATCGGCCTGAATAGTCCCCCCAATGCCCATCACTCCCCACAGACACGTCAAAGGCAATAGGGTATTGAGAACGAGGGTTCGCCTTCCAATGAAACTGAGCAGCCACATGCTAACAATAGTGCCGCTGATCCCGCAAAGGATTCCAGTGAGCAGGAAGATAAAACTCGTCGAATCCTCCATGCCAGCTTTCTGCAAGAAATATGGACCGTCTCCCAGAACGGGAAGGCCAAAAAGCTGAGGAAGTACCGAGCCGAAAATTGCAAGGCCAGTGCGTCGAAAATCGACACCCTTAAAGCAGTCCAGGTACGTCGCTGCGTTTCCAGATGCCCTCTTTTCCTCGTGTTCTACAGACTGCTTTAATTCTGCAACCTTTGCATAGCTGTCCATATGCGGAGAATCCAAACGCTTCTGGGCCTTGATTGCACCAGTGATGTTGCCCTTCCGCACCAAGTAAGCCGGACTCTCTGGCATAATAATGGCAAGGACGACCGGGAGTGCTGAAAACGGCCATTCCGAAATAATGGCTGTCACGTATTGCATTTTCCCCACCTTATTCTGCAGACTCAACACGATGATAGCACTAACAAGTTGACCGATGAGAAAGAAAATCGGGAAGAAGGCGAGGAGCGGTCCACGAAGTGTCGATGGAAGGACTTCGGAAATGTAGGTTTGTGTTGTGGTCACGACCACACCGATGGTCAGGCCTTGCGTGAACTTGCCAATGCCAAAGACTAGCTGGTTATTACTGCTCACATAGGCCGACAAAAAGACAACTGCGACACCCAGAGCTGAAGTCAGGCTCCCGAGTCCAAGTGATAGACGGCGGCCGAATCTGTCTTGGAGCCATCCACCAACAACTGAGCCCATCATCGTTCCTAATGGAGACAACGCATTCCACACGCTCAGCCACTTTGAAGGAATGGTGAATTCGTCCTTAGCCTCATTAAATTCACCATAGTCTTTCCTACAAGACATGTCAGTCGATCGCAGGTCGTGGAGAGGGCTGCTGCGACGCGTACTTGAACTCATCCATTCCGTACAAATTTCCAGTCATGGCCATGTCATAACCCCAAAGCAGAATTGCTGAGGTGAGAGCAAGACAGTAAACTGACACGCGAGAGTGTTCTTTCAGACCTGCCCATAACTTGGGACCTGGTTTACGTTTCGATGACGACGATGGCGCTTTCGACTCGGCAGAATGCTTTGAGGGCAGCATGGGGGCCGCCACGTCGTCGGTGGTGGGCATATTTGAGACCATGTTGCTCTGCTGTTCTTATTTTTTGGCTTGGAGATCTGTAGGCATTAGTACCGACATGCTTACGCAGAGAGCGAACTGTCTCGATGTTATACTTGACTGATTCTTAAGCCACCCCTTGTCCCAAGATTAAGGTCTACAGCCAAGGGGTCGATCCACTAGGTAAGGCTGTTTCTCTAGGCCCACCTGCAAGTTCTAAGCTTAAATGGTGTATGCTTGCGAATGTTCTAGTCACTAGCTCAAGGCAATGCGTCCAATGAGATTCAATCCTACCAGCACTGTAACTCTTAGACAGTCTCTATTTCTTGGGACGGATTGTTGTTTGTTCTCAGGCAGCGACTAGGTGGGCTTAAGCTTAAGGGAGATCAAACACTATAAATACGACACTCCTGATCATGCAGCTCAGCGCTCGCAACGACGCCGCAACGCGCGCACCATGACACTTGCTGTGACTTTGTAGATTTTAGTGTTTCATGTGTTGAAATAGCACCACTCACATTTGGCGATGCCATCGGCTGGAAGTCAGGCCGGCAACCTCTTCGGTGATGGTCAGAGGCTTGACAGAGCCGTATCGCCGACCATGGTCCTATTGGCCAATCTCGTAAGGACAGCTCTCAACGTGTGGAGAGATCGTATACTGTGTCCAGGCTCCTTGATTAGCTTGGGGCTAAGAACCACCCATGTACGCAGCACCGATTACAAACTGCAGATATTTCTTTGATGGCACTGCTCTCTCCTACTCTGTACTCGTACTGGGAGACGCTACAATCTCGGCAACAGTTGGCGAACCATGTATCTGTACTCCGTAAGGAGTATAAATACACAAACGGGCACGGTTCTCAAGTGTCAGAATGAGGCGCCCCACCCCCATAGAGCCTCAAAAGCCTGGAAATTGGCGTACGCAGTGCTCGTATTATCCGCATTCTGCGGCTCTCGCAATCAAACTGCGAGACTAACCATCTTTGGAAGGGAGGCTCACATCAACCGCGAGGCCTTTTGCTATATCACTATCGATTCGAGGGCAAACATTCTCACTCCTACAGAACATCAACGAGTCAATTTTGATCAAGTAATGTATCAAGGTCGTGTCTTTGACGCCACATGTGGCTATGCCGTGCTAGATGATTCATTTCCTTGCATTTGAGCATTGTCGTCATCAAAGCCACAATGTTCGCAAAACTATTTGCGCCAACCATGTGCAAATATAGGATCCGCCGTCGAGTGTACGAGTCGCTTGAACATTATGTCGTTGGCAATGTCGATGCCTGAGAGATCACTCACAATCTAAAAATGGGGACGCTTCTCTGGACTCCGATCGAGTACAATCCCATCCGACAGAACCACAACTTGATCCTCTTCCACAAGTCCTTTAGCATACCGTCAACGCTAGAATCCCATTGCCACAGAAACTGCCATAAAGCCTCTGAAAGATATTCACATTACACACATTCTTAATAGACAGGCCGCCATGTCAGACTTCTTCAACTTCGACGACGCCAAATTTGCCGCTTCCTGCCGTCAGCAGGGTACTGCAAAACTCCAGAAGGAAGAAATTCGCTGCAGCCGCTCCAAGGTAGCGAGCGGCTTCGGATTATTCTAGGGTGTTGTCGCCACTGCGTCGACTCACGGAGCCGCGTTTCCAATCCCACTCTACTGCATCAGAGCGAACGATCTTGCTTCACGTAAACGCGAAGCCATTCAGACAGAGCTCGCAAGACGAGGTGTACCATCCACGAAGACCAGCTTTCGTGACGTTCGACATGGCTTTGGTGCCGCTTGGCTCGGACAACTTGCTCTACCGCTTGCTGATGGTTTATCTGCTGATGGTTTAGGAGCTAGCGCTGGTGGCAATATCAGTGGGGGGAACAGCGTTGGAGTAGAAGAAGTCCTGAAGGAGACGGGCAAGCAGGTCCCAGGAGAGCTCGTCACCGGTGCATATGTTAAAGGGCACAAAGTCAAAAAGTAGCAACTTATTGATGTCAGAGGACAACTCTTTGCATGAGGCTCCAGGATAGTTTCCACCAGCAGAACAGGGTATGGGGTTAGGGCGATGTTCCGGTTGCTTTTTTTTGGGAGATGATGCTAAGATGTATGGGTTTTTGGATGAATGCCATTTGCACTCCTTGATAGAGAAATTCCTGAAAATATCGATTTTGGAATTGCAATACGTGGTACGGACAACTTCCATAGTCCAGATTACTTACATACAGCCCCTTGCTGACTCTTGACTTCTTCGTGGCTGATAATTTTGGAATTGCTTCAACGAAGTACACTGCGCCCCTATTGGCGATAGCCTTGCAGTATCATCTCCACGAACTCCAAGTCATTTCCCTTTACTGGGGAGGGCATTATCTAGATGATAAAGGTTGAAAATTGGAGGAATGGGAGGAAGCTCTTCCTCTAGAAAAGATATCTAACGACCGGTGAAGATGAACCATTGATAATTTGATAAATCGATTTGATGGTCTCCAGGCCGACAAAACGCAAGCCCGCCTATCAGGAAGCTCCGATAAACCAAGCCTTATCGTGTGGTCAACAAGCCGACTGAATCCCTATCTGCGCGGAGAAACCAACTTTCCTTTCCTTTGCACGATCTACCACTTTGTCTGGCCGTGCCTTTGCTGGCACTTCAGACGACGCTCTATCGCAATGGAAACCTTTCTATTGGTCTGTATGTGGCTCGCAAGAGGACGAACATTGTCTCCTTCGAGCCTCAACATGATTGAAATATTGCTTCTCCATGGACATCGGCCCTGCTAGTTCTTCGGCTGTCTTTGCCCATAAGTGATATATTCATGCACTGGCACTCACTCTAGTCTCGAACTATTGGATCTGCTTGGGAGAACACGATTCAACGACTACATCCCTCGTGTCCATTCCGACTTTCGAACTTGACAAGTTACGCGCCCTCCTAGTGTAATCGTCCACGATACAATGCCTGACGCAATGCCAATACAAGAGGAGTCCGACCATTTTTCCCCCTACCGATCGGACGGGAAGCTCTATGGCTTCGTGTGTGTGGTTACCGGTGCAAACATGCCTGTGGGAGGGGCTATTGTGGCAGAACTGGCAGGTGCGTGGCAAGCATCAGACTATGCAGCAACATGTGGAAAACTCAATGATATGAGAAATTAACGTGTAAAGGTGTCCGTGTTCAGCCCACGGTGCAGCCAGCATCTACGCGTGCACGGCGACGGACCAGCCAAGTGGACTACAATCCACGTTATCTAGCCTATACCCAAAGACTAAGGTCATTGATTACCCATACTCGATCTCGAGCGAGCAGGACACCTTGACTCTAATAGATGAAGCGCTCAATGCCTTCGGGCGCCTTGACGTATGGGTCTGTAGCTCGGGTCTGCTGGGCCCCCCATCGATCGACCAGACGACACCAGCAGACCTGCAAAAATGCTTCGAGGCGAATTCGCTCGCGCCATTCTTCGCCCTGAAGTACGCACCTCACGCGATGCAGAAGACTAGCCCGAAGGGGAACTACGCCAACGCCGCGCCGAAGGACCATCGCTACGGGAGCATTATTGTTGTCAGCAGCACGGCGAGCACTTATGGTGGTTGTTGGGGCCCCTGTTTCACGATGAGCTCTCACGCCGCGTTGGGCGTGGTGAGAAGTGGCGTCGCGGTGCTTAAGGGAACGGGAATACGCATCAATGCGATTTCTCCCGGGCAGATTGATGTTGGTGTAAATCTCAAGGATGGATATGACACCAAGGGGGCGGGGATGGGTCAGCAGTTGCCTCCAGCCGAGTTGCAGAGCCCACAGGCACAGGCTATGAACATTGGCCTCGAGAGAGCAGGCATGCCGCAAGAGGTTGGACGCGTTGCAGGCTTTCTAGCCAGTGGGTTCAGCAGCTATATAACTGGGGCTAATATGGTGGTGGACGGTGGAGCGAGTGTTATGTGTCCTTTGATGGTACCCATATAGACCACAATTTCTCCTCACGAATTGAAGGGCATGGACGCGCCACAAGGCCATCAATATTTCCAACGCCAGATGGGGACCACTCAATAAGGAAAACATCCGGGTGCCAATTGTGCTGCGATAGATTTGGGTTGTAGGAGGTAGCTATCTAACAGTACCGTCATGAAATTTGAAAAAAGCGGTCCTGCTAGCGAAAAAAGACCCCCTCGGAATCCAAAGATCCTTCTTCTGGGCACCTTGTAAATGATCAAAGAGCTATGGGAGGAAAAGCATTTTGATGATAAGGATTGGTGCCATATTGTTCGCTTTTCAAGCTTATGAGAAGGAGCATGTTGTCGTGTCAGTCAGGAAATGAGAATTGTCCCAGGAGAGGCCCAGATTGAGCGAAGAGCTGCTTGAGTAAAAGAGCGTCTCAGGCCCAACTTGTCATCATGATTTAGCCATGCTGTGTGTGGTCCAGTGGTCCCGATAAAGCAACCAAGAGTGTGTGTGAAGTTTCAGTTCTTGGAGTTTAGGTTCTTGCCAGAAAATGATACCGGCTAAGTTGCCTAATTCATTTTAGGGTTGGTCTCGAACTTAGGTTCCTGAACTTTTTGGATGTCGTGCACCTGCATTGAAAGAACAGGTCAATTCATCTTGACAACACTCCTCTGGGAGCTCCGACGAGGCTATACCCTGTTCCAAAAGATGTCTCCTCGTTCAAGCGGCTCCCGGCGCATAGCCGAAGCGTTAATTTGTAAGCGTGGCACAGCTCCAACACCTTGCCCCGAAAAATGAGGACAGAGACCCGAACTAACTCAGTACCTTGCGCAGCACAAACTTCCTTCAAAGGCTCCCCAGCACACGTCTGTCGCTCATGTCGTGTGGCATTATCTATTCCTTTCTCTCAGGCTACGCGATCTGCATCGACTGCAGCCGCAAAGGCCGGGGTTGACGCACCAGCTGCTGCACGGCTCTCTCCATCTGGCCCCGAAGCGTCCCCTACTTCGCAACCACTCTTCACCATCAAAGCCGGCGTTGTTGTTAGCAGGCCTCCTCTTCTCACGCCCGATCCCCATCCTTTCGAAACAGCATATCATCTATATCAACGTCGGCTGAACGAACGACTTGCCCTCCCCTTCAGCCAATATTTCTATTACAAGAAGAACACTCCGGCTATGGAACAATGGCGGACCCATCGCCAGGCACGAGGTGGTGCAGCAGCAAGAGATATTGGGAGGTATAATGCGCACAGCCCTGAGGCATGGAATGACGAGGTTTTGGTTGGCGACGAGACCGCACAGCCAGCCAAGATCGTAGAGCAATTAGTTGCCGAGGAAGGCCGCTCAGAAGATTTTACAGGATCTGGGGATCCGAGATATGCTGGACTCATGCGGAGAACAGAGGCAGACGAGAAGAACGACCAGAAGAGCCTCGAGAGGAGTTTGACCCGGACATTATACTTATTGGTAAAGGCAAAGGGCGACGGCGAGCTGTGGAAATTCCCTGCAGGAACTCTAGCGGCCACAGAGGGGTTAAAAGAGGTGAGGAGCAACTGGAACTTTCTTGACCGAGACTTTAATTGCTAACATACAGTGTCGTACAGGCCGCCCAACGAATTCTGTTTGCCTCTTGTGGCGTCAACATGAACACTTTCTTCGTCGGTAATCATCCCGTCGGTCACTACGTACACAAATTCTCGTCCCCCAAAACACCAGAATCACCCGCATCCATTGAGCCAAAGCCTCTGGATCCCAAGAAAGCGACGACTGCAGCATCAAAAGCATCAACAAAGACCCCCCCCAAGCAAGGCCACGCGCCTGCTAGTGACACTACAATGGTCGACGGTGAGAAGATATTCTTCATGAAAGCTAGGATCCTGGCTGGACAGGCAGATCTGAGTATCGCACAGAACAAGAATATCGAGGACTTCAAATGGGTCAGCAAAGAGGAGGTGGAGAAGTTGGTTGCTCCTGAGTACTGGCTGAGAGTCAAGAATATGCTTGTTGCTCAGTGAGTCGGACTGGAGCGTCAAGTGCTTGACTCCCATCGAGTACGGAGTCCAATGAGTCCTACGTCACGCATTTTTGACATCGAGACTACGAGCAGGAGAGACTGTATCATACATCGAAATCCTGCCTTTGCAACTTCATGGAACCATCAGAGGCTGTGAGCCACCATTTTTGTATAGTATTTACCAAGACATCTGAGAACTGATCCCCTATTCTTCCTGAAATCGGGATAATGCTTGTACAGCCACAATGAAGTTTGTGATTATATCAGTCTAACTAGCGACGGGATTATAGTGGCCAGAGGGATGACAGATCATAACTCTAGCGATACCACTCGGTAGCTACATCCCGTATTATATATGCCATATATTGACATCGCAAGGCTGAACTTTGAACTTGAACGTCTCTCACGCAACTCGTGCTGCTTTAAGCTTCACTGACCCCAGAAAGAAAAGTGGTTCTCAACGTCATTTGATCTATTAGCATAAAAGAATGGATGCGTCTAGCTTGACCTGTTACATGTATGTAGCTTGTTATATATCAGCGTCAACCATTCTGTGTACAGGTATTGGCACCTATAACCCTATTTTAGGTCTGTTTCCAGGGGCCACGCAGAATGCATGGACCCCCTTATTTAGGGGTATATAGATGGTATATCCTGCCTAGTCTCTGTAATCTCCACCCAAATTTTCACCCACTAACAGCGCTGCTTTGATTTTTGTAACAACAGCCGTACGGTGTTTATAAATCATTGGTTGAATCTCCTTGGTCCCTCGGGGGTAGGTAAATCTTCGGGAGCCTGGCGTGCTTGACGGCTGGAAAGGGTCTGCTGGTGGTCGTCTTCCCAGCCTTGGGAAGGCCCTCAATAGACGTCCCATCGGAGGCCGGGCGGCCGGAGCTCCTGGGGTTGGCGTAGCTGTTTGTGCGGTTAGGGACGATCCAGTGGGTTGGACTTACGGTTGAGCAGGATAGGAGGGGGTCCCTGCTCCCGGTTGTTGCGCGTGAGGAGCAGAAGGTCCGCTTGGCCTTGTAGGCGGGTGACGAAGTTGCGCGCCAGGGGGTGCTCTGTATGCAGCGCTCGTCTGGCCTTGTGTCGATTGTGCGCCCTGCCCAGTCGCGGCTCTGAGGGTGTAGAGATCTTGAGTAAGGGTTGCTCTATGCACAAAAGAGCCCTGTGGTGGTGGTTCGAAGATATTGATCTTTTCATACGCTGCGATGAACCCTTAGTACATTTCTGTATCGTATCTATTGATAGACCTTAGTGGTTATGGCTCTAGTTTCGATATTACAGCAATCCTAGGCTTTCTGTCTAAACATACCCTTTCAATTTCTTGTTCGGCTCCTGGAACGTAGATGGAGGCGTCGTTGATATAATTGAATGCTTGCGGGCTGGCGACGACACTTAAGCTTTGACTCTGTAGGAGTGCTACATCAACCGCCATTGTATGCCGGATCTTGAGCAATGCGTACTACACCCCTTTTTCTGTAAAAATGCCGTTTTCAATTGTGTTAGCCACTAAGTCACTGCGTCAGGTTCCACCTATCATGTGGAGCAGGAGTAGTAGGTACCTACATATGTGCGCCACCATGGAGTCAAATGCCGCGAACTGATACATGGCCACTTCCCCCAGCGCGTGGTCGGCACTGAGCGATCCAGTGCTGATGCACACAGCATACCTGAATGGCCGTGCTCTAATGTTTCTTGCTGCCGTCGCTCGTTCCAACGCTGAAATATAGACATTTCGGGAGTAGTTTAGGAAAGTGGTTTGCCAGTGAATGAGGCTTGCAATGCGGCGAGGTCTCTGGTGCCTCATCTACACCCACATCGGATGGATCGACTGATCTACCGTTCGATAATGGGATCCTTACCATTGTGGTTGTGAGTAGATCCTTGGATCTGAAGAGGTTGCTCTCGTTGGTATTTCATCGGAAGCTTGATTTATGCTGGGTATACTACAAGTTAGAGGACAGACTCGTGCTATTTCTTCATCCTAGCGTGTTAGGCTGAAACTTTGATACTGATCATCCTGTTTACCTGATAGTGGAAACGATACTGTAGTCCTGCCAGTTTTCCAAGGCCATGTGGAAGAAGACTTCGCTATCGCGGCGTAGTTTAGCGATGTTAAAAGGTCGAGCTGTGATACATACAGACTCTGGCAAGACTCAAAGCAATGAATTCAACGATGTTCATGCTAGAACTAATTCGTGAACCCTTTCATCTACGGTACGTCTGATTGCGTAGCATCGAAGGTTAGCCCGATTATATGACACATGATCAAAGAATAGTCAAGCAACCTTTTGTCAAGAGTGATAGCGTGACTTGACCGTGATACCTAAGAACGGAATACAACAGATGCGGCTCTTTTCCCTGCCTTCCAAGCATTGCCCCTTTACCATGGCATCATTATGGATACTGCCGCCATAAATGTGCACAGAGTGATCCTTTTCTTAGAAATTCTCAACTTGGTTGACACGCTCGTCGCCCTTGAGATCCTTGGAATACTCGCCACAGTCGCTTCTTTCCATATCACCCATTTGATTTCCACAGGGCCCAACAGGCCGTGTGGCATCCAGTCGAGGTCATGGTACCGTTCATCGATCATCTCCAGAGTCATGCCAATAAATATTGCGGTACTCAGTTCATGCTTGACGGCATTCAGTAGTGGGGTCGAGATGATGACCGCCAATTCGTTCGTGTTATCATCATTGCCACCACAGCGCAAGTGCGGCGTGAGATCCGCCAGCGGCTGGATCGAATCGAATGCGGGCAGTGGCTGGCCGTTGATGGACCCACGGAGCGTGTGCTCTATAGGAGGCAACGACAAGAAAGCTCCAGGGCGCCCTCCGTCCGCCAACGATCCAAGACTCTGTGGGCAGGTGAAGTTTGTTCTATAGGTGCCGATACCAGAACTATGAGCTAGGCTAGCATTCAGCTCAGACCACCGGAGCAGTTGCGTGGAATCGAAGTGGTATTCAGTGACATGAGTGCGAACTTGCATTGCGTCTTCGTCATCAGGGGACGGCCCGTGCCAGGCGGAGATCGTCAGATCCCACTCTTCGAGGGCTGTTGGTGGTGCGACAGAGCTGTTGTGTGAGATGACGCTGTCTTCGGTGGCAACCTCTCCTGGTTGTGAGAAAGCAGCAGAGAGGCGTATATCGGATCCCTCAACGATGACTTTTGTAAAATAGACATTGTTCGACACCTGGACGGCTGGCGGTGAGATGCGTTGCTCTGTGAAAGCCAGAAGTGTCGTTTCATTGGCAGCCATTTTCAATGTTGTCGTGAGGGTGGATGTTTCTTCCTTTGTCGAATTTAGGAGTAGGGTAGTCTCGCCAGTCCAAGCATTGAGAATATATGTAGTTGGTTTGGTCAGGATCGAACGGAAAGTGAAGCTGCACGATACCGATTGGGAATCATCGTTATAGATGTAGACATATTCGTTGCTGGAGTCAGCATCAGAGCGCCACACAGTGTAAACGTTGTTATTAGGACAATCGAGCTTCACTCGCGGTTCAATCTCCTGGTCCTCAAGTGCATTAAGGAGGTCTTGGAAAGTGTCCAGTTGGTGCACATTGTCCAACTTGATGGAGAGTACCTCGTCCATGAGCTCGGAGACCTTGATTTGTTCTGTTTCGACAGCTGAAATCGCATTCTGTGGGGGTTGTCCGACGAAGAAGATGGGAAGCCCACTTTTGGCATATGATAGCAAACGCGAGGCAGCCGCACTTGAGATGCCAGTCTGGTCATAGAGCACTAAGGCCTTATAGCCTGGCCCCTCAGGCGCCAGGGTATTGTCACTTACTTCGGCCAGAGGAAGATCAAAGTTGCTAGGACCAAGATACTCGTGAGTGTATCCTGCGTGGAGTCAGCAGAGGAATTCCAGTGGAACCTGAATGCAATGTGTTTCACCTTTTTCTAACAACTGACTCATGCCATAGTTCTCCTGTCCTTGAATGAAGGTAGGTTTGTGGAGATAGAAGGCAAGGTCAACTTTTGATATCCCTTGTTGGAGCACCATGTTGTTTCGTCCGAAGAAATCTGTTATGTCACTGAAGTGCTGCCACGCAGGCTGTAATGGACCCCAGTTTTCTGTTGCAATCAAGAAAAGTCCTTGGAATCCGGGCCATGTCGTATCCACGTAGTCTCCAGAATACTGCGCCCCGTGAATGACAATGTCGTTGACTCCGGCAGCCCAAGACCGCTTTGCTTGCCAGATCAAACTTGAGAGCATCTGTGTATATGTCACCATTGTAGCACCAAGCTCCGTGGAAATAATCTTAGCATTTGCAACATGCGCTGGTCCCGTGAATTCTTTGTATTTATCCACAACATCGAGAAACGCGAGAGTTTCTGTTTGTGGTAGATCCACATGAGGTATCGAAGCAGACTGCCATGTTTCAGCGTTGCGAAGGGCATTCCTAAGCGTATGAGCTTACCATGTCGACAGGTATATTGTAAGCCGTTTGAGCAGAATACTCCATGCCTACCCCACGAGACCAGTCGGTGAGCGCTTGCAAGTATTCTCCATAGCAACTTGTCAAGACATCAAGATAGTCCAAGTTGTACAGACTAATGTTTTGCGCAGAATAGGGTCCGTAGATGTATTCCTCGTGGTATGTGGAATGGGATTGCCGGAACTGGTTGTGGGCAACGAAGATCAATGGTAGGTACCTGACCAAACTGTAGCCCTTGGCTCTTTCGAATCTATCCAGGAAGCCTGGGGTCCACCACATCGAAGAGAGAATCTCTATGCTATCTTCAAATCCTAATTTGCGTCAGCACGATATCATCATCTTGAAATCTCGGCAGACCTTTGCTTTTGAGGCTCTTAACCAAGTCCCTAACTTCGCTGTCGTTGAGAACATATTCGTCCACGAAGTTGGTCATCAGTTGTGCCCCCGCCTTCGAAAAGTGATCAACGACCCAAGAGCCGTTGCCGAGAAAGTTTGTTGCATTTATGCCGCCCTTTATCGACCTTTGGTTGGTGTAGCCCTCCCAGAATGTAAGCAACCGCCACTCGGATTCGCTATCGGGGGCAGTCAACGACAGCTGGCCTTCCTCTACCTGGTCGGACAAATCAACGATTGTATCTTCGTCGATGTAATAGACTGGCTCTGGGCCATCCATAGCAGAATTGACGATCTGCACAGCAATTGTGGCTGCAAGGTTCGGGTTGCCAAATGATTCCATCGCATGTTGGTATGCTTCTCCTTCGCTTACTTCCTGCGGCAGCTCCGACGGTGGGGGAACATGACCCTCGAATGACTCACCAGGCTGTAGAGTTACATTACCGGCAAGAAGCTGTACCGCAAGACCTATGGATTCAACAGGCGCAGGGATGCCTTGTCCCTGGCTAGCGCCGAGCCCGGAATCAATCTGCACTTTATTTTCTTGCCCAACTTTTAAAATTTCTCGGAAGATGTTATTAAATGCCGGAGTTCCATAGCCGTACATGGCCCAGTCTGTTGGAGGCTCAATGCCATCAATGGGTAGTCCGAAGATGTAATGAGGCACAACAGTAACGCCACCACCACCGATAGCAGCAATGCTGTCGATGTCTCCTCTCAAGATCTCGCTGGAGACGCTGGCATCAGGAAACCTGCGTAAGGTCAGCAGTGGTCTAGGCATCTTGTATCACTTGTATCCTGATTACCAGTAGAAGAAGCGTGGTCGATATTGATTGGACGGATTCTCGAAACTTCCAGAGAGAAGTTCACTAGCCGCCAGGGGAGAAAATAGCAAGAGAAGAGAGCAAAGACAACCTGACATTTCCAAGTAAACCATATCTGCGGTATATTGAATTTGATGATTGAATGTAAGCCTGAGCGATGTTGAAGCCGCTTTATAGCCATATACTACTTCTTAGGCAGTCTAAATTTGGAACCTTTGTCCTTGATACCATGGGTCGCTCTGCATAGGTCAAGGGATGTGGTCAAGCATTGAACCACAATTTCCCATGCTGGGGCACATTGGGGCCAGTGTCATCCAAAACCATAGAGGATGCCTTCTTAGGTCAATTCCTGAGTGCTGGTGACACCGAAGTGTAGGCAAAGCACCATACCTCATCCAGAGGTCAATGGCGCCATACCCGTATCTGTATCCCAAGACGCGGAGGCTTGGCAGGGGTTACAGCCTTCGGTGGCCAGTGCTTCATAAGACTCATCACTATTCAGTGCTCAATTAGCCTCGTTCGTATGCCCGGAAATGTTTATGCGCGCTGTGTAGTGCCACTTTCGTCTCTCGCATAGGGCAGCTATTAAGTGCGTACGGAAAGCCGCAGGTTTTATTCCACTTACATTTACGTTCACCAGCGTTGACCGCACGTGCTAATCATTACGCATGACACAGCATTGGATACTGCCCAATTATGCAGCACTTCAACCGGGCATCGTATCCTGTCTCGTCGACAGAGCAATAATCTTCATAGAGTATGAAGCCCTCCTGAACTTCACATGAAGTTTACTCGAACCTCATTTCTTTAGTCATAGTCGTAACTTGCACTTCACTCCAACCCTACATAACTTTCACCCTCAAATCACTCCGGCATTCATCTAGCCACCACCTTTCTCCGATAGCGCCTGTCTGCCGAAACGACCAGGGAGCCTGAGAAGGCACAATCGGTCCGAAGCCCATATCCTCATGCCCAGGGCTTGGCTCAACCAAGATCTTGGCGAATGCGACTTGGAAGTGTGAGTGGTTTGGTGGATTCAGTGGACCAACTGATGGATACCTGAGCTGATTATGCCCGGGATCTCGGCAGGGTTGGCAGCTGAAATTACAAGTTGATCTTCTAACTGCCCTGCTAGATCGCCCAGTCACCAACTTGATTTGTGGAAGTCAAAAGAATTGACATATGGGCAAACTCCCACGTTAACAAAATGTCGTTGGAAATTGACATTTTCTGAATTTAGGCGCTGTGATTTGGAGGACAGGAATTCCTTGAAAAGTCCGTAGTTCCCCACACCGACTATGGTCGGTGTGGCCGGAAGATCGAAGGGTTGCGCTACCTGTCGTCGACGGAAGATCAAGGTGAGGCCCTTCTCTTCAGCGCGACCTAGAAGGACTTGACTCACATTTGCGGCATAGTGCGATCTCGGAAAGCCCATGTGTGAAACATGCCAGAAGTCGAAGCGTCTATGCGAGGGCTATGACCGGTATCCGGTATTTGTGAGTAAATCACCGCATCCCATTCATGGCGATTATCTTGTGTTCTGCACGTGAGATAGGTGGTTAATTCGCGTTGCCTTGCTTCCACGCAGCTCGTTCGTACAATCAGAGGTTTCGAGAAGCGCAAGCCGCTTGAAGAGGCCAAACCGTTAAGCTTGCCGATACGAAATGGAATCACGCGACCGGAGATACAACAATCAAACGTTGCGCTTGAGGCGCGCAGGGCGCAGCGACATCCACAAGCGCTAACAACTCAACCTCCGGTCGCAGCGATCACATCTACACTACGCTCCTTCCACAGTAGCGCCGTGGAGGCAGTTCGCTGTATCAACTATACGTACGAGCTATATGTTGAATCGCCAGATGGACGGAACAGGTATCCGCACATACCTATCAGTAGCTTCTACCACGCTATACTATCGCACGGATCCTCGGACCAAGCCTTAGATCCCGCCATATTAGCCATGGCAACATGCGGCCAAGGCCTGGCCCGAAACGATACGCAGATGCTTAGGGAATCGAGAGAACTGTATGGTCGGGCCCTGAGGGCGCTACAATACGCCTTGGATTCTCCTGATATGGCCATGAAGGACGAAACTTTAGCAGTGTCTTGCCTCATGGCCCTGTATGAGGTAAATAGAACCGTCCACCTGCCTCACTCTCCACAAAGCTGAGCCTTCCAGATGCTCGTGTACAACCACTAATAGTAATTCTAGTGGAGCAACCCAGGAAAGGACTGGCTGAGCCATATTGCCGGGATCTGTACACTATTCCTAGCACGCGGTTCCGAAAGGCAACGAGGAATTCTTGCACTTAGAGCGTTTGAGAGTTGTCGCTACAATCTCGTGAGACACCATGCACCTGTGAACCTGTCAGACCCCAAAAGTTAAGAACGCACAATAGATGCTCTACTGCATATCGAACCGCAAAGCGTTAGGATTTGACAATAGCGCCTGGGTGCACAAACCTTGGTCAGGTTGCGATAAAGGCCTTGGACAACAAATCATGGATCACGGCTTCATATACACAGCCGTGCTCGAGAAACTTGATGACTTCGTCAACCAGCTACACACCACTGAAAGGGCCCGGGAAACAGTTCGAAGATGTATGTTATCTGTGAAGGGTCTCCAAGGTCTTTTCGGAATGCTAGAGGAATGTCCTCCGGAATCTGATACTTCAGAAGAAGAGAAATTCTATCAAGATACGAACCGCATTCTGCTTCAGATCACTGCAATGATGTTGGAATTAGGGCTGCGCTCTTCAGCTCGGGCGGTATTAGACAGAGCCGATAGCGTCATAGGGCCAGACCTTGTTGACTCCCAAATATCAGCAGCTCCCGGCCAGGATACCCAGAAGACGCTTCAAAAGGAGATCCCAGAATGCAGCCAACAAACTTCTTTGGCGAAGGGTATTGTGCAGAAAGCGGGAATCGTTATGGAACGACGTCGGATAGCTGTTGACCGTCTACTTCTCCCACTGGAAATGGCTTCCAAGTGCTTGCAGGACAGGCCTTGTCCGGAATATCAGCAGTCCTTTGAGCTACGGAGACAACTGCTTGGACTTGCTAGGAAAGGCGAAATAATCAGACAGCATTAGGAATAGTGGGTGGAGGGAAAGACAAATTTGGAATCCCAATGAAATTGTGAGGATTCCAGACGCCGACCTCGACCCCTCCAAAACGAGACGATGAAGATCGCCGCGGGGCTACTGTCGGTAAGTTGTTAGAGATTATGGGGATATGAATAGCCACCAGATAGAATGCCGTCCATAGTTAGCTCGTCCAAAATGTCGTCCAGAGACAGTGTGGAGACGTCCTCCATGGTGGTCATGATAATACTGACAGATTTTCCTTGCAAATTAAGTATAGTACTGATGTCTACCTCAAATGATTGGAAAGTCTCTGGTGTACACTTGCTCGCCACGTTGGGAATGTTAGATTTCTCCAAGATCATACCTGGATGTGTACGAGTCCACATACGGACAATAGCATGACAAATTGAATCACGTGCTTGACATGTGAATCTAGACGCGAAGCAGCTACGTCACTGAGCGATGGAGGGTCTCAAGCAGCGACTCCGGCCGTAAAAGGGCTCCAGCAGGACCGGGAAATATGTCCCGGCGCCTTCGGAACATGTGAAACACCAGACAGGCAAACACAGGGGCCAAATTGAGGGATCCCGCTTCAAGGCTTTGGTGTTACTCAGCACTGGCGCCCTCGAAAGTGAGGTCTCGCAAAGGAGAGGTGGGTTTTTGCTGTGCAGCTGTCATGATGCGCAGAGTATTTCGGCTCCAGCCTGGAGGAAGACGTGAAGATGTCGGCTTCGAATGAAATTGAATCAAGGTCAGGCTGAAATTGGTTGTAAACTATGAATGGGCCCGGTGTGACTGCAGGTACTGCCGAACTCTCTTTGACAGACCGATCAAAAGAGCACCTCAAATGGCCTCAATTTAGGGCGCCCTTTACGGGGGATAGTATTACTGTACTTACTGCCACATCTGGAATAAAAACAAGCTTACGTGTTTAAAGTACGGAAGTCTAAGCTAATTTCAATGCAGCATTTGGTGATTTCTTGCAGAGACTGGGTTAGGTTAGAGTTAGGGTTCCCCGCCGCTAACCACGAGCTTTCATGCGAGATAAACATCCACACCTTGAAAAGAGATAGTTCTCCATCCAAGCCCAAAGCCTATCTCCCAGCTTGGAGGTTCCCTATCCCTACTTCATACTATGTATGTATGTGCTGATAAATGGCGCGGAAATCTTCACGGAAAAGGAGCACTTACTAGCCCGGCACAGCGTCATCCAGACCGGGCGTTCGGAGCCTTCTACCAAGATGTCATTGACTCCCGCGGCCGTACTTTGACGAGCTGCTACGTCCGAATCGGACCCTGTCCCGGGCGTTGAAGTTCTCCATGCGGGAAGATCACACTCCGATGGTACCACACATCACCATCTAAGATCGAGCTATATCTAACCCATTCTCCTACAGGTGAGTCTCCCATTACTTTCATACCGCAGCAATAATACCCATTTTATCCGCATTGCTATTGTGAAAATGTCACCCCAAACCTACGAAAGCCAACGCGCCTGGAAAGACGTCCAACAATTCCTCCCGCAACATCTCCACTTCACTGATGAGCACCAGCCAGTTGAAGAGTGGTGGGAGAATCGAGGGCATAAAATCCATCTCGATCGATGGAGGAACCCAGCGGCTAAAATTCGACTGATCATGCACCATGGAGTCGGCACAAATGGCAGACAAATGTCCATGATTCTTGGCGTCCCTTTGCACATGGCCGGCTTCGAGCTCGTCGCCGTCGACATGCCCGGCTACGGGTGCACACAGATCGCGAAGGGCGTCACATACTCATACGACGACTGGGTGAACATTGCTAGCGACTTCATCGACTTCGAACTTGAGCATGACTCGCGGCCTGTCGTGCTCTATGGCCTTTCCGCCGGCGGCATGCTGACCTACCACACCGCGGGGCTCAATAAGAAAGTCAGCGGCATTGTCGGCATGACCTTCCTCGACCAACGAATCCAGCAAGTCGCCGACGAAACGGCGCGCAACTTCTTCATGAGCCGCATCGGCCTCCCGATGACACGTCTGTGCAACAATCCGCTCACCAGGAACCTTTCTGTCCCTATGTGGCTGGCGAGTAAGATGTCGGCGCTGGTCAATGACCCGAAAGCTCTGGAGATCATGTTGGCGGATCCGACGTCCGCTGGCTCGTGGAAGTCGATGCGGTTTTTGGCGACATACTCCTCGTACAAGCCGGCGATTGAGCCGGAGGATTTCGATGTCTGTCCAGTTCTGTTGACGCAACCGGCGAAAGATGCTTGGACACCGCTGCATTTGAGCAAGATGTTCCTGCCGAAGATCAAGAAGGTGCCGGTCAAAACTGTGATGCTGGAGAATGCTGGTCATTATCCTTTGGAACAGCCCGGTTTACAGCAGATGGTTGATGCAATCACTCAGTTTTTGAGGGAGTTGTCGTGAATGTAGACGGTTCGGGAGAAAACTAATAATTGTGTATTTCTGTTCAGCAGCCGGTAGGGGCCCAGACATTAATTATGGAGAGGGAGGGCATTGAAATGATAATCTCACGAACACAAGCACTGCGGCTAAGATCACGTCATACAATGCCTACAATGCACCATCGATGATGATACTTCGATGCTGCAGACTGTCTGGAACCGATGGGATTCTCACATCCGGGTGATCGTCATGTAGTTCACTCTCTTGTTGATCAACCATGCGTATGAAAGATTGGGTCGCTCAGATCAGCTATTGATATTCATTTGACCCAGCGTGGCGCTCCCTCCTCAGGCGTGACTACAGTCTAACGATGTGGATTTTGTACATTGGCGTAATACGAAAGATCTGTGTTATCCTTTTCTCTAACATTTTCAAACATGTCGCTCAGCCGGGCGGCGCAGAACAAATTCTGTTAGCAAGTATGTTTAACATGCCAGCATGAGTGAGAGCAGGCCCGCAACGAGCCCACTGACCAAAATTATACTTGCAGCCACGCTTGACGCAGCATTTCTCTGAGCTGGAGCAGTGGTATCGCCTGTGGACTGATTAGAGTCGTGACCCACAACTACCTCTCCCAACAGACTCGCAAAGCGCATTTCATTCTTCCCGAAGTCGAAGACGCTGAGGACGTTCTTGTAAAACCCTGCACCGATTATGTGTAGGGTGATGTCGCCGATACTAATAGTCTCGGACGGAACGAGATTCGATATGCAAATGCCTGCTTCCGTCTGGTACACGAGGTCGCGCCCGTCATGGAAGAACGTCTGATTGTCGAGCGTGATACCAAACGCCGGTGCGACAGCGTCACATTGCACAACATAGATGGAGAGCTCATCATTCCAGATGGCAGGAGGGTCGAATAAGGCGTTGATTGGTGCAACGATCTTTTCAGGGAGGAAAGTTAGGTAGTTGCCGTTATCGAAGAAGACTTGGAAACGTGTATCATCCGTCGTCAGGTTCTTCGCGTCATTCTGTGAGCCACCACCTACGGGAGTTGCAGGCCCGTATCTAAAGCCGTTGACTGTTGTTGTCCAGTAAGAGATGACCCTTTCTCCGCTCGTGAAATTCGCCGGTATGGTTTCGTGTATCTCGACTGGGACAGTGGCCCACTTGTCGCTGTGGTTCGCCGGTGCCAGACCGCCGAGTGTGAGGTACCCACCGAACCCGATGGTCTCGTTTTGCGACGTACGGGCAATGGCAAGGCTGAAATAGGGGTCAATCAAGCCTTGCTCCGACATGTTGAAGATGAGAGGCTCATATGGAAGTCTGTTGTACCAGAACGTCTCGTTGTCCTGCGACGGTCCTGGATGCGCCGATGTCAAGGAAGGATATCCCAATCCCAGGACGCCGACATTGACACCATCGCCCATAGGTGAAGAGGCGTTGATGATGCCGACTTTCTGCCGGATGGATAACCCCGCGAGTGTGATGTTTTCATACGCCATTACGCCCGAGGACATGCCGTCGCCGTACTGGATGCCGAAGATCTCGTCGGGGATCAGCTCATAGCTGGCACTGTTGATGGGATCATATGAGGCTGGCCCATAGTTGCAGGACTTTTGTGGGAGTTTGAGCCCGGAGGTGCGGTCAAAGCATGTGAAGTCATTTCTCACGACCCAGGTATCGCTGCTGCCGGTGTCAATGAAGACCTGGAAGGTTTGATCACCGAATGTCACGTTGGTGTCGAAGACCGACCCGAAGTTTGTTGCCGTCAGGAGAGATGTGCCATTGATGGATGATGAACCAGACTTATCGCGACGGTTCAGCGGTAAAGAGATCGACCTCTTTGGCACTCCTGCTGTCAGTGTTGTGGGAGCGAGGATGCATGTCATCAAGAGCAAAGACGGTCGCATGCTGGGCGACAGCATATTGAATGATGGCTGTATTCAAGAGGAGGATGATCAATGGAATTTGGCATGAAGGAACTTCTGAGAGGTTTCAATTCATACCTATTTAACCGTACAGATTGCCTGCGGCATCAAGCGCTAGTTTATGGTTCTCCAGCAACGTCGAATATTGAGTATACGAGAAGCCGAGCCCTCATTCAATTTTCGTAAGCTTTTAGCCTCACTTGGGGTATTTAAGCTTTGCAAGCTGGTTCATGTGGTGTCTTCTCAGGCTGAGGTAGGAAACCAAATCGTGGTGCTCGGGAGTCAGTTTATGGTACGTCGTATTTGTGATGTTGATGTCCTCGAGCCGCATACCAAGAAGACTGCGGCTGGTGAAGCGAGGACGGTGCGTCTCAATGAGGCAAAGCGCTGCTCTCGTATAATATAATTCTGAATTCGCGGATACCATTGGCCGTACCTCCCTTGTCACAGCTCCACACAAGGCTGCAACGTTTCTTTCAACCCCCTTAGAACAAGCAGTTGGCCTAAAATCTTAAATTCATCGACTCTGCGCGAGGGAGAATCAAGTATACGACAATGGTCTCCTCCACGTCACCTACATGGCTTTATTTCTCTGGCAATCAGACGAATGCAGATCTTATACGATACTGAAGCCGAGGAGCAAGACCCCCGCAGTTAGAAATGTCACCGTGGCTGGACAAGGAAAGCGAAGAAGCACACCCAAAGTTCGGTCGGGCTGTAAAACGTGCAAGTAAGTTTCCCAAACGCTATTTATGGTTGATTTGTCCTCGGGGGAAAATTCTCACAGCTCTCCTCTGAAGGCTTCGTCGCATCAAGTGCGACGAGACTCGACCAATTTGTCTCCGCTGTCAGCGTTCGGATCGCAAATGCGAGGGTGGGGGCTACGGCGTCAGAGAATCCTTCATCCCAGTCGAACATCCCTCGCAGGCGACAGGGCTTTCCGAACCGCAGATCACGGAATACAGCATTCCTTTTCAGGTTCCAGGCAGTAAAGCAGACCGCGAATTGCTCCACTACTATTGTTGCCAAGCTGCGCGTGATTTCTCTTCGTCGCTCGATGCGGATCTGTGGACGCACCTGATCCTCCAGCGCGGTCACAATGAACCCGTGATCAGGAATGCTTTGGTCACCCTCTCGTCCCTCCACAAAGGCTATCTCTTTGGAGGGTTACACAACCAGCCGGCGAAATTAGATTCTACGGAAGGCCATTCTACACGGAATTTGTCTCTTGTTGCGAGATCGCATCGGCACCTGAGAAATTACCTCTTCAGGCCTGACGCGTCCCATGAAGTCGCACTCATCTGCAGTATCATCTTTTACGCTTTTGAGTCATTACTCGGGGAACCTGAGCGTGCAATCCAGCATCTTGACCACGGTTTGAGGTTGTTGAAACAGTGCCAGAGCGAGTTAGCGATCAACAACGACAATTTTGGACTCCCAAAGCGGCTTGTTGCGTTGTACCAACGCCTCGACGTTCAAGCTAGCTCTTTCAACGATGCACGACGCCCAATGTTGACTCTTTGCACCTCGGCAGAGCGAGCTGGAAGCATCAGTATCGTGCCGCCATCCTTCCACGATCTCCATCATGCAGAGGAGGTCCTGACTAAGTTGGAGAACTGGGTGTTACATCACATCATTGAACATGTGGACTTAAAAAGTTGCCCTTGGGACGAATTTGCCCTGAGTATACTGGATGAGCGTCAAGTCCTGGCAACGCAGTTCGACAAGTATGGATATGCATTGGAACGACTTGGCACCCTCATTGAAATGAAATTGCAGTGGGCAGATCCGATGGTGCAACAAGAGCAGATGGCACCTTTTTTGTTCTTGCGAACACACTACTATCTCTTCCATTCAGTGGTGAATGAGAATTTGCCACGCCGGTTACAACTCAAGACGATATGGCAATCAGACGAGAGCTGTCAGACCAATGCCTGCTTTCCTATGTGCTCTTCAGACCACAATGGTAGCCTTCGCCTTGCTCTTTCCGATGTGTTGAGGCTCTCGTTAATTAAGAGCGGGAGTGTGGTACAGCCAACTGTGAAAGCAAAGGCATCCGCCACTCTGCCCCTTCCAAGCGGTCATAGCTCTTCGCACCGACGTACCTTTACTCTGTCCAGTCAAATCGTCGCGGCTCTCTACTTCACGTGTCTCAAAACAACCGATCCAGAGATCTTCTCTCGTGCCCGTGAGGCACTTTCCTCCATCCATGGTCGTGATGGACTTTGGGATGCTGAGATGGTATCATTCATAGTGGAGGAGCTATTCAAAAGTTATCCTAGCAACCAACATTCTGCTTCATCTAGTACAACTCTAGTGTCCGACGTTGGAAGCCAGCAGGGTGAAGTTATCTCCAACTCGAGTGGATTTGACTCTCCCTATCAATTGGACCAATTCTGTAGAGGAGCCCACGAGGGTCGCGGCACCCCACCCCATGGTGCAGAAGCCATGTTAGGAACACGACTTGAGGATATAGGAGCTGGTGTTATTGATGCAAGTGATGGTCTGGAAGGAGTCCTGCAACAACTACGTGCGAAGTTGATAATCCGCAAGTGACCTGGTGATGTCGGGAAGGGAGCACTGATTGAAAACGAAAACAGACCAGTGCAGGTAAAGGGATGTTGCTCGACTATGTTGAAGTAGTTCGATACAAACACTTTTCCCTAACATGTTGCACTATTGACAAGATATACTACACCGAAGCCGACGGCGTTGAATATTTAATTTGGACTACGCCCCTCTTACTCAAGCTCCTTTATCCTCTCACAATCTACCCACCATATCACAGTCACGAAGTCGATGATGAAATCGAAACAATGTCAGCGCACCTGCCAGTCGACATGACCTTCCACTGCCCGTCCTCGGTCTGAAGGCTATGTAGTCACCAATGGCTCATTTGGCAGTTCACAGCGGCTTTGTGAGCGTCCCAGAAACGTACGTGAGGGGGGCCCACTCAAAGTCTCTCTTCAGATCGACCTTCGCCCAAGCACCCGCTTTTTTCCATGTCGCTGCGGTGTCCCGATTCATGTGGCAGCCACCGAGAAAGAATTTCCAACCAAGAAGATGGTAAATTACCTGCATCGATCTTCCCAGAATACTGCCGGTTGTCGTCCATTGATTCTTGACATGTTCCACCACTAGGATCTGACCTCCAGGCTTCAGCAACTGGTACAAATCGCGGGTCGACTGGTCCAAATCAGGCACCGAGCACATCACACGAATGGTGACAATCGTGTCGAAGAGTGGCTTATCCGAGTCGATTTGAATATCTTGCTTGCGCAAAGCGAGGAGGAGTGGTGCCCTTTCGGCCGTGCTATTAAGGATATGGTATTTGCCGGTTAATTGGGCATCGTCAATGCGTGCCTGGAGGTCAGAGTGTAATCCTACACTGGGCTCGGCACCAAAGATACCAGTAATGGCGGGGTTATCTGAGAACCCTGTCACGTGTGATCCAGACCCAGGGCCAATGTCAAGGACCGCGCCACGAGCCTTGGAGAGTAACGGAGGGATGAGAGTTCCCGATCCTACCGGGGCCGGAGGCGGGATGACTGGCCCTGTATGAACGACGTCAGTATTGCAATCAACACCCCCGGACACTCAGAAGGTGGCACACATACTGGTCAGCCATTTCCAAAATGCTGCAAAGGAATCCTCTTTGACCTTGCTGAGGTTGGAAGGAGTTGGAAAGTGATGCTCGATCACGAAATATTGGTACGCAGTGCTGATGAAATCTGCATATGAATTTAGTTAGAGGTATCAAGGCGACGGCGAGTCTCATGGTCTCATACACTGTGCACTCCACCACATCAAGTACCAAGGCTCGATGGCAGCCAACAATTGCTCCTTGAACGGGGGCCAAGCCATGATGATAGATTTGTACTCAAATCAAAATGAATGGGCCGGAATGTGTGTGAGGGAAAGAAAGCGAGTTGAAGAAGAAATCCACGCTAAGTGGCGGGGAACGATGCTTTTATATGGATATCAACATGACCGACACCCTGGGGAACGAGTTTGGTGGCATTACCCCTAGAATTCGTATGTCGGACAGCCTCGCCAATACGAACAGAAGAGTCAGCTGAAACCCCTGCCGGGCACCACGAACCTGACGCTACTCTCCCACCTACAAAGTAATGTCGCTTGGCCAGGGTATCTAGCTAGGCCGATACCTGGGGTACAACATGCGGACTATGTGGAGGACGTCTTGACCTCTGTCGGATACTTACAGCACTTCAGCCGTCGAAGCTTGGCTCACCGTGTCGAACCAGGCAGAATGAATGGCTGATAAAATGGTAAAGTCGGAACTGTTGCCCCGCTGCTTTGGGAGGCGGTATTTTGCCCAAGCACATTTTCGGTTCACACGTCCTGTTGCTCACCAATTAATTAATTACCCACTATTTCATACTCAGGGTAGCTCTCTCAGAAAACCGGTAGGGGGGTTTCTAATACTCTAATAAGGCCTACTCTAGATCTGGAAAGGCGTGCTCTCCACGCGTCAGAAGCTCTGTGCAACCGACAAGCGGTTGGGTGAAATACAGCTTGCCACTTCTTTCATCCGCTCATCCTCGGCCGCGTCGGCAAATCACTGGGGCAATTTGACTCGTCGAGGTCGCTCGGCCAGGGACCCACGCACTCAAGAGAAGCAAAATCTGTAAACAGTCTAGCTTCAGGGAAGGGCTTATCGCGGCCGAGATACTCTCAGTCAAGACGGAAGACACCCCGCTCCGCCCCACGCTTTGCTGGCTCGCTTTGCAAATCAGACAAGTCATGATGGGCCTTTATCTTGCTCGTGTGGAAGCTGCCTTCCTATGATCCTTTTTATATGAAGCGCTGGGCAAGGCTTTCCATCAATTATGGCCCTTTTGGCGGAATCGCGATGAGCTGTTTTATTCCGCTCATCAGGCTTGAGAATCCCTTCAGCAAGCAACCTGCATCATCTCGACCCGTCGAGCCAAAACCCTTCTGGTCTGCGTTTTAGACACAGTGAGCCACTTGCGGCCGAGGATTGTGTAGCCTTCAATGATGGAGAGCTCAACTATAACCCTTGAAGAATCTGCGAATGGCAGCGCAGAGGTGACCAAATCTCGTTTTGCCAGGACCAGAGACCGAATCCACGGCCGCATGTCCGGCTTTCATGCTCGATTACCTTATCTCCGAAAACTACCACTCGCAGCCATTTTGATTATTTTACTGCTCATTGCCGTCAACTTGGTAGTCTGGGCTATTTGCGGCATCATCCTCGCCTACCATACCCAACTTCTGTCGACGGCGGCGTTGTCGTATACGCTGGGTCTCCGACATGCTCTGGACGCAGACCATATCTCAGCTATCGATCTAATGACTCGACGGCTGATTGCGACCGGACAACGACCCGTAACAGTGGGCACATTCTTCAGCCTGGGGCATAGTACCATCGTCGTGGTCACTTCAATTGTTGTAGCCGCCACGGCAGCAGGTGTATCCAGTCGCTTTGACAGTTTTGGGAATGTGGGTGGCATCATCGGCACTTCAGTGTCTGCAGCATTCTTGATCCTCCTCGGGATCATGAATGCCTACATCTTATACAAGCTTGTTGTGCAAATCAGAAAGGTCATTCGAATGCAACCAGATCAAGCTGCGGAAGAAGCCTGGAAGATCGAGGGTGGTGGAGTACTGTTCCGCCTTCTGAAACGGATGTTCAAGCTCATTGATCGACCTTGGAAGATGTATCCATTGGGGGTTCTCTTTGGACTGGGATTCGACACCAGCTCCGAAATTGCGCTCTTGGGGATCAGCAGTATTGAGGCAACAAGGGGAACCAGCATCTGGCTCATCCTCATCTTCCCGGTCCTGTTCACGGTCGGAATGTGCTTGGTTGACACCATCGATGGGGCCTTGATGATGAGCCTTTACGTCGCGCCCATGGGCGTGGGAGGAGATGACAAGAAAGATGATGAAGCTGGAGATGGAGAAAATGTAACAGTGACCACTCAACCAGTCGCTCTAGAGGATATTGACCGGCCGCCGTCTCAGCCCGCCACAGCGGCTGGGACCCATGCTCGAGTCAAGGACCCTCTCACATTCTTATATTACAGCATCGTCCTGACCTCCCTAACAGTCGTATGTGCCATTGTGATCGGCCTCCTGCAGCTCCTATCACTGATCCTGAACACCGCCCATCCGACAGGCAGGTTCTGGGACGGAGTGGAAATGGCAGGCGAGTACTACGAAGTGATTGGAGGAGCCATCTGCGGGAGTTTCATCGTCTTCGGCGGAATAAGCGCTCTCTGCTACCGGCCATGGAAGCGATGGGTCCAGCGGGAAAGAGCTCGCCTTCGGGCCCAGGCCGAGTGGGACAACGATCCTTCTACACGGAGTCCCCCGTATTGGGATGAAGATGACGGTATTACTATGGATAGTGGAGACCTTGACGCAGAGGGTGGATTGTATGCGGATCATGGCGATGCTGAACAATGGATCGATGGTGATGGAAAGCCGTCCTCTTCCTCCAAGCAAGAGACTGCTGCTAAGGCGTTTGATTCTCAAAGGTCTAGGAACGCAGGCGCAGCATCAACCGGGAAATAAAGCGTAAGAGGCAGCAGATCACAGATTTGGGATAGACAAAGAATCGCAGCGCTCGACCGATTAACGTGCAAAGTAGACTCCATAGGCCTGGTGCTGGGTACCTCTGGGAGGTAGTTACTCCATAGACGGACAGCTTCTAATTCCGTTGAAACAAATCAAAGAACCTTGGATCAGCCCTGCCGGGATGTACACTGCTCACAATTGGCAGCAAGCGTCGCCAAATCAATGATTCAAGATACTTCAATCAGACAATATACCAATACTATAAATGCGATCGCTGAGTTCGATAAGTCTCGCGTTTACTACGAGTCAAAACATTTGCGAAGACGTTCCACTCGTGCCAAGTGCGCCCATATCGCAGGCCATAAACTGCCGGCAGAGACTGCCCATTGGCAGGTGGTTTTTCCTCAGCCCATGCCATGCCATATCTCCACCACTTCTGAAGATGATCGATGGCCCTCGAGGATAAACCCAACCAAATTGCTAAGCAACCAGTATCTATCAAAACCCAAGCTCAATTGCCTGGCTGTGTCATGCTGCATTTCGAAGTAAACGCGCAAACTTGGGGAGAGCGTCACTCCCGCCCGCATCAAAGGTCATCTTGTGTAGTAACATGCATAGAAGAGCTTAGAAGCCGGACGCCGACCGGGGATGATGAATTCCATTCGTCAAGGACCCATTCTGCGCATGGAGGATACCGTTCACGCCATCATGATGTTGCAGCGGGGATTGATCCTTGGCGAGAGTCGCGGTGGTGACCTGGTCCAGTACTCCAGCACTGGCGGCCACAAAGCCCAGATAAGGCGGGCTGGGACGCAGGACGCGACTGAGGTATTCGGGGTGAAACTGGACGCCGACGAAAAAAGGGTGGTCCTTTAATTCGACGATCTCCATGCGCTCGCCTTGGTCGTCCTTGCCGATAAAGGTAAGGCCTGCCTCCGACAAGCGTTCGATGTACTCCGGGTTGACTTCATATCGGTGGCGGTGGCGTTCGAGGACGCTGGGTTCGTTGTTGTAGAGTTTGCGGAGGCGCGACCATTCGGTGTCCTCTTGGAAAAGGGTCGGCCGGAGGCCCAGTCGCATGTTGCCGCCCATGGTAGCCTTGTCGATTTCAGGCATGAAAATGACTACAGGGTCGGACGTCTGGGCGTTCAATTCCACCGACGAGGCTTCTTTCAGTCCGCAGACATTGCGGGCGAATTCGATCACGGATATTTGCATGCCCAGGCAGATGCCAAGGTATGGCTTTGGCTTGGTTCGTGCCCAGTTGGCGGCAGCGACCATGCCCTCCGTTCCGCGGTGACCAAATCCTCCAGGGACGAGAACACCGTCTGCCGTGCACAGTTCGTGCCACGCTTTGTGGTATGATTCCGGGGAAGCTTCCATAGTGGCCTTTTCTAGGCTGCTTGCGTCGATCCATATCAGGTTTAATTTTCGGCGGCATGCCATGGCACTATGCTCGAGAGATCTGATTACAGAAAGATAGGAATCGTGTAGATTCGTATACTTTCCGACGAGAACGATGTTTACTTTTTCGGTCTCAAGAAACCGGTCTTGTGATGTGGTCAGTGACTTCCAGTCGTGCCAGATAGCCTGGCCTTTGGTAACCAACGATGGTGCAATAGAATAGTCAGCGAGGCGAAATAGACCTCGTAGTTGGGTGAGCAGGCCTTGTTGCTCTAGAAGCATGGGAACATGATAGGTGGAAGAAACATCATGCACAGCAATGACTTGCTCGGGCTCGACTTGACAGAAGAGTGCGATCTTGTTCGTTGTTGCCTCGATGAGCGGTTCTTGACAGCGACATGCGATCTATATATCTGTTAGTTGTGCAATGCTTGCGTAGTAGGAGCTGACGGATTACCAGGTCGGGAGCAAGACCAGCTGACCGTGCATCTCTGATTGCTTGTTGAGTAGGCTTTGTTTTTTGTTCTCCGCTGATCACCGGGACGAGCGAGACGTGGATTTGGCAGAAATTATCTCGACCTGCACGTCGTCGCAATTGCCGCATAGCCTCAATAAAGGGCGCGCTCTCTATATCGCCAACAGTGCCACCAAGCTCAATTATGCAAACATCCGGCTGTTCATTGGTGTCGTCCACAGGCACTCTCGCAACTCTTTCGATCCAATCTTGAATTGCGTTGGTGACATGTGGCACAACTTGTACCGTTTTCCCCAAGTAATCACCACGTCTTTCGCGTTCGATGACATGCTGATACATCTTTCCGGTTGTAACGCTGTTTTCTCGGGTCAGGGTAATATTCAGGTATCGTTCGTAGTTCCCGAGGTCGAGGTCGACCTCACCGCCATCATCCAACACAAAGCATTCTCCGTGCCTGTAACATGTCAGTAAATGTCGTAGCCCAGCTGCAATACTTCAGTCATACTCAGTCGGAGCCATAGTGCCTGCGTCGACATTGATGTAAGGATCGATCTTGATAGCGGTGACTTTGAGTCCGAGGGTCTTCAACAAGAGTCCAGCGGAAGATGCAGTGATTCCCTTGCCAATGCCGGAGATAACTCCCCCGGACACAAGTATGTACTTCATGGTGTCGAAAAGGAGAAAGGAAGGTCAAAATGTAGGTCGCCGTCGCTGGCCAATGCCAGCGGGAAGAAAGGGAAAGGAAAGACTTCGAGGCAGGGCGGCCGTCACAGACTTGAATCTGTTTCGCAGCGGGGCTCAAATTTTTGTCTTGGCGCCATCCAACGCGTAAAGTGGAACACGTAACATTTGGACGCGACGCGAAGACTAGGTAATCTGCGCGATTGTGCATTCTATTGGCAGTTAGGACGGCAAAAGCAAACAGACATCATGTGTAGGTACATTTGAAGATCTGATCTGATCTGATCTCCACAAGACTGGCTCCGTCACGTCACGTCACGGGTGGGCTAAGTGTTCATAAGAAACGAAAATTAGCCCGGGTTTGTTCAAAGAAAGAAAGCATCATCTCTCATAACCACAACCCCCAGTACCCAATGAGATCTCGTACCATGCATTTGTTCCATTTCACTGGGTTTGGCTCTCCACAAAATCCAAGGCGTTTTCAATTGATTCGACGCGGATACTAGAGACGTTATTCGCAAATGTTACTCCATAGACTTTGTCAGCAACCCTCAGCATTTCCGGTCTGAAAGTTGTGCAGATGAACTGGCCGCTAGATGGTCGATCATCACCAGTCACTTCTTCTTCGTCAACCTTATTCGCTAGGTACATGAGATGGTCGGCAACAGCGGTACGATATTGAGCGTCAAGGTTTGCATCGATTTCATCGAAAATGTAGAATGGTGCTGGATCTGTCGCTTGAATGGCGAAAATGAGTGCTAGGCTGCACAAACCTAGCAGTTTGGTTAGGTGTGAGATTATGATACATTGAGGAATAAACTTACTCTTCTGTCCACCACTGAGTTGCTGAATGCGCTGTTGGTCATCATGCTTGCTGTTAAAGCTCACACTGATTCCGACACCAGTATAGTTCTCGACACTACGTTTATTGACGGGCTCCTCGTCAGACTCTTCATCATCTGCTTGACGCGCGTCGGTTTTCCGTTGAATGATCAGTCTCCCTCTGCCTGCTGGAACTAGTTTATGGAAGACTTCCGCAAACGCTTTACTGACTTGTTTGAAAGTTCGTTCAATAGCCTCGTCTTTTCTCTGGTCAAGGACCTCGATCAAATTCTGGATGGACGTCTTGGCCGCTTCGAGATCCTTTCTCCGAGCGTCGAGTTCCTCCCTCTGCTTTGTCGATTTTCGGTAATGTTCGAAAGCGTGCTTGTTGACAGAGCTATACTTCTTCAACGACTCTTTCACTTTCTGGAGTCGTTTCACAATTGTATTAGAGTCCATGGAACGATATTTTGTCCTCGATTCTTCTGGTATTGCACCCAGCTCGCGAATGTTCTCCAAGACCTCTTGTTTTGAGGCCAGTAGAGCGGCTTTCTTTTGCACAGATTTTTCAAGTCGACGCTGATGCCGCTCAATCGCTTTTGCCAATTCTTCTTGTTGTCTGCGGGTCTCAGCAGCTTGTGCCTCGAGTTCAGCGACTTCGCTTGCAGATGTCTCTAATCGCTCGTCGAGATTGTTCAGGTTTCGCTGGATGGAACCCAAATCTTCAGTTAGACGCGCCAATTCAGCACGTTTGATTCGCAGAGTTGTGGATGTGGTTGTTTCGGAGTCTCCCTCATCGGTCTCGAGGGCTGCCAGCTGTGGTCGCAGGCTCGAATTCAATCTGACTTCGAGGTTCGCCTTTTTGGTTTCGATGTCTGCTCGTGATGCGGAGAGGTCATTATATTCAAGTCTCAAGGCCTGAATACTTGCTGTTAAATTCTCCAGTTGAGATTCCTCTGCTGCCGTCAGGGCTTTCTTAAAGTCTGAGGACAATTCTGATTGGTATGCAGTTTGTTGGTCGCTCAGGGCTTTCACATTGGATGCAATGGTAGCTTCTTGTTTCTTCTTTGCATCTAGGTCATCCTTCTTTCGCTGAAGCATATCGACTTGATTTCTGAGTTCTTGTCGTTGCAATCTCTGGTATCCTTGGCTCTGATTCTTTTTCTGCTCCAACTTTTGGACATCTCCTACCGATATGGTGATTGTTTGGTCAATTTTCTCAATCTTCCGCTTGTTCTCATTACTCTCTGCCCGAATTTCCTCAAACTTCTCGCGGGCCGAAGTTACAGCTTTCGTTGCTTTGAGTCGAGAAGCACGTACATCATGGTACCCGCCAGTCAAAGCGCCTTTCTTGTCAGACCTGTCACCTTCCGGGGTTACTGCAGTCAGCCCATGAGTTCGAGCATATTGAGCCGCAATGCTGAGATTTTGAGCAATGATTGCTTTCCCAAAAACTTGTTGTACTGCCTTTTCGAACTTTGGGTCATAATTGATGAGAGACATTAGTGGTCGGGCGTCCTGCGCATTTGGGAAATTGGCCATTTTAGGCTTCAGGCGGTTCAATGGCATGAACGTGATGCGTCCCGCACGCTCAGTATTCAGTATCTCCATGACCCTGCTGGCAGTTTCGTCGTTATCAACCACATAGTGAAAGAGGGATGCCCCTGCAGTGACTTCAATTGCCGTATGATGCTGAGGTACGTCAATAAGTTCTGCAAGTGTGCCGTAACAGCCCTCAAGATTGTACTGTTGCTTGATCCGTCGAATCGCCTCCAAGCCTCGACTGGTATTGCCGTCCATCATATGGGACAAATTTCGCTCTGCTTTTCTAAGGTCATCTTGTGCTGCGGCATATTCCGAGTCTAATTGTGCCTCTCTTCGCCACAAGAGCTTCCTTTCATCCATCAGTGCCTCCTTTCGTTCATTCGCCGCCTGTATCTCACGATCAATCGATTCGTCTGGGCCACCAACCTGCCCTTGAAGTTCTTGAATCTCCTTCTCCAGCTGCGAGATTAGTTTCTGGTCATTGACGATGCCTTCTGAGGTTTGCATGCGAGTGGCCTTGAAGCGAGACAGGGATTCAAAGGCCTCATCGATCTGAGTCCGCAGCCAGCTGTCGCGGTCCTTCTTGGTTTTAAATCTCGAGGTTCTGCCTTGCTTGGAATACAGGCGTTGCAAATTTGCCTCGGCGTCATCTAACCGAGATTTGACGGAAGATTCTTTTGCCAGTTGTGCCTCAAATTGAGGAATCACGCTCTTGAGCTCTTTTTCAATCTGTCGAATTTGAGCTCGCACATTCTGGAGTTCTTTGTCGCGAATTTCTTTGGAACGCTGGCTGGCAGCTTGTCCATGAGACATGTTCCGCTCTTCGAGCTCGACCTGGGCCCGTGACTTCGCCTTCTCGCGCTTTTCGTCTTCGTATTGTCTCTTCTCGAGCCGTGCGGCATGGATTTGTTGATTTAACAATTGGATTTGTTGAGTAATTCCGACCAATTCCTCCTCGCCTTCCGCATATCGTTCGCGGTTTTCATCAGCATCATCGATGCCTCCAGCTCTTCTATCATCCAGTCCAGCCAAGGCTTTGTTGATCTCCTCTTGTTCTCGGTGGAAGAGAGTGTACTCCAAAGCGCGCTTCTCGCGGTCCTGATCTTGGAAGTTGCGCAGCTCGTCTTGTTCTTCCTCGAGTTCAGCAAGCCGCTCATGGATCTGCTCAAATGTCTGGTCGATGGCAGCAAGCTTATTGTTTGTTTCGCTCATGATTTTCTGGGATTCTTCCTTTTTGGCAACAAATTGTTGTGTTCCAGCAACGCTCTTCAGGACATCGAGGCGTTCAGAGTCCTTCATATTGGTCAGACGCGTGATGCGACCTTGTGGGACGATATAGTAAGGGTTGGCTCGCGAAAAGCCGGCATTCTCAAGGAGTTGCATGACATCCTGCTTAGTCGCGATTTTGCGATCAAGCGAATACTCGTCCTTCTTGAGCCCAATAGTTCGGCGCAAGATAAGCTCGTCATTACCAGTAGGGAAGCGGCCATCAGAGTTGTCGAAGACGACCTCGACGTAGGCAGACATCACAGCTGAGCCCGATCCTTCCTGAGCCTGGTTAGCGAGGCTGATATTTTGGGTGGTTGATGGAACTTACATGAATGAGAGCCTGCCTCTCCTCGCGTCCCATCTGCGAGTAGGCATCGCTGAGCACGAAGCGAATGGCGGCGAAGAAATTGCTCTTCCCGGAGCCATTGCGACCGACAATGACGTTGAGCTTTGGCGAGAACGGATCAACAACAGTCTGGTTCTTGTAGCTGCGGGGAAAGTCAGAAGAGAAGGCCCTTGAAGGGTTCAGGTGTGGCTTCTTGCCTTTTGAAGCCCTGAATGGTTATCTGCTTGATATGCATTGTGTCGCAATCGCCTCAGCGGCCTGATCCAGTGATGCAGAGTAACGCATATGTGGATAGATCGAAGGGGAACTCAGGATTGCAAAAAGATGCGGAACGCGATGCCTCCAAAACGCGTCTCCCACTGGTAAGTACTTAAATTGTCTTGGCGGGCGCGACAGTAATTACATACCGTTCTCGTTGATTGGGAAGGAGCGGCCACCAGTTTTCCAACCTGGTCTTGCGTCACTAGTAACTGCTAATTAGTACTCCGTGCTGCAACCGCCAGCATACAATATTCCTGTTACTACTTCCTATCAAATTGTACCAGAGATTGGTGTGAGGCTAAAAGTAATCACCCATAAGTTGCTCCTGCTGGTCTTCCTTGAGCCGCACACGTGATAGGAGGTATTCGTCGGACCTCTTCCGTACGAAGTACGGAGGACATGCGCACTGATAGAGAGAAGCTATCCCGCAACCGATAACTGTGGTTAACTAATTACCTGAATGTAACGCCCAACGCTATTGCTAAATCATTCGTGTACGTATTTCCCAGAAGAAGCTAACCTAAATAAATGGATATACCAAAATATCTTCCTGTCTCGACGCCATTGATGCCAACAACTCGTTGCGAGTAGGATGCTCAATTCTCAGCACACAGTTACCTTTTCTCTGGCTTTTACCGCCTTCAGCTTTCGGCCTTTGCCAATTCGAAAGATATTCTCCCTTCATCTCATCATGAGCTTCTGACTCCTCAGTCGTTGGCGGAGCTGCCCAGACCCCTGTTGGGTTTGGCCCTGCTCGTATGGCTGCCTGCCGCTCGGTGAGGCGGAGTTACAGGCAGCGCTCCGAGACCGGACACTCCGTGGAAATCTTATCAGATAAGATCCTCCTTCTCCCTTCCCTACGTATGTACGAGTAGAAGATGCCGTTATCTACTTGCATATTCAATCTATACAAGAAAATGTCTGGCAAGCCGCTGCTCATCCTCAAGCTAGCAGGTTACTTTCTAACCTCTGCTATCTATCTGCTCGAATCCTTGGTGTCGGCAAAGATCAACCGCTGGACTTATAACGTTGGGGATAACCCCAAAAATGTGGTTGTCATTGGTGCATCGTTTGCTGGCTTCCACCTCGCGAAGCAACTCGCCCAATCCATCCCCAGCGGCTACAGAGTGATACTAATCGAGAGACATTCGCATTTCTTTTTCACATGGAACTTTCCACGATCAACTGTCGTCCCCGGTCATGATCACAAAGCATTCATCCCTTACCTGGATCCGCTGCCCTCAATCCCAGAAGGAGCATATGTATTCACACGAGGCACTGTGGTCTCCCTTGATTCTAAGAAAGTCGTTCTGGAAGATGGGTCGGAGATTGAATATGAGTATCTCGCGGTCGCGACGGGCTCTCACGCAAGATATCCGGCCAGGCTTCAGGCTATTGAAAAGGCGGAGTGTATCGCATTTTTCAAAGATCAGCAAGAACGCATCAAGCAAGCGCAGAGGGTCATTGTGGTCGGAGGAGGTGCAGCTGGTATGGAGGTAGCCAGTGATGCGAAGTCCAAGTATCCTGAAAAGGATGTGACCTTGATACACTCGCGGGATCGCCTTTTGAACAATTTTGGTCCACTGCTTCATACCAAGGCAATGGAGGCGCTTGACGCCCTGGGCGTAAAGACTTATCTTAATGAGCGTGCCACTACTGGGCTGGATGAAGACCAACCGAAGGAAGTCATACTTAAGAATGGACTTGTCCTTCCCTGCGATACCCTAGTGAGTCTGCTGATCACACCTTCCCACAATCATCTAACAATCGTGTCAGGTTCGCTGCACCGGTCAGTATCCGCGTGTTGATCTAATCAAAGAGTTCTCTCCGGCATCGATATCTCCATCCGGTAAGATACTTGTCGACCAGAGTCTGAGGATGGCCAACTCGCCAAACGCGAACATTTTCGCTGCAGGCGACGTCATTGATGCGCCAGGTCCAAGTCTAGGACGAGCAGCGTCCATTCAAGGCATGTTCGTGGCAGACAACATTGTGCGTGCCATAAAAGGCAAACCCTTGAAGACGTTCAAGCCTGGCCTTGTCAACTGGTCAATCGAATTGACACTTGGCTTGGTAAGTGGGGCTTCTATGCCATTTCTTCTGGGTGTAGCGATAGCTAACGGCATTGGTTGCCAATCCAGGGCAAGGATGCAATGTATGTTAGTGATGGTGTGCGGGAAGCCTCATTTGATCGTAAGATGCCCCATGAGGATCTCTGGGCGAGGCAGGTGTGGAAGATGATGGGCGTGAAGCCATTCGAAGACCCCAGCTACGTCGATGAAAGCAAGGCTGTAGAATCCTCATAAGAGGACTTTCAAGCTCTCCTTGTATGTAGACATCTTGTTGTGGGGTGTCGAGCCTCTCAGGGGTGGGTTCCCGGGGCGTATTCTGATCCAGCGTTGCCAGTTCCATTCTGTTAGCAGGCGATCCGAACTTAACCGCTTGCCGAGCCCGGGGTTTCTTATCTTAACTGCTTGTTTTCCTTGCAGGCGTATTTGAAAGTGAAGCAACCAAGACCCATCAAACGCCTAGTTGAAGTCTACAATTGAGGAAGTGGTTGCCATCAAACAACGCTTTACGTCAATCCAAGGAGGCCCTTTACCAGCACTGATGCACTGGTCGTAGGCAGCAAAAGGGAGAAGAAGCAAGTGCAAGATGATAAAAGAAAAGAAAAGAGAACGCTGCTCCAACCAGCCTTGTTCTAGTATTGCCTGCCTCAGTCGTATGTACTCGTAGGTCTCCCGTACTTTCAGGACGCCCACGATCGATCAGCACGGTATTTACCCACTGTCACTCTGGTTGTCGAGAGGTTCCATGCATTTACCGAAGAGCGGGACCAGGGACCGGGAGACCAGGGACGCCTGAAAAATTCCCCATAGGGGTCCAAGTGGAGAGATACGCCAATGAGGCCCCTCCAACTCCTGATGCAAAAACAAGTGCTGGAGGTTTACGAGTACAGTAGGCAGCAAAACAAAACGCTCCCAAGGTTGTAAATGTGCGTTCGATCTTCCCGTCGGCCCAGGCCCTCAGGAGTCAGGACCCTTGCTCAAACTCGACTCACAAAAAAGCCTAATCAGGGCCCGGGGCTCAAGCGAGCCAGCGTCGGTGACCCCTGGTACGGATCGCTCTTTGGTCTTTCTATTCTCAGAACGAAGACTAGTCGTACTTAGCCAGCTCGATGCCTTTTTCTCATGGGACCACCGGGTGGGTGAGGACGGCACTGAAAAGCTAAAAGTTAAAGGAGCAGAGTTTCATCCTGAGGCTGCGCCCCGATCAAGTGGAACTGTGACACACACCGGGCACCCACCAGGGACGGAGGAAGAGAGAGGAAAGAAAGATGGCCCAGCCTTCCGTCGCTCCCATAGGCCCTGTGACTTGACGGGCGAACGAACTAAGTAGCCTGACTAACTACGATCCAAGGCTGACTCGTACAAGTCCCGAGTATATTGTTGGATGCTTTTCGCATTTCCGAGTGAGAGAGGATGTACCTCAGATGGTGAAATCTTCTTTTCACGAAAGTATCTGTGCCCGTCTCTGTCTGTCCGATATCGATATCGGGCATCGACTAGCATTTTATCCGCGCCACATTATCTTAGGCCGTGAACCAGAAATCCACTCCTGATTACCATTGCTGCATGTAAGTCTCCTCTTTCCTTTGATACTGCTGACGAACGTATCTCTGACTTTTGTTCGTTCAGAATCACGGGGTGAGAATTATGTGCTATAGTTTGGTCACCTACGCGTGCGGGCATGTGCGGAAATCATATGCTCTGGACTGCAAATGCGAGCATGAACGGAGTAGTGGGCCTTCGAGTTCTAGGTGCAGCGATCATTGTGCTGGGTGAGCCATCGCTTCGCCATGTATCGCCTGCCAGTCGGACGGTGTCAAAGACTCCGTAATATGGTATACTGTGGAAATTGAGTATTGATTATTGTATAAGAGGATAGTATGGAGTTGGATGGTAGCGTCGGAGGACGGCGATGCAAAGACATGCATGGTCTGATGCTATTGAGTGGCACATTTGGCTCATCTTGTGAGAAATCAGTCAGTTTCCAGGTGTTTTGCGTTGTGGTATGAGTCGATACTTACGGTACCTACTTCAACAGCAATGAATGCACCCAAGCGAGACCGCTATCGGGACCGTGCAAATGGACCACCTGGTCCGCTAAACCTGCAAAATGCCTCAGATTCTCCGCATCCACGCCTTCCTCTTCACATCCGCGGATTATGTTGTGCATCGCAACCCGCATCATTTCCATCGGGTTGCCGTGGTTGTTATCTTGATCGTTGTTGTCGATGGCTGTTGCAAGAAGCTCGTTGTGCGGGATCAAGGCTGTGAGAAGAGGGTTGAAATAAGTGGTAACCACCTCCGTGAGACCACCAGTGGTTGCGGTTTCCTTTGCTCCATTCGCACCGGCAGTGCTCTTCGCGCGGTCAAGCTGCTTCTGAATCATAGCCAAAGCCGTCAGAGATCCAATGAACATTCCGATCATCCCAGCCAAGAGAGCAAGGTCATAACCAGCCGCGACCCCGGGATCTTCTCCTTTGTAGTCTGGCGCGCCAATCGCGCCAATGAGGTCCTTGACCCCGCGGCTTTCAAGTAGGCTTTCGTCCTCACCACTGATCAAGACGACTGATACCGGAGTGCCGACATTCTGAGGCGTCACCATAATACCTCCATCAAAGTAGCTGGCGACGCCGTGATCTTTAAACCACTTATCGGCGTCTCTTGCATCCCTTGGAGTTCCATTTGTCAGATTTACCATGGTCTTGCCCTTTAAAACGCCGCTAGTGACGAGTGGTTCAAGACCTTGATAGATATTCTTGTACTCAAGGACACAGAAGACGATCGTGCTGTTAGCTGAAATTGCCTTTGCGAGGTCTGGCTCAAACGAGGCGCCTGCCTTGATCGCTTCTACCACAGTTGGCCTGGTGCTTGTGCGATTCCAAACCGTCAGCAAGCATCCAGACTTAAGGAAGGCATGAGCGAGTGCTGCTCCCATATTTCCCAGCCCAACGAGAGTTATCCCTGACGTGGCTGATGTCATGTTGTCTTTGTAGGATGCGATTGTGTTTTGATAGTTTCAAGATGATTTTGCGCTGATGGTTCGAGTGATGCTCATCCTTGTTCTCTGTGCATGGTTCATATAGGTTTCACTGTCGTCGCTCCGGTGCCCGAGGAGCCCGCCTTTTCACGAGCAAAACCAGACAGCATCACAGTAGCCGGCCAAAAATCCGACAGAAATGGTGCTGGAGGCTTTCGACAGACCACCCGTAGCTGCCCAACACCCCATCATGTGAAAAGAATTGCATAAGCGCCAAGGGCAGGCTCCAAAGGTTATGCCGTAGCATGACTGTTATACCATGAAGATGAGAAATGGTAGAAGGTAACGCTGGAGTTGATGTTGGTCGCGGACCTGCATAAATCACCGCTGTCCTGAATGCTGATTAATGAGTGTGCTGGATAGTGTGAAGACATCCATTGAATTCACATCTGCGTTCAAGACATGTTACCACAAAGGCGCATTTGTTCCTACCTGGAAGAGTTTAAAAGCGGTGCGCGGGGCAATTATCGTTCCGCAACCGCACGCCTTCGTACTCGGATTTGATGTTCCAAGGAGAGACGACAAGGCTGGGCAACCATACCTGCCTTAGGTAGGTAGACAACTGAGGTCCTCATCTTGGCTATTCTGCGGGGTTCACAAACTCTTTACCCGTTCTTTGGTGGTAGGAGGCGGCGAGAAAATCCAAGTCTGTAATAAAGAGAAACAGCCGGTCCTCATCCGTTCCTGGGCATCTCGTCTTTGATAAAGACCATGATCGTCGAACGAGAACGATTTGTACATGATGCGAGCCAATTTATATTCCGTTTAATTGTGACTGTTACCAGACACACCACCATTCTTAGTTGGCAAAAAGGTGGGAGATACCAGGAGGTTTTCCCTCAGTCTGATGTTCTGTATTTCTTGCCAAGCCGCCTCTAAAGCGGCGCCATGATGTGTAGGACATGGTTACAGTGCCAAGGACGTGGCCAGATCAAGTTGGCCTTTGAAGATCACAACACAATCAACATCTTCTTGTGTATGGAGGACCATGATTTGTACCATTAGAACGGCCTGATACTTTGTACAAGTGGCTCATGACCGACTCTTTCCCAACTCGCTCTGAGCAGTTGCAGTCGGTCCACTCTTTACTCTCTCGCCACCTGTGACTTTCTTCTCACCCTCGGTGATATCATGGAGATTGTCACTGCCGATGGGCTCGTTTGCATGTTTCTGAGCCTGGGCGGTTGGACCTCCACGTATTGCCTGATCCAAGCCAGTGATCTCTTTCTCGGCGGCATGAATCCGTGAGATGGTAGAAGAATCGAATCTGCCAGTGTGACCTTGAACTTGTGAGGTTGGGCCACCTTGCACAGATTCGCCCTTCCCTGCAATCTCCTTCCGAGTGATGAAGCTGTTCTCAGAATTCGAAGTTGCTGCCGTTCTGAAATTAGACTCGACACGGAAGGCTCTTCGACCTTGTACCAGACATAATCTGCTATTCGCCGCAGCGCATCTCGTGAATGTTGATAAAAGTGACATGATGTCGGAAGGGGGAAGGGAACAATTGTCAAAAGGGCTGATAGTGATCGTGAAGTGTCGTCGTCTGAGAGAGGAAAGCAACTACTCAATATATAGCCGATAAACCCCATCTACACTTCAAGCAATTCAAACGATGTAGGATATGATGACGATTGGGATTAGTTGTTGACGTCTTTGAAAGCGGCCCCTGGACGGAGCCTTGCATTTCACATGATCCAATTACATCATGCTCCTTCCCGCAAAACGAACCGTTACCAAGAGTTCAGCGCCTTTCTCGCAACAGGGCGAACTTTGTAGCCGTGCCATATGATTTTGGATTGCTTCGGTCGTGCTCTGAACGTACTCATAGTAAACGAGACCGGTTGGGACATCAGAAGGATTTGTGGACGAGTCTCCAATTCCAGAATTGAATATGGAGGATTTAAAGTTGCCTTGGTGGCCTTGGCATCAAGTGACACAAAAATCCATGCACTGAAGTCTCAGTCAGTGAGCCACCAACACAATCCTCTACAAAAAGGAATTCAAGGTTCAGTGGCAATACAACTTTATCAACTACAGACCTAGGAATTACCCTTCTTTTCCAACTTCCTTGAGCGGATTTAACAGTTGAAAAATGCCTGCAGACAACCAGCCAGAAGATGGCGCTGCGAGAGGCATTGCAGACGGGATTTTGCCAACACACACATTCGTTGCCAACCAGGGTTATACGGATACTGGTTCAGCAAATCTGCAGCGAAGATTGGCGCCTGGAAATTTCATACAGGAAGACGACGAATACTCCGATGAAGACGAGGATGGATATTATGAAGATTACGACGCTGATGAAACACTCGACGACCCCGAACAACTTGGCTCATCAAATCCCGCGGACCTGACCAAATCCTATAATAGACAGAGACGACTCAATGAGGTTGCGGTAGACTCAAGTGTACCCTCCTGGCAGCATCCAAAATCGAATCCACAAAAACCGCCGAAACCGAAAATGGGCGAACTCGGTTACGATACGAAGAAGCTCAGGATTGAAGGCCCTGAATCACTTCCAGGAGGGTCACGGCAGCGCGACAAGAGCGACCGGGCTACCACGGAACAAGTGCTCGACCCAAAGACCCGACGGATTCTCTTCCAAATGATCAACTCTGGCATCGTGACAGAAATCAACGGAACTATCTCCACCGGAAAGGAAGCGAATGTCTATCACGGCTTATTAGCATCTGAGGATGATACACTGCCGGACATGCATGTCGCTATAAAAGTATACAAGACTAGCATTCTCATCTTCAAAGACCGTGAGAAATACGTGACGGGTGAATTTCGGTTCCGCAAGGGATTCAATAAAGGTGACAACAGGGCGATGGTGAAACTGTGGGCAGAAAAGGAAATGCGAAATCTGAAACGAATACATGCTAGCGGGATCCCGTGCCCGGAGCCGCTCTATCTTCGACGACATGTTCTTGGGATGAGCTTCATCGGTGACTCCAAGGGTAAGGCAGCCCCTCGATTAAAGGACGTGGAGTTCGTCGAAGAAGATCCGCTGGCACGATGGCGGGCCGTTTACATCGATATTCTCGCATATATGCGCATCATGCTACAACAGTGCAAACTCGTCCACGCTGATCTGAGCGAATACAACATTCTGTACCACAATCACCGGCCCTATATCATCGACGTGAGCCAAAGCGTGGAGGGCGATCACCCTCGCAGTCTCGATTTTCTGCGCATGGACATCAAGAACATGTCCGATTTCTTCAGGCGCCAAAGCGTGTCCGTCTTGTCCGACAAACAAGCATTCGGATTCATTACGAATTTGACGTCTAGTAGTGCTAGTCTCGAGTTTGATTCCTTAAGAGCAGGAATTGACAAGATCATGGCCGAACGGACCGGTCAAGAGGAGGAGGACGAAGTTGAAAACGAGGTGTTCCGCAAGCAATATATTCCCCAGACGCTGGATGAGGTCTACGATGCAGAACGAGACGCGAGCCAAATCAAGACATCGGGCCGCGAGACACTCGTCTACAAGGATCTACTCGCCCCCTCAAAAGAGGAACTCCTCAAGCATGCAGCGGCCGAAGACCCATCAAATAACACATCCACACTCACATTCCGCCCCACGCACACCGAGAACGCACCCTCGACAGCATTTTCAGACGAAGGCCAAGCTGAAGGTGGCGTCTCCTTAGGCCCGGGCCACGCACAGACATCTGACTCCGCGTCGCACGAGGGGGGCAGTGCGCACTCGAACTCCGACGGTGACTCTGACGCCTCCTTTTCGGAAGACGATGGGCCCCCGCGCGGCAAGCGCTTCCAAGACAAGGACAGCAAGCGCGAGCACAAGAAGAAAGTCAAGGAGGAGAAGCGGGAGAAGCGTGCCAGCAAGATGCCAAAAGCGGTCAAGAAGAAGTTGGTCTCTCAAAGCGCGAGGCATAAGCATTGAAATAGCAAGGGCAAGAGTTGAAGAAAGAACGAGAGGGCGGCTATATTCCATCACTTGGAATCCAAGTCCAAGTCCAGCATCATCATGTCTTTGAGCATTAGGTGGCAACCCTGTGGCTATTGAGCTTTCTCTTTCTTCTCGTCGATGGTTCTTGTGCGCATGCCTCGCAGTGGAGGTGCCCCACTGCCATGAAATCAAGTGAGGTCCTGAGCCACCACACCAATGTGAGACAAACCACGGTAAAAAGTTCGACAGTGAAGGGGGATGAGTGAAGCACTATGACAAGTGTCCTAGTCTAGTTGACCCTGTGCGCCATTCGTCAGACATAGTCCGAGTCCGCCAAGTTTTGTTTGGCTCCTTTAAACAGGTAAGTCACATCTCTCAAGGTCTCAGCATCATCAATACAGTTCGAGGGAAAGGAATAATGAAGACACCATCACACAACACTTGATATGATAATTATGGCAGCGGCACTGCGCGTGAATGATGGTTTGATGGTTGTTCCTGTGCTCGGGAGACAACCTCTCATATTCATCGCAGCCCCTGACCATGAGTGCTTTGCACATCCCACATTGCATTCTGTGGGATAGAAAGAAGCTATGATATACAAAGAGAGCCCTGAAGAAGACATCCCGTCCCTTTCTAGAAATTTCATCACCGTTATTCGTCAAAATTCATGCTACGGTCTCTTGGAAATGCGGGAGATTTGGCTGACGATCCTCTCAGAGTAGGCTTCATCAACCCAGATCATCATTCATCTCCAACGCTCTAGCTAGAGTAATCCTCGTCCACCAGCCTTGAGGCGTTTCAGTGCATCTTCTACAGTCTTCCTCGGCAGATCTGGTACGCTGATTGCTCCTCCAGCAGCAATGTCGTCATCGGATTTTGAAATCACATACCTGGGAGGCAGGGCATTGACACCATGCCATATATCACTTGGGAGAAACTCTCCCTGGTCATTCTTGAACTCTAAACGCTGTGCTCGATCTTGATCGTATAGTTGCCCCAGCTTCTCGTGAGCCTCGGCAATCACCCGTTCCATTTGCTTTTTGACTGTCTTACGCCGGGCAACTTCGACAATCAGGCCGTCGTAGGCGTGCAGGAAGTTGGCATAATGGTCACATAGCTCTTCCATCCCACCAATTCCGTCTTCGATCTTGGCTCTCTCTTCAATCCATCGCATGGAATGCCGCGCTACTTCCGCGACGTATCCAGAGAGACGTCCACCAATCTTCTCGACCAGTCTGAAGGCTGTCGCGACATCGTTGTGGGCAGTTTCTTGCCGTTCTCGCCATTGGCTTACCTTCTCCAGTTGAGTCTCCATCTCGGCGTTGCGGTCTTGAAGCTCCATGACGACCTCATCGACTTCGGCAGCGTCCCCTTCGACCACTTCAAGTAGTTCAATGAGCTCCTCCTCGCTCATAGGCTGTGCTGGGTCTTGAAGTGCATGTATATCCGTACCAACTGCATCCGGCAAGCCTTCTGCACTCATAGTCTGGGCGATAGCTTCTCCACCTCCTTCCGTGTGCTTGATAGCCCTGACGCAGTTGTCAAAGTGCGTGGCCAAGCTTTCCAGCCCGTGGGCCATCTCTCTGGCATTGTTTTCAAGTAATGATAGCACCTTAGGGATGGTAGGAAATTGCAGTTCGCTCTCTGTACCAGAAGTCTCCACCCGGTTGTTGAGAACTTCATTAACAGACTGCAAGTCTTCCTCGAGAGTCTGAATGGACTGGTTCATTTCGTGCTGGGCGTTTTGCACATTGTCAATGGCTACTTTCATAGCCACTTGGATGTTCTCAACACCCTTGTCGTCGACGAAGTCATGCAACGTCTTCTTCGCCGCACCGGATGCAACTTCCAGCTCGGCATAAGCATTGAAAGCCTCCTCGATTTGAGTTTGCTTTAAGAGGTCTATGCACTGTAGAAGTCTTGCATCGGTATGGTCCAGCTCTTTGATGACATTTTGAAACTCAGACTGAGTGGTGTGGGCAGCAGCTTCCAACTCAAATTGAATACCACGCAGGATTTTTAGCTGCGCAGCCAAAGCACGTCGAAGATAGGCAGACTTTGCAAGGAGGGCCGTTGTGGATTCGACAGAGGCACGTGCTTCGGACAGGATGGTTGTGGCCCTGTGAACAAGGGGAATGCTGGCCAAGGATCTTTTGGCAGCCACTAGATAGGAGACAAGTGTCTCGACTGCTGCTGGAGGGCGTGTTGCAACCTGCCCAAGGGACTGAGACAGGGAGGAGGCTCCTGAGGCTTGCAGAGTTCGATGGGAAGATTGCGCCATCGTGGGCGAGATTGAACAAGTCTTGACAAGTTCGACGTATTATTTCAGATACAACGCCGGACAAAGGGAGAGGATGGAAGCAGGCATTTTTCGGATGGTTTTTGAATCAATGAAAGGATATCCGGCTCGTACAAAGAGCCAGTGCTCTCTGCAAAGTTAAGAGAGGCAATCAGAACGATTGCTAGCAGACGAGGAGTTGGCTTCACCGGAGATGGCCCGGTGTGATCCCGTCTGGGGTACAGGAAATAGGCAACGAGGGCGGTGCTAGAGACGATCAATAGTAGGCGACTGGCTTAGACGCGGGGACGTCGAGGCTCTGATGGCAGTCAAACATCATATTACAGTTGGCTGACCATGTGGTACCCTGCAAGGGACCGGGGACTGATATTTTTAGGGGGGATGAAAATCAGCTTTGTCATGGGCTGGTGAATGGTCGGTGCAACAGATGATGGCAACTTCGACATGAAGCACGCAATTGTGAGTGATTGCTGAAATCCCGTGAGACGCTAGCGATGGCAGTTTCCGAGACGCTAATGGCTGAATGACGAAGCCTATTTTGTCAGACAAATCCGTGCTACCACTTGAGCATGGAAAAACGGCCAGGCTGACGGTCAGATCAAAAGCCGTGTATGTCCTAAGCCTTGATAACTCATGGTTGGTGTCGTTAAGTTGAGATCCCTGTGGTCCTCAGCGGGTTTATTACTCCTCCGCTCCGATCCACTTTTGACTTTCTCCGCTCTCAGTGCTCAGCGCAGGCAAAGCGAAGATCACAACCAGGGACCACTGCATCTTACCAACCCGCTTTGCCATCTTGCACCATCTGCTCGCCATTCTGTCTCATTAAATCTCTCGGGTCATCCAGTCCCTGGGTCTCTCAGCCTGCTTCTCCTCGACCGTCACCTCTGCACCCGTCTACTGATCTCAGTCTCTCCCACCATTCTTCCCTTCACTCCTGCCGACAATAAGCCATCCACCAACGTCGATAAGCAACGTAGAGACTCACACAGCATGTCAAGTCTACAGAACTATTGCCAATAATGACAGAGAAACACCGGAGGCAGTCCCTCGTACATGACGAGTGGAATGAGGCGGCCAGGAAGAGGCTTCGAGTCACTCCAACCCGTGACGACTACCACGACAACCACGACCACGATGCAATCACCGATTCTGCTAAAGACTTTACTATCGCTTCCACTGCGAAGCATGCTCGCGAGACTGTCGCACCGTTCCTCGCCAAACATATCCCCGCCCAGTACGCCCCTCTAGGGCAATCCAATGCGCCTCAACCATCATTCAAAGCCCGGAAAGACACCAACTCAAAGTTCTGCTATCGCCACAGGCCTGATAAACTCTGTCGAAGACAAGTTGATGAACCATCTATGGAGAAACTGCAACATGATCTCGAGTCTCTCGACCAACAGGATAGGCAAGGCATTGTCCAAGTCTGGTCCTTATTCTCTGCGGCGCCCTCTAAATACCGTAACTTGATGCTGAAGGGCATCCTAGCACAATGTTGCTTTCCCCAGCTATCCTTCCTTTCGGCAAACGTTCGCGAGCTCATTCGCATTGACTTCCTATCTGCTCTACCGTCTGAAGTTTCTTTTCGGATACTATGTTTCCTGGACACCACCTCTCTGTGCAAGGCTGCTCAAGTCTCACGGAAGTGGAGGCAATTGGCAGATGATGACGTGGTTTGGCACCGCATGTGTGAACAACATATCGATCGCAAATGTACACAGTGTGGTTGGGGTCTCCCTCTACTCGAGAGGAAATTGCTGCGCTCATCCAAACGCCAGATTGAACTTCGTGCCGCTGGTATTGCTGCAGAAGGGTTTGCGTATACCGGAGCCGACTCTCAAGAAAGGGGACAGTCTTCAGCACCCCTCGACAACGATAGCCTTAGCGAGGCAACTGTCGTTGAGGATCCTCAAACCGAGGCAGCCTCTCCGATGGTGCTCAGAAGACCTCGGTTCGGCACATCAGATAGCGAACAACTCAGAGCAACCCGTCCCTGGAAGGATGTCTACAAGGACAGGTTCAAAGTCGGCACAAATTGGAAGTATGGTCGGTGCAGTATCGATATTCTGAAAGGGCACTCTAACGGCGTAATGACCCTACAACTATTCGATAACTTCTTGGCCACTGGATCTTACGATGCAACGATCAAGATATGGAACATTGAAACAGGTGAAGAGTTGAAAACCCTACGAGGTCATACCATGGGCATTCGTTGCCTTCAATTTGACGAGAACAAACTCATTAGTGGAAGCCTCGACAAATCCTTGAAAGTATGGAATTGGAGGACAGGCGAATGTATCTCCACATTCAACGGCCATAGTGAAGGGGTCATTGCCCTCCATTTCGACTCCGACATTCTGGTCTCTGGTTCAGTCGACAACACCGCTCGGGTTTGGAATTTCCGAGATAAATCGGTTTTCACCCTTCGTGGCCACACTGATTGGATCAATTCCGTCAAAATTGACTCTTCATCTCGAACGATTTTCACCGCATCAGACGATTGCACCGTCAAACTCTGGGACCTTGACAGGAAGAAATGCATCCACACCTTCGAAGGGCATGTCGGGCAGGTGCAGACTGTTCTGCCACTACCAGCAGAATTCGAAGTTGAAGAATGCCAGGTTGAAGATGATGACGAATGCTCGGAGCCAGAAAGTCCTCATAGTCAATCGACTACCGAGTCCACCTATGGAGGATTCAAGATCATGACAAACAGAGAACGACACATCAACCTTTTCGCCAATGAATCACATCGCCCTCAACCACCAAGGTACATGATCACTTCCGCACTTGACTCAACCATTCGCCTATGGGATGTGCATTCTGGTCGCTGCATCAAGAAATTCTTCGGCCATGTCGAAGGGGTCTGGGCGGTCGCTGCAGATACCCTTCGCATCGTCTCTGGGGCTGAAGACAGAATGGTCAAAATTTGGGACCCCAGAACTGGAAAGTGTGAACGCACTTTCACAGGCCATGCTGGCCCAGTTACCTGCATTGCCCTGAGTGAGAGTCGAATGGTCTCTGGCGGAGAAGATGGCGAAGTTCGCGTTTACAATTTTACTGCATGACACTCCTATTTCCACTACCTTCAATCGTTTCATTTAGCGGGAGTTTTGTCCTCGAAGTGAGCTTCTTGGATCACGTCTATTTCTCAAGGGAAAGAATATGCTTTCAAGATACGGGCTTAGAGATGATGTTCTTTTACTGTTCGGAAGCATGGAAGGTTCTGTGAGGTTTCCCCACGACTGATGAAGGAATGCAATCCGGGATATCATTATTTAGCTCGCATTCGTTTTGATCCCATTCTACCGGCGTATTTCTTTTTTCAGCCCATCGGGAGAGAATTAGGGTTTGCCCTTGCACAACATCACAACGAAAAGGGGGTGGCATGGTATCATCGCTGCCAGGAGGAGTCTGGTATTGTTGATCAGTTTTCAAGGCAATCATTGGGAATTTCACCTTTGCGCTAGTCACGGTCGGTGTAGGTATATTCTTCAGGAAGCAAAGCACCTAGTTATATATAAATCCCGAGGATGGATGGGAGGATGACCGCAATGGTCGAAAAGAAAGTGGACATCAAAACATGGTGATGCATGACCTGCTCATTATTCTGGTTGCATTTACAGTATCCTGACAGTGAATGATAAGTTGAACCTCCCATGCGACAGAAAACATCGTTCAATAATCGTCACCAAGCCCAACAGCAATTCCGTATTGCTTTGTTTGATCTTAGCTCATCTCTCTTCATTTCATCTCGCATACATAATTCCAGTCCGGTCCAATGCGCACGCACGGAGGTTGTGGTGTACATCGATGTTCCGTTCAATGGACAGGACAAGGCTCGTGGCAGAAGCCTGTTGCGCTGTCCCTCCTATACCCATCCATCCAAAGTATCCGAAATCCCACCCAATCATGCATGGGAATACTCCGGCGCAGCTCAAATACCAGTGATCCGTCTGACATTGCGTCTAGCACCATCGCCCACAACCTGGACTTTACCTTCCTGCTCAAGAGCTCTAAGAGCATCTTGGAACTCGGCGCCCTCGATCTCCAGAGAGCTTCCATCGGCGACGCGGCGGTACAGGTCTGCGTATCTGACGGCATTGCCAGATCTGACAGCAGCATCCTCATCGATGGCGGCGAGCACGGCGCGCTTGAGGTCTTCTTTGCGGCGACGGTCTGCTGCGCTGCCACCCTCGGAGAGTAAGCCCATGTCAATGAGCCCGGTTCTCGCGTCAGTGGCAGAGGCTTTGATGGCTGATTTGATCAAGCGGACGGCCTCGTCGACATCGGACTCGTCGACCGTGGCCGAGAGGCGCATCTTTGCGTGTGCTTCACTCAGGCGGATCATTGACTCGAGTTGACGAGTTGTTGCTGTGATGCGGCGGTCGGAAGCTTGAATTGAGTTCCCAAGAGAGCGCATTTGGACATAGGCTGTGGTGAGTGCTTTTGCGGCTGGAGGTGTGAGCGCAGGATGAATATTGGTGCGTGCGTATGAGATGTAAGATGTCAGGAATTCAACTGGCTGTACGAGCAGATTGGTTAGTCGAGGCGGTAAAGGGCATGGAATGGAGGACTTACAAGGACTTCCTCTCTTGTTGCATTTTCTGGAGTGTCTTCGAGATACATGCCAACTAGATGCTTTGCGAGTCTTCGATCGTTAACTTCGTCAATGTTGTCCAGCACAAGATAGACAAGGTCAAATCGCGACAGAAGAGTGGGTGGTAGGTCGATGTTCTGTGGAATGGGTAGATTCGGATTGTACTTGCTTCCAATGGGATTTGCGGAGGCGAGAAGACTTGTTCTGGCGTTGAGGGTGGTGATGATACCCGCTTTCGCAATTGAGACGGTCTGCTGTTCCATGACTTCGTGAAGGACCGACCGAGTCGACTCATTCATCTTGTCAAACTCGTCGATACAACAGACTCCTCCATCAGAAAGGACGAGGGCTCCAGATTCAAGGACAAGCTGCTTGGACTCAGGATCACGAGTCACATACGCTGTAAGACCAACAGCAGACGACCCTTTCCCAGAAGTGTATACACCTCTCGGTGCGATCTTGTGCACATACTGCAAAAGCTGTGATTTGGCGGTAGAAGGATCGCCGCAGAGTAAGACATTGATATCTCCTCTGTATTTAGGACTTCCACCCTTCTCAAACGATTTGTTTGTGCCTCCAAACAGTTGCAGAAGGATACCCTTCTTCACATCATCGAGCTCGTGGATGCTAGGAGCGAGACTTCTTGAAAGGAGGTCGTAGATGTCCTCACGAGCAGCTGTGTCTTTGATCTTCGCTTCTTCTTCTGCTGTATATTTTCTCACCTGCTCTGGAGCGCTTGCAACTTGTTCAGCTAGTTCTTGCTCAACAGTCGAGGTGTCGATGCCAACTTTTCGCTTGTCTACTTTTTGGATATGCAAAACGTCGATGTAAGTTTTGAAAAGCGCTTTAATGGTACGCTGACGTGGATTGACTCGAACAGCATTGCTTCTGAAGATGCCAGTCACCTCAATCCTGTCACCAGCTTTACAAATGTCCACAATTTCGTCATAGCAGCACAAGGACACGCTATGAGGCGTCTGTCCATCTGGGACAGAGTCGGGTGTTTCTTGTAGCTTTATGACTTGTTTATCTGCGAAAATGCAACGATTGTGAATGATTTCCATGCTGTCCCTCGATTTGCAAGCTTGCCGGGGACATTCTGTCGGCTCTGCGATTTTGCCTCGATCGATCGCAACCAGCAAGCTTTGGTTGCAAACAGTACATTTGAAGAAAGCCTCCTTCATATCGGGAATTACTGGAGTGGTTCTTATGACAAGACCTTTGATGCACACAAGCCTATCAAGGTCAGCGGGATCCAGGTCTCGCATGTTTATGGCTTGATCTAGCCCGAAGATCGTGACTTTCCAACGGTGTTCTTGAGCTTGAGTGATGAGGTCTGTCCTGTCGTCTGTAACGTTGCCCGCGGTCGCACCTGGAGTCAAGGCGCTACTTAATTCAGATTGAGGCAAAAGCGGCCCGGAGCTTGCATCCCTGGCGCGTGAAGCGGTTGCCACGTGTGTTCGCTGTTGTTCGCGCATTTGAGTCTGAGCGAGTTCAATCATTACAGTGCGAAGTGTCTGATCCATCAAGGGGACGATTTCTTGAGGATAAGCCTGCATTTGATGCCACAGTTTGTTCGTAGCAGGGTAGGCCTTGAGATTCCGCGCATCAAGGTTCAGCTGCTCAATTCCAGTATGAAGCATGCTAAGCATCATGTCCACATATTCTCGTTCTTGAGCGACTTCGAGATTCTGAGTCTCCTCCTCCGTGTATCCGTCGGCCCACATGCGATATTTCTTGGTATATCCGTGGAGAAAGCTCTTGAAAGCGGCAGTTGAATCGATTATGGAGATATTAGATCCCCATATGACTCTCGAAGAATTCCCGCCAAGTGCGTTGGCTTCAGAGGTGTCAGGATGGAGGTTGGTAAAGGTGGCTTCAGATGCGGGATCCTCGTCTTCTCGCACCGGCATGCCATTTTCTCCAACTAAAATTCGTCGACGTCGCGCGGATGGTCCATCAAAAGTATCTGAGTGGATATCACCTCTTCTCGAATCCAGGCGATTTGGCCCATCTTGACGCACGAAAAGCCCGCTACTGCTGCTTGGAATATCGGATTCGATGCGATTGACATTTCGAATTGGGCTCGAGCTGGGGTCATATCGGACTGGCGATGATTCTATGCCAAATTAGAGAGTGTCCCATGTGTTTTAGAAAATATCATACCATCAATGGGGCGTATCGCTGCTCGAGGTGTTCCTTCACGATCACCAGCATCAGAGGAATTTCTCGGAGGAGAGCTAATAATCATGCCATCATTTGCCAGTTGTGAAGGAGGTGCTGGCGGCTGTCGCACAGGTGATGATTGAAAGAATAAAGGGGAGGAAGATGGCACAGCGCTGCCATGAGGCGCTTGACGTGTGCTTCTTGGGGTTGTTTGCGGCTGTTGCGTAGGAGTCGAAGATTGAGACTTCCGTGACGAGTGCCCTCTTCGACGAGAAGATGGTGTAGAAGACATTATGATCAGTTGTCGGCACCTGGTTTGGAGTGTGTTGGTTCTCAATGTTGAGTTGGTCAGTGAAAGGGGAAATCTCGAAAAAGAGGGGGGGGACGCGTCGCGCCCAGTTCGCGTCACGCGTAAAGTGGTCTTCGGGATTGGCACCGAACAGTTCCGCTTTAGATGCCCACTGCAAATCTCAATGATTGGTAGGGAGCCATTGCTGCCCTTGTGGCCTTTACTATCAACATCGTTGATCCTCTGGATGGCTTCAACAACATTATGAATCGATGAAGCACAATGGAGCCAAGCTCTTCGGCGGCCCAGGCTCTGCGAGAATCGTTTGGCGATCGCAAGCCAATCGACATAAGCCGGAAGATAACGGCATGTGTCGCCTGTCGAAAGCTGAAGATCAAGTGCCACATGTCTGAGGGAAAAGCACCCTGCACTCGATGCCAGAAGCGGAATCTATCTTGTGTTGTTAATCGAAGTCTACAGATGCTACTCGAAAGCGACGTCACGTGAGTTCTTTGATCCCGGGATTCGTGACGAAAGATGCTAATGAGGTCAGCTGGAAGTCTACTGTCGAGGAAAAACTGCGTTCGTTGGAAGATGCTATCCAGACGCTAAGTCAAAGGCCTACAAGCCCTGTCAGACGAGTACCATCATCCATCACTGTCCATGAAAGGGCAATGCAGAACCACAGAGTTGGAGAAGCACCCAAGGGTCCAGACCCTACTCCTCATCAACATGAACATTGTTGGGAAGTGGTAATGGATCTCAATCGAGGACCCGGAGTTATTCCAGCATCAGTTGTATCAGAAGTGGCAGGCGTCTCACCAGCTGCACGGATCAACAGGAGAGATGGCCAGGATTTGGTCGATCACGGAGTCATCTCTCTTGCTGACGCCGAGGAATTTTTCAGTATTTACTGTGGGCGTCTCGACCATTTCCTGTATAGGATCCTCATTGACCATCATTCGCTATCAAGCGTGCGTCAAAGTTCTCCACTTCTGACTGCTGCAATCTGTGTGGTCGGAGCACTTCACAAGCCCTCAGTTTACTACCATGCATGCTATCAACACTTTGTGCAGTTGGTCAGCGCTCGGCTGTTTTCTAAGATGAATAGCCATGATGACGTTCGTGCCCTATGTATCGGAGCCTTCTGGCTCAGTGATATTTCATGGAACCTACTGGGATCAGGTAAGCCGTATACCTTGGGACAGACAAGCTACCCCTACTGAACTAATGAATGCAGCTGCTCGAATGGCTGGTGAGCTGAACCTTCACCGGTGCATACCCAAAGCACCTCACTCTAAAAGAGCGTGCTATCTACGGACGAGATTGTACTATCTCGTTTATATTTGTGACCACCATTTCTCCATTGCATACGGCAGACCGCCATTGACGAGAGACTTCAGCTCGATCACACCTCCTACAGACTTCCTCAAGTCTAGGTTCGCAACAGAAGACGACGTGAGGCTCATCAGCCAAGTTGAGATCTGGAACATCAGCACTCGCGTCTTTGATCAATTTGGCCTCGATCCTGAAGCTCATCTTTCTGACCAGCTGATCCCGCAACTTCGACGCCTGAGTATTGACCTGGATACTTGGAGAGCAGATTGGCCTGAAAGATTCATTTTCAATGAACACGTAGGCAACTATCCGCGGAAGGGAGCTGGTCTGCATTATCACTTTGCCAAGCTATATCTGTGCTCGCATGTATTCAGAAAGGCACCAGCGGCGGAAGGCGAGCCCCTGCAATTAGGTCCAGAACTCAAAGAGTTCGCAGAAGTTGCGGTTCACGCTGCTACGTCGATCCTCGAAGCCATCATCTCAGACGAGGAAATTCAATCATATTTTCATGGGCTCCCGGCCTACTTTGATACAATGATGGCGTTTGCGTTCGTGTTCTTACTCAGAGTCACGATCAAAGACCCTGTCAACGTGTGGATAGACAAGGCCGGTATCGTTGAAACGCTGGACAGGCTTGTCGTCTGCTTGGAAGGAATCACGGAGACGATGCATTCTCACCATCTACTGACCAGCATAGCCCGGAGCATGCGAAGGTTATTGGACCGGTTTGGATGTTCACGAAATAAAGACAACATCTCCATAACACTACGCTCGGCTGGTGGAGCACCAACAATGACGACCAATCCCAACCAAACTTGGGTGAGCCCCACTGACACAATGTTTTTGGAGCAATTTGATTTCCTCAACTCTCCAGATGCCGCATTTAACTTCGATGCAGAATTCTGGGCGACACCGAATCCGTGAAGGGTTCTGTTACACTCTCTGTGATCAATCTAGTTATTCTATACTACAGTGGTCTACTTTGATGCTGTGGATTTCCTGAGACAAGCTTTCAAGGGGGGCATGCTGGTTGTTGATCATCTGATGAATTCTATACTCGTGAACCTTGATCTATGCTAGTTGCCCGTGAGGCCCAGCAATGCTGCGAGGAGATGAATTGTGTACAGGAACTGGTTCGCAACGGTATTGAAAAGGCTCATGTGAGTTCCTCTCGTTATTCATCCTCATTGCATTTTTTCAATAAGTTCCCTCAGTCCAAGTTATTTGTTGTCAGGTACCCGTCTGTCACGACTCCCACTTGATGACAGACCCTGCCATTCGCTTCCACATATCTCGCCATCTTGCTAAAAGTGGATCCTGATCTGCTGAGAGCGGAACACTAGGAAGTGATACCACGGCAGAGGATTGGTGCTGTAACATGGGGTTAGTGCCTGTCACAATACGGCAAAGACGATGGGCATACGATGGCGGTTCTTTGGCTTGAGGACAATGTCGCCTTCCTTGGCATTGCAGCAGAACATCCACCTAGTAGAGTATTTTTCGCATTTCTTATCCTGTTCACCTATATAACTCGTGCAAGTAACTGGTCAGAGACCTGCCAAATGAAAAGGAAGAATGCGCGGGGAGAGCTTACAGTGCCAGGTGTTCTGGTCTTCACGACTAGTTGGCCAGCAGCAGGCAGGTATGCCGTATCTAGCTTCGGTGCATGAGATGCCTGCGGAGACGGTGAACGCCATGAGGAAGGTTAGGAGGATCAATTTGAGGGCAGCCATGGTGATTGAGGTGCAAGGATCACTTGTTTAAGAGCTGTTTGTTTTTTGAAGAGAATTGAGGATCGAGTGAAATGGATGGGTTTCTGGTTCCTGAGACGCAGCTTTAAAGGAATAATTGAAGTTGGAAGTGATAGATGACTGGAGAACTCTGTGACTTCAAGGACGCCATGTGATTGACTATCACGACGGCTAAAGCAATTACAGGGCATGAGGCACTTCACAACTGCAGATGTGTTTGTGTTTGAATCTCCCGTCCGGGTCAACTCTCCTCTGACATGTCCGAGTGACCAAACTTAGAAAGTGAAGAGGCAGTTCTATGGGCACCCAAACTGCTCACTGTCGACTGAGCATCGCTTTATTCTTTACAAAGGGTATAAGCTTTGTCCTTCCTGCAACAATCCTCTTGCTCTCGGGGAAGTCTCTTTGTACGGCGACCCTAGAGCCGGTCCTGTTCAGGAAGTGATTGCAAGGCACAGGTGGGTGCAAGACTAGAGAACGGAGCCTGCTGAGATTTGAAGAAGCAGCGCGAGCGTTGAGCTTTCATATTGAATTGTATCAGGTGCAGTACTGTAACGTGCCCCAGGGGTGTCCTCGGATTAATTCAGACATCCATCAGCAATCAAAAAACGATTGAACTTCATGAGCCTTTATCAGATTGCGGTTGGTAAAAGGCTTTAGCTAGGGATAACTCGACATCATCAGCGATAGAATGGTCTGAATTCATGCAACTTGTGATGAAGAGCCTTGTATCCAGCGCGAATTTGCCAGGTATCAATCCATTAGACTGTTCAGAAGCCATCTCGTGGCGTTCAGCCCTGCCCAGCGCTTAGATGAGCCAACAACCTGTAGGGCTGAAGGGCTGGCGTTCCTGCATTTGGTAACCTTCCGCGGCCCGCGGCCTGCCCCTTTTGGACTCAGCCTTTTATTCTGACTAAGCCACGCATTGAACGAAGACAAGCGTTCGGGGTCACCAAAAACAAGGAAGGTAGAGGCGCACCCGGCGAACAATTTCAGATCAACCAGGCCAGGGGTTGATACGGGGCAAAAAGGTAGCATGGGTCCGCGTTGTGGCCGATCTTGATTGGATCGTAGCTCAAAGTGTCGTCAGTAAGGCTTCCTGCTGGAAATGTAGTCCCAGACTCCGACAGGTATATAAAATGCGCCGAAAGTCTGTCAATTCCTAAACTTGCCAACAAGTGAAGCACAGCTTTAACCGCCCAATTTTCAAAACCGATACCATGACAATATTAGGTCAGGAAGAATACCTGGTGCCTCCAAAGCCTAGCCCCTCTTTAGGAATCCCAGAATCATCGTCGACCGTCAATGTTCAGATTATCGACACGTAAGCTTGATTTCCGTTTCTCTAACTTCAAACTTGACAATCAGGCAATTTGCTGATATGGTCCAACGAAGCACAACTTCCTTGACGGTCCCGATGGCCACGTTCATGGGTCCTGAACAACCAGGGCATACGAGTCTTCTGGGGCCCTCGATATCATTCCTCATTCATCACGCACCCACAAACACTCGCTTACTCTTTGACTTGGGCTGCCGCAAAGACTGGAAGAATCTTTCACCTGCAGTTCTCAATATCATCACCTCTCCAGGCTGGAATGTTGAAGTCAGGAAGGACGTCGTGGAGACCTTGACTGAGAACGGGATCGATGTTCAGGCGGGTGCGATCAACAGCGTTATCTGGAGCCACTGGCATTACGACCACACCGGGGACCCATCAAAGTTCCCAGCCTCGACATCTCTGATTGTTGGGCCCGGGTTCAAAGACGCTTTCATTCCTGCTCAGTCGTACCCAAGTAACCCTGATGGTATGATACTCGAAACGGACTTCCTGGGCCGTGAGGTGAGGCAGATCAGCTTTGAGCGATTCATCGGCATTAGTGGATTCAAAGCCTTCGACTTCTTTAGCGATGGAAGCTTCTACCTGCTGGATGCTCCAGGACACACGCTTGGCCATCTCTGTGGTCTTGCTCGCGTGTCCACAGAGCCGAGCACTTTTGTCTTTATGGGAGGCGACGCGGCACACCACAGCGCTCAGTATCGACCGACAGAATATCTACCATTGCCAAGGCAAATCAGCCCTTCGCCCCTGATGACGTACAAGCAGCGGCATGTGTCCTTCTGTCCTGGTGAGATGTTCGCTTCCATACACGGAACACCGGAAAAATATGCGACCGAGCCCCTGTATCGGGTTTCCGAGGGTGTAGCATACGATTCGAAACTGGCGAGCCAAACGATCCAAGATATGACGCTGTTCGATGCAGATGTGAATGTATTTGTCGTAATAGCGCACGATGCGAGTCTGTTTCTGGAAGAGGTTGGGATGACCTGGTTCCCGGAAGGAGACCTCAGTGATTGGAAGAAGAAGGGCTGGAGGGAGAAGGCGAGATGGGGTTTTTTGAAAGACTTCGAGCCCGCCTTGGTCGAGAAGGGTGTAGTGCTATAGGAAATAATTGTAGCATAAATCCGTATTGCAAAGAGCTTCCAAGGGAATAGGCCTGCCCCAGACTGAGGTGTATTGCAATATCATCAGTGACATCAATCTCATCTCCAGGGCCACCATCAAAATGGGCGGGTGTTAAAGGCCTGCAGATTCATTATAGGCCCCTAGTCACATATCCTCTCACAACCATATATTTTGGGGGTGCAGAATTCCTCCCAACAATAAACCGTTTACGGATCACTCTTACCGAACATGTGGCTATTGGTTGGATTCTGGATACATGGGCTTCGGCTCCTAGGCTTGTTCTGATCACATCTTCGTTAGATGCGATGAGAACATTTACAGTCTTGTGTTCAAATTACACTTCAGGTATGTACTGTATTTCTTTTCGGGCTTTCCCCCTTTTTTCCCCTTTTTTCGGACATGTGGTGTGAGGCAATAACTGTCGGGGGGTTGGAAGGGCAGTAAATATCGATGACAACAACAAAGTGCTCAGAGACAACCCTTGGTGACATAGGATGTAGAAGGGGTTGTTCCACCGAACTTTGACTAAAGATATCTATCCTTGATCTTTTTCGTCCTTGATCTTCCAGTGAATCCCTTTACTCAAGATATTCATCTATTGTATTGGGGCTCGAGGCGCTTAGTCATAAAAGGAAGAGAGAATGGGCCTTGGCATGGGAGAACAAGCAAGTAAGGAGAAAAGCAGAGAATCTAGGCAAGAAGGGAAAAAAAAAAGGGAGGACAAGCAACGCTACGCAAGAGAGCGTACGTTGAGTATCAAGCAGCAGTCATGAGAGCATAGTTTGCAGAATTGAGAGTATTTTCCTTCTACGAGTTCGGCTGTATAACTATACAGCCTAAATTTCAGTGGTAGTGACCTTCACGGATAAGGCCATTACAGCTTTATGCACGTCTATTGCGAGAAGTCTTGAAAGTATAGTCCCTTGGCGGGCTCAAGACTATAGAGATCTACGGCGTTACTGTCCCCTCGCTGACATAGGTGAGTAAAGAGTATCATTCTGGTTGTGGCCACTATAGTGTTCGTTTTAGTGTCGATTGGTTCTTATCCTACGGTCCTGGAAGAGAGAGAACCCCTAGCAACGTAGCCCTGCCCCTTTATGCGACCTACAGGATAGGCGAGAATATATACCGATTCAATCTCAATACACTATAACGTTACACCCTTTACATTTTCGACATCGTTATAGTAGTAGCTTAGATCTAAGTGTATAGAAGCGCGTTATCTCGGTCTTACTCTTATATAAATAATAACTTTATATCCTCCTAAACCTCGCTAAACGATATATCTATATTCTCTCGGTCTAACGTATAAGTAATTTTAGAACCTATTAGAACCTCTCTATATATTAGGTAATATTAGGTCTCCACGAAGAGATATTATACCTTTATATACCTTAACTCTTATTCTAAACTCCTATATAATTTATCTATTACCGATCTATAGAGATATCTTCCCCCTAGTTTAAGGCTTAATTAGGCTATAAGAATTAGTTAGCGATATATCTAATTATTATTACGCCGGTTAAAATAATTATTTATCACGGATCGCCGTGATAGAAGGATAAGAGATACCTATAAAGGTACTAAGAGGCACGTAACTCGTAGGTATATCGTATACGGGAAGCATCCGGAGCTCTTATAGCTCCTTACGCTTCGAGTCGATGTTACTTTTATGTATATAGTTAGATAGAGAACCCTTAGAAAGACTCTAGAAGATCTCGCTCATCTCGTTCCTAACATAATTAAAGGAATTTATATTAAGCTATTTCAGGCATTCAGGTATAGTTAAGTACCTTCGCTAGTATTATATAGAGTCTATAGGTTAAGAAACTCATTTACTAGTGCAAGAAACTTCAAAAACTTTAATGTTTCGTAACACGAGGTTCTTAAAAATTAACTGTATGAATAGAAGGGGATTGCACTTATGGTATGAGAAAAACAAGGGCTATCGTGGCCTCCTCAAGGTGGAATTGCACACACAATCAATGATACGTCCGGAGCGCGTTGATGGTACTGTTGAGCCAGAACAATGCCCCGATTACGGGGAAGAGTACACACGTTTTGCTGCGGTGGGCGCCGAGGATGAAGATGAAGATGAAGGAGGTGTGCGACTACGAGCCACCGATTGTGATGAAGAGGGCGAGGAAGAGGGGGAGGAGGATTGGGATGGCCCAGCAACGCTTACCTTTTTCCCTAGGCGTGAAGCGGTTGTTCAGCCGGCCGCCACCAATGGCAACAAGAGGACGAGAGATGACGATGAAGATAGACCGAAGATGAAAGCCCGGCTTGAAGAGGATGTGGAGATCGAGGAGGTCGAGGAGGTCGAGGAGGCCTTGGGGCAGATTTCCCTGGCGCCTCCAAAGGAGGAAGTTGGATTTGAGTTTGGAATATGCAGCTTGGCATTCCGTCCCCGCTGCAGGCAATAGGCGGCCTTGCAGGCGGTGGACTTGACGAGGACCGCCGCAGAGGCCAATTTGTGTCTGTGAAAGCCCCTCTTCGATAGTGCTGATGCGGCCGCAGAGTCTGCCCTCGAGGGAATTACAACCTGATTCGGCCCCAAACGTACTGCCGATGCGATCCTGGAGAAAGATCGCCGCTTGGCCATAAGCCGGATTAAGGGAAATGTAAGCTGCGTGATGATTTCACATTCTCTCTTGTGAACACACCGACAAGCTTACGAAGCACGTATGTCTCCATCGCTACGAGCGATGCAATCTCCATTATCTATCACCTTCGAGGATGGGACCATGCTGCAAAAGGGACCACGACGGGCACGGGCAGCCTGTACTCTTTGTCGCCGGAAGAAGGTTCGATGTGATGCTCGTGGAGATAAATCATGTTCAATCTGTGCCTTCGAAAATGTCGAATGCATCTTGATGCCTAAGCAGCCGGTGAGGTAAGGTCTACCTCAAAGCTTGTTCTAAATTACCAAGGCGTCCTACGGTTTAGGGGACCAATACTCACGACTAGTGCAGACCATCCACTAGATCAAAACCCGTACAAAATACGCGTCCACATGCAGCTAGATCATTGCTCGAGATTTCTGGAAAGGATCATGCAGAGCCTCATTTCATCCTGGATGGACGGACTTCTTTACCCCACACTAGACTTCGTTCGTCAAACCAACGATCAAACGACAGAGCCAGTGCCAGAGCACTTTCAGGTATCCGTGTCCTTATTCTTGCCTCGTAACGTATGTCCACTAATGCATCAAACCAGGACATAAAGCGCAACTTGAGCTTAACGGCAGACCTCTTGAAAGTCTGCAAATGTCAAACTCCCTTAGTTTCCCGCTCCCTCTGCCAGGAACTGCTCCTAGCTTGGATTCTTCTCATGGTTCAACAGAGCTTCCCAGCTATGTTAGGCCGCCTTCCTCTGATATGGATCCAGAAGACTTAGAATGTCTCACTAAGAAGGGTGCACTCACGGTCCCAGCTCCTGATCTACGTGACGCTTGTCTACGAAGCTTTTTTCAACACGTGCAGCCCTGCTTTCCCATCCTTGACTTGAAAAGCGTTCAGGCCTGTGTCAATGAATCAGGCCCCAATTCTGGAAAGTTGAGTCTTCTCCTCTTCCAAGCGATGATGTTCGTTGGAAGTACCTGGGTTGATATAAGATTCCTGCGCAAGCTCGGGTTCTTGACCCGCCACGCGGCACGAAAAGCCTTGCATCGAAAGGTTCGCTTGCTTTATGATTCAGATTATGAGGATGATCGTATCTGTTTGGTACAGTGCCTTATACTGCTGACCTTCTGGTGGGAAGGCCCAAATGAGAATAAAGATGCATGGCATTGGATTGGAACTGCTCTCTCGGTGTCCCGCACGATCGGCCTACATCAGCCGTGTGCAGAGGCAACGTTCAGTCCTGAGATTGCACGATTTAGGAAACGATTATGGTGGACAATCCTCATGCGTGACACGATCGCATCGTTTGGGTTGAGCAGGGCCCCGAGGATACGAGATGAGGACCACTTCGTGGACATGCTCGAGGTTGAAGACTTCGATGTCTACGATACCGATTCGGACTTCATGCCTGGCACCGTCCCCCTTCTGGTGAGCCAGCAACGAATGTTTGCTCGTCTAGCTACCGAAATGGCTAGGTTATGCCGGATATTAAGAAGGGTGCTCCAATTGGCGTATCCTGAGAGCTCCTCAGGACAGACGGCGAGCTTATACTCCAGTCGACAGTTAACCGGCCTGAACAAGATGACATTACCGCGCAAGGCGCTTGACATTGAACAGCTTAGAATCTGTGACCAGGACTTGGATCGGTGGCGCAAAGAAGCGCCAGAAGGTATCTTGCACTGTCGACCCATGGTTGAAAAGTTCGACCCTTTTGACAAAGCCGAGCTCGCACACCGTGGTCTCCTATCTATGCTATATCACACGACCTTGATGGCACTGCACCGACCGCGAATCTTGGCTTCGAGTAGTGTGAACATTCCTACTCAAACCCCTGCTCAGGTTGGCCAAGACCAGTCTCGAATTGTGGTGCGTTACGCCGCCATTGAGATCACCAGAATCGGCATGGATTTTTATGAAGCCGACCTGGTGAGCTCGCTGTCTGCTACCTGCCTTGGCTGCCTGCTCTCAGCAGGTATCAGCCATATTTTTGACATGACTTCGACCGAAGTCCTCATCCGCTCTGAAGGAGTACAGAGGCTTCAACAGTCCAAACGTCTGTTGCAGGAGTTTTCGGATGGACATATAGCGGCAGACTGGTGTACCAGCATCCTGGATAAGATATCTACGCAAGTACAAATGCAGGTGCCCGCAGGTGAGGATAATGCACCTCAGCGAATGTGCGGCGCACCAGCACGTTCGATCCGAGTACAACATGGAGATGCTTCTTATTCAACAGGAGGGGGACATTTGGCGATGGCCGCGACTCTCGACAACACTCGTGGCAAACCGACAAGTTCTCCTGAAACGAATGGCGCTCTGACCACGGGGCTGGGGTCACTTCCGGGGGATATACAGTTCCAAGGGATAGATGCCTTCAGCCAACCGTCGAATCCTGGACCACTGGTAGCTGGCCAGCCGCCAGGTTCTCCGAATGAGTTCACGAATATCTTGGGCCTGGGAGATATGTGGCTCGACATTGCAGGGATAGTCAACACAAATGCCGAGCCCGACTGGATAGACAGCAGCACGTTTTGGGGGAATTGATCCTATTTTTTGCTGCTCTCTGGCCGCACGAACCCCAATGAGACACGTTGGCCGACATGACCATAAATCAAAGCACCCACCATTTCTGGTAAGATATGAGATCGACGGTGCAACGAGATACAAAACACGGCATTGACGACTGAAAAAAGGATGGTGGTATGGAGACTGGACGCTGGTAGGAGGCCTACACGCTAAGCCACTCCCTCCTAGATAATTTATGATTGCAGCATGGTTCGTTTCATCTCACTTGGGTTTGACCATGCAAGCGATAGACCCCCGCCCGGGGTATGTACTGTACGCACACCGAAGAGCAAAACAGTTCTTTTCATAACGTGCGAGCTGCGAGCAGCGATCAGAAGTACAACTGCTGCCGGTGGGCATTGAGAGCTTTTGCGGCCCATGATTGAAAATCATGAGCTCTGTCGAGAAGCACAATGACCACTGAGTGTCTTGCTTTCCGAACGGATAGCTGCACCATTATCGGAACTCATCCGGTTTATAGCCTAGTGTCCTCAAATACTGCTATTGTCAACGTCAACTTGTGGCATTGGCTTACAGTAGTCGTCGAACTAGATACTGCTCCAAGCGTTGGGGCATCGGAATCTGCCGTATGCTAGCCCTGCTTATTCGGTTGATATGAGACCGAGGTAGCACTGAACCGAGTGGTAGTCTTGTTGAACACCCAACCTAGACTCACGAACGTGCGGGGAGCCGTTCGCGGCATTTGGGATACCGTCTGGTCAGCTGAGCCAGTTGGCGAGCCCTTTGGTGAGGAATGATATTGAAAGAGGGCGGCGAGAGCTCTGCAAGGGCACCATTGCGCTCTTTTGCATTCGCTATGAATATGACATTGATTCGATGAGGGCAATGCGATCTACTGTAAGACTGTAGGGGCCGACTGCGCAAGTCAGTCTTGTGAGATCTCGTGATGACCAGACGCAAAATTCTTCACCGATGCGCACACAGCCTGAGATATTAGATCCTGGGCGGGTGGGGCAAACTAATCCGATCCCGAGCGCGTCTTGTTTCCAAGGAAGGAGCGATCCGGATCGACGTTCGCGTTCGCGTTCTCGAGGCCAATCAATATGTGACTCGCAACGTAGCCTATGAATGTGATGCGACTTGGTGCAACGTGTGGAATACGTTGCCTCATAAAATGGTCGTCATGAATAAACGGCAAACAGCAGCATCTTCGCTGGCGTCATCAGGCTGCCTCTAAAGCCATACGGAATATCGCAGAGTCGTCAATGACAATGGGCTCGATCTACAAGCGAAATTAGATACAAACATGGTAGGAACTTGGTAGGCTCTTGCCTAGCAGAATAACTCCCGTCACGAGGTCATAAAATTTGAGGTCCATTGCTCCGTTGTGGGGGACGAAGGGATTCTTACCACATTCCGAACACGAGCCGCATGCCAGCTTTGTGGAACGCACATACCGTAGGGATGCACACAGTACGAGTATAACTAGTATAACTAGTCCCCGGTCAATCACAGCGAAGGCCGCCGGAAGGGAACCGCTCAAAAGAACAACAAAGCGAGAGGACACGGAATCTCATCAAACTCAGGGTCCAGTGCAGGGCAAGTCCCGGAGGTACCTCGCCATTGTAATTCGCTAGACGAGTACAAGCGGTGACTTGCAGAAAGCTGACTGGACCAACGGCCGTGGAATGCAGGGCACGGGTGGATCGTCAGGCACATAGACTGTTCCAGATTATACCCGAGAACAGATCACCATCATCAAACTTGGAATAACTGGGGACCAAGTGACCACATGCACCAAACACGCCCCGGAGCCTGCGCCGAGGTTGAAGCGCCTAAGAGGATTTCTGGTCACGCGGGCCCATTTTGTGGGATATTAGCCCTGCTACACGAGTTGAGACCAGGTCGACGAAAATGGCACGGCTTTTAGCCAACTCGAGTGCCCATTTCTCGAGAAAACCGAGCCAAAGCACGCTCGCAGGCTCAACCCGGCTAAAGTCGGTGGGATTCATTTGCCAAATGGAATGGCGCTTGGCCATCGAAAAGGACTCTCGTACTCCTGGCCGGAGACAACCTAACTGTCAACCTCGAATCGTCTCCAACCATGCAAGACGCAAGACGCAAGACGCAGGCCGCCCCCGACCAAATAAAAAAGGAAAAAGGATGACAGTGCCCACTAGGTTTGGGCAGCCCTGTGTTTTCTTCCTTCCACTCGCTCCAACCTCAGTCCAGGCCAGCAGCTGACTCGATCCACGTTCAAGTTGGCACCTGGTCATTTCTGGGCCACCCACACCAAACTCGAATTCGCCAGGTGCCTAGGGCGAAGGTATTAAACCCTATCTGACGTCCTGCAGGCAGTGTGACCCCATGGGAGAGTCCCTCTTGGAATAAAAACACTCCAAGACGCCCGCTTATTTCCCTTCGACGCTCCGGAGTACTGAGTACTACCATTCCTACCACAGATTATATAACATGGGAAAGCTACCCCAAAGCCTTTCCCAGTCTCGTAAAAGTTACGGGATCATCCAAAAGAAGGGACCAGCCCTATCCTATCCTGTTTCGGAACGATGGCACTGTTCAGAAAGGGGGACAGGGCTACCACTTGGGAAAGATCCGTCATCCGTATCCGCTGAGCCAGTCGCCCGGCGAGGCACATGTCGATCCTGGCTGTCAAGTTGACCCCGTTTCCTGCTTCCCCGGTCCACTGACACGTCGTCTCAGACCCTGAAATTCCTAACCAGGACCCTCGCCCCTTCTCAGATCCGACATTCTTCCCTCACTTTGGGCGTCCAGGGGTACATCATATCATCGATGGCCTTTCGCGATCTGGCTCTCCTTTCATGTCTTCCTTTCTACTTCGTCGTCGCATCGCTTGTCGAATATGCACTCATCTTTGTCGCTGAAAAGCGATACTTTGCACATCGATACTTCCAGTTTGGACTGCCAGTGCCGTCTTGCTGGCATCGCTCTCGGACGCGGCCCCCCCTTATCGGGCCTCTGGCATCCCTGAGATGCCCTCACAGCAGCGTATGCATTACACCACCAATGTTAAATCCTTTTCGAAACGCGTGGCCACTCAAACAACAGTGTTTCACCAACAAACCATCATTTGATACCATTGTCCGACTGATGTTGACATACGATGGCGGAAATAGTTAATCAGCATGACTTGAGCAAGGCTCTGACCGCCTCGCTCCGTACCGCAGCTTTCCTCCATTCGGCCCGCGACCAGCACGGTCGCGATTCATGCCATCTCCACTGACGCTAGTCGACTCGATGATGGATGGCAAAGACAACATGCCTACCAGTTAAAGAGAAAAGCGGTATGATCTATAGCAGGTCGTCGTTATCGCAGTGGCACCTTGCCGTCGCCTGACCCAGTGCGTTACCTACCCCCTGCAAGAGGTGTTGCATTGCTGTGCAGACTTTGGGCATCAGTCGAAGAAGTCCTATGTTGACGCAGCGTGTGGTTTGGGTCGCACCACTCCGTACAATTGATGGTAGAACTGACTCGTCCACCACCGGTTCTGCATGTTCTGCCCTTGACGACGACGACCCTGCTGCCGCCAGTTTCGAGCCGAACTCACGAAGCATCCTGTTGTTCCGAATGCATGCACTCACCCTGACAAGAGGATAGCTCACCATAGGTGCAGACACACATTATTATTCACCCAACCATTGCGATCTATGATGTAGCTGCAACCTTCGGGCTCAGAAGCCTCAAGACGTCGTCCAAATATCCATGGCCCTCCCCGCCAACACGGACTGCTCCCGATCGTTCTAGCATGTTCGCCATGCCTTGCCATTCTTCCGCATGCTTACCCTGATAGTGTTTGACACCAAGTCACCGGTACATGTCACACTGACGTTTAATGCGGTGCAGAGAGAATCACCCTCTTCACCTGCAGGCCGATAGCTGCAGAAGGGATCCCTTCCACGGAGCCTTCCATCGAGTGACCAGGTTCTCTCGCAAGAACCCAGCATGCCCCTGACTGCCGTGTCGTACCAACGCACGGATGGACCATTCCATACCCTTGGCCACTGTCTAGATGTGGCGTACAGCCTTGCAGCGTTGTTTGCTTGCACCGCACGTCCTCATCGGGAATGACGACAGCCAGAATCAGCACCTCTTCCTCCACCACGACGATCTCTCCTCCGGCTTCTGCATCCGCACAGGAAGCAGACCAAGGTAATAACACCACGTCAAAACCTTGCGATCGCCTCCAATAAATGCCCTACAAGGTACGAGATTCAAATCCACGCACCGACCAGCATCCGAGCCCAACCCAGCAGCCGCCGACTAGCTGTCCTTTAGCTCAGCGCTCCCACCACCATCCGGTCGATCGCCTCTACGACGGTACTAAGAAAAGAAAAACGCTTCCCCATACGGAAAACTCGATTCGGTGCGACGAGAAGAAGAAAAAGAAGAAGGAGAAAGGAGCTTGGACCCCTCGCAAGCGATCCTTGTTTCTCTCGAGTCTCACTACACTGCCACCTCATCTGCCTCCCTCGAAAATCCCGCTTTGTCGCACAATAGCCGCCCTTTCCCGACGCGGGAGGAGAGAAGACACCTCACGGGGGATGGGAGATGGATGGCCCGGATGCTAGTCGCCGACCCGCTGCACATCTGCTAACGCACGCACGCACGCTTTTCCACGAGCGTCGACTGACGGGCGGGGAGAAACGCGTAGTATTGCGTAGGATGGAAGAAGCCCCGGCCCCACCCCACCACCACCACCACACGCCGTCCAGCTAGTTCACGAGTACCTCACACCCACCGGCCGCGATGCACCATCGACCGTCGTCGTCCTGCGCATTCATTACCTTCCTGTTTGATGTCAACAAAACACACCATGAGAATCCGATCACCCTCCGTCGGCCCCCGTGCGCTTCAGTGCCACCATGTCCACGAAGTGAAGGACCCATCGACTGCTCGTAACCTCCGTCCGTTTTATTCCACGCTGGACGCTCGAGCGCGAGAGCTTGGGGCATTCTCAAGTCTGAGCGCTGGAAGGCTGAATGCGACGTTGAGTGCACGCTCGTGATCGATCTCACATGGAGCCCGGGCTGCATTTTTGGGACTGGTGAATTCCAGTACTCGTTTGGGACGTCGAATCAACAAACACAGCGCGCATACTCGCACTGCTCATCTCCCAGCAGCTCATCACGTGTTTTTTGTATTGAGTCTCCCTTGGACAATGAATGAAGAAGATACGACACGCAAAGTCACGAGAAACCGAAACGAACCACCATGCGTGGTTTAAGAATAAAGAGGCATGTTATTCACATCTCTGTTTGTGGGATCGTTTGCCCTTCCGTCCCAACCAATCAACCCATGCAAACTATTCACCCAACGCTCCATGCATACATATATTATTTGCACAAACACGCCAAAAACCCTCGATTCCGATTATAACCATTCATGAGCCGTGCAATCGGTCCACACACGATCAACATTTCATCCAAGCCTGCAGGTCTTTCCATCATTAGTGTCAAGGCCAGGCTATTGAAAGTGAGGTTTGGCCTTCGGGTAGGAATTTGAAACCCCACGCACAAGCCACAATGCCTTCTGTGGCAGTAAGAGGTCCAACCTTAGGCGTAGGAGTCCTTCATGGGAACCGTCGTCCCGGAACAGTCGTCGCCATATCGACCGAGGAATTTTTGGGTGCAATGCTTTCGCGGTCCAAGAACGACAAGAGACCAAACAATGCGCAACAAAAATCCATTTCATTCAAAAACTTTTTTTTGGTTGACCAGATGTCCGTGTCCTCCAGAGTATTAATCGTCAATCCGTTCCTCCGATCAAACCCCCCCCTCTCTAATTGCACTCCGGACCCGTTCGTTTGGGGTGAGGACTTTGTCGATCTCCCCAATGAACCAAAAAGAGAGATGAGTTGCGTCTATTAACAATAATTCAAGAAGACTGTGAAAAAGCCAGTTCGACGTCAAGTTGTGTCGTCGACCACCGATGCTGAAAAGGACTGCGAAAAGTGTCTGAGCGCTCAAGAACAGCAGACAGAAAACACAATTGGAAAACCACCTGCACGAATACGTGCCATTTGGATCGGTGTCACATCCATCATGTTTCTCATGAACCATCTCCCCGAGTGGTGCATCAAAACGTTGAGCATGTCAGACATCAAACCCATGAAAGCAGCATCGATTCGTCCATTATGTGCATAGGCCAGCACAGGTATAGGGCTGGCCCAACTGATTGCAATAATTGCAATTGAAGAAAGAAAGATTATTATCCCAATATGGCAGTTGGGGTTGGAGTTTCGGACATGAGTTGAGAAGGTGAGTGGTAGGGATATCCGAATGCCACTGGAGATCGCGACCGAGGCGGCGAGAAGTAGCTGTCAGCGCTCGCCATGGGAGACGATGATCGAGCAATATAGGATCCATACAGCTTCTGGGCCTGGGAAGATGGTGTTGGCGACAGGCTTCGAGGTGGTGTGGGTGTTGAAGACCCAGATGAAGCTGTGGAATGAGGACTGTCTCCAGTGCTCAAATCTGACGCCGACATATAATCAGCGGCCCCATCAATCATGCTCAAAGCAGACTTGGTGAGAGGTTGATTCTGCTTCGGCGTCCCAAACTGCAACAAACATTAGCACGTCAAGGTTTACACTTCCTGGCTCTTTCCCTGGGCACCTACAAAGCAGTACTTGTCCACTAGTTCCTGGTAGGACTGTGAGGTAAGTGGTGGTTTTTCCGACATCAAGGCCGCAGGCTTTGAGTTTAGTGTGGCAAGTCCTGGTGCCGTCGACACAGCACCAGTACCAAGAGCGGTGGGCGCAACACCGGATTTGATGAGAGCTGGTGATCCACCGTTGGTGATGATTGGCGAAGGAACTTTGCGGGAGGACTGCTTTGTATCCGCCCTTGGAGACAACCCACTATGTTCGCCCAAAGCAGCGAATGCATTACTCTTGGCAGCCGATAGCGATGAGTTGAAATCGTATCGGTTGCCAAACGCCTGAGCACCAGCCTTGTGACGGCGTTGCGGTGTCTCCGGGAGCAATTCCGCTTTGGATCGTGGGCTTCTTAGCTTGAGTCTCGGCTCTCCCATCAGAGAACCTGCAGATTGACCGAAAGAGCCGAAGCTGTCAAAGCCAGTTGAGAAGTCATCGAACGAAGTTACCATCGACTTTGGTCTTCCAGAAGAGGTAGGTGGAGGCGGCCGACTCCGAGGTAAAGCACTGAGTGGGCGAGCCCCAAGACCAGGCATGCCATTCTTACCATGGTTCACCTTGGCTTTCTTTGCAAAGTCAACCTGGTAATTGATCGTCCCGTTGTTGTCCCAGTACTCTTGTCCATTGGTTGTATACTTGATGCAGAAGAAAAGTGTTTTATTCTCGAGATTGGCCTGGTCAGCCAGTCTGATACTGAAGTTGAAGCGATCGAGCCCATCGTTGTGCTTACGACGAACATCGGTGTTGTAGTCAGCAACAACTTCGGAGGTGGTTTTCCAATAATCGAGTGTGAAACGAGCAACAACGGTTTTCTGGAACGCCATGTTTTGAACGGCAACAGTACCGATGAGGTTCTTATTGTCCGATGAGAGGAATATGCGCTCAACGAAAACTGGCTGTGACCTTCTCCAGTCTGAATCGGCGGGGAAGTTTGCCAGGCGCATTTCCCACTCATGAGAAGGTGAGCGAGAGCGGGTGCTGGATTCATCAGACCCGAAGGGAAATTCACTCTCACTTTCATAGTTTTCGACAGGTGAGGAACCTGCACTGACGGCAAGTGGTCTGTCCACTTGGAGAAAGTGTCGCACATGCTCAAGGTGAGAGTCGAAGTGAACGGCCTTTGAGTACGTGGGAGTGCCAGGCATACTCGAGGGCCGCCGTCGGGAGGATGCTCGAAGTGCTGGTCGAACCAGTTCGCCAGACTTCTTCCGCACCATTGCAGGGCGGTTGGGGTTAGGAGCGTCACTATCGCTGGAATCGCTATCTTGATGAAACGTGACGGGTTTTTGGATTTTTGGAGGCTCAAAAACGATATTGGAATCAGTGGACGATCTGGAATGTGAGATTTTACGTGCTTCCCGTGATAAGGGAGGCCGAGAGACATCTGCCGTGGTTTGCTGAGCAGAGCTATCGAGTTGCTCTGCAGGCTGAGTTTTCTTTTGCTCGTCGGATCGATTAGGTGAGCCGGATTTTCTTTGTTCTATTGACCTGATGGCTGCATGCAACTCTTTCAGGTTGTCCCCCAGCTCGAAATCTCTGGATCGACCTCGAGAATGGGATTCTTCGTCATCACTAGAATTGTGGGAGGAGTCGGGAGGGGAGATGGTCATTCCTGCAGGAATCAACGAATTGGTCACAGGCGGAGGCGACTCGCGGAGGCTACCATGAGGATCAAAGCTCCCGTTCTCGCCGTAAGCCTCGCCACTGTGAACAACGTCATGTTTAGCGTCGTTCAAGGAAGGACTGCGTCGATGTTTGGTGAGATATGAGGATGAGCCATGGGAGCGAGGGAGGTTGGGTCGGCTAGATGAAGCCGGCGGCTCTGGGGAGAGAAACTGTCCTTTGATATATGAGTGAGACCTGCTCACAGAAGGACTGGATGGTTTCGAAGCTGCCGGGGACAACTGGGAGGGGGGTGTGTAAGGCATTCGGTCGATTGACAACCTATATGGCCCAAACCGGGAACTGCAGAAGAGAGCGCGCTACGAGGCTCATCAAGAGCAGCCCGAGGAGGGCTGAAGAAGAATTGTGGGGGAAAGGTGAACTAATATAGGAGAGGAGGTCAGTACCAAGGTCAAAGCATTGTGGACAATAAAAATAAGGTCAGTGGTAGGTGCGTTGTAGGCGGAGAAACCAGCGTGACAAGGAGGATGGAAGTCGTGAGGCGTGTCAGAGCGCAGCCACCACAACGACTCAAGGAAGATGAAGAGATTGCGAGGAGGGCCTCTGCGTCAGCTAGTGGGCAGTAGAGGATAGTACTCACCGAGATTAGAATGCAGGAACGATGATGCACAAAACTGGGATCCGAGCACTACCAAGCCGCCTTGGACGTGGAGTGCAGTGCAGTGCAGTGTAGATGCAAAATTGGTTTGGGGGGTTTGATATGTCAAATCGGAGTTGATAACAAGCAGAAGTGCGTACGCCACGGGATCAGAGATCAACCGTACAGCGTAGGGAATTCTTCTGTGGGATGGATGGACGCGACAGTGCGTCCAGTGAACTGTCGAGGAGCAGTGTCGACACCGAAGAGGGTCGATGCTTCCTGCTTCTTGCTTCCTGGTTCCTGCTGACTCTACTTTCTCGTCGACGTGGGAGAGATTTTGATTTCTCCTTCTGGTGATCCGTGTTCGGCTGGGAGTCCCTTCCCACACGGCGTCCGACCACAAAAAACAAAAATCCAACTGAGGCCCTGGATCTCAGAAATTCCCAGCTCTTTCTGTATAACGTCGAGATAGGCTGGCAGAGGCCTAGAGGATGAAGGAAGGAGGTGAGGTGAGGTGATGGTTGTATGTCGAGAAGGGGAGGTTTTTTTGGTGAATTGTGGATAGCAGGCAAGGAAAAGCAGGCGAGCAGGCCATGCAAAGGTGTTGAGTCTGGAGCAGCCAAAGCAGGCAAGAAGCTCGGATCTGCAGTAGTGGATGGGTGCCAGTGGGCGAGAGTCAAGTCTGAGGATCGAGTGGGCGGGTGGGCGAAGGAGAGCAGCTGAGTGGATTCTGGAGGGCGCGGCTCGAGCACAGAGGCGAACAGATGAGGAGACCAGGGTTTCTGCGAGTTGCAGGTGAGGTGCAGCAAGGTGGTGCGAGGAAAAGTGGGCAGCAGGTGGCGCAAGGATGCCGGGTCAAGGCGTAGGGGAGGAGACAAGGTCAAGATTCAAACTCCAGGCCGTCAACGCCAGTGCTGCGGCTAAGAAAGTTGCTAGTCAGGCTAATGACGGGTGGGCTTGGGACCTGGACGTGGGCATGCAGCTTCTGATCTTGGGTGCGCGATAGCGAGTAGCGAAGGAGGATCATGGTGGCCGAACACGAGTCCCAGTCACGTCTGAGTAAGTGAAGGGGCAGACGGAATTGCGCGGCTGCTACAGCTTATGTGTGTATTCCGGGGGCACTGTTAACCATGCCTAACCATGCCCATGTCCAGGAGCAGGAACCCCCCTCATTACGACTACTGGGACGGTTGTGTCGCAAGCGAATGTATGACAGACTATGGAATGTTTGGGGAGAGGAAGATGTGGCCGGTTGAGGACGGAGAATTGAACTTAGTGGCCTCCTGAAATAAATTGAACTGAACTGGGAACTCGCAAAAGCCCGCATTTGAGTGATTATGTTTGATAACGGCCACAACGAGGTAGCGCGCCAAAGTGTGACGTGCTCAATTACTTTGGGGGAGGGCACTACGGGGTACCGTCACTGGTATTTTTGGTGACAGGATGAAATGCATCGCAGAGCCCGAGCGAGTACTCAGAGTGCTGAAAACAGGTACGCGGCTGGGTAATCAATCCGTTTGCGGGAGCAGGCGGAAGGGAGGAACCACGGTGAAGGTCATACGAGGATAGTAATCGACACATGCAGTAAGGTACTGTACTGTCGTTTCGAGCTGGGGAATTTGAGAATTGAAATGTTGCTTTTGTTAGAGTAGTAGTAGGTACCGTGGTAACTTGGTGTGCTGTTCTTGCAAACGCAAACAATCAATGTGTGTGCTTACTGTACAGACAGGGGGCCACTGGAGGTTTACGAGGAACTTGGGGACCGTGGCACAGAGCATTGGTTGCTAGTACTCGTGAAATCCCTGGTATCTGTACAGGTATGTGTGGAGTAGATCGTTACTACATACTGGTACCAAACGCGCACTTGTCCTCTGTCCTCCGTACTCCGTACCTTCCATGGCCCAATGCAGTGGCGTAGGCGGCTTCGGCTTGTTGCCCCGCCAAACAATAATGGCAAAGAACGCAAAAGGAAAAAAACATCTGGCAGAAAAAGGTCATCCTGGCCCGCACATCCTCGTTTTGCGAGTCTAGCTCGTACTCTGCACTCTCCGACTGCGAGGGCAGACTCAACCCCCATGCTGCTCTGAATGGCCTTCCATCCTGCTGCTTATCTCAGGATAGGTGCTACAGACATAGTTAGCTGTTTTCCTTGCATATCCGGGCGCACCCGCCAATTGGCAGTGCTGACCGTATAGTGGAAGGCCATGATTGCTATCTCTGGGTGCTCGACTGAGGGACAGAACGCTTCCCTGACATCTTAGGATCCTGTTTCAGAGAGAGTTGCGCCAATGCTCCCTGTCCCCCATTTGCCAGCCGTCAACTGATAAGCTTTGCCTTGATCCAAGTTGTGACACGACCTTACCGCCTAGGGGCCCCTCTCTCAATCGGTGGCTCTCGCAGAACAGACATGGGGTTCTCGAGCACTCTGCCCATATGAACCAATCTCCCAACAAGAATCCCATCCCGCATTGAGTGGGCGAGTCCTTGGATCTAGCCACCACCGAGCGTTAGTGATCCGGGTAATTGAGCCGGAAGCATCTTCAACTTCCAATTAAACCCTGTGGAAGGGAGGGTCCGGGACCCTTGGGGTACGGCTCGCTATCGGCGTCTTACGACTGCGAAGTACGGAGTACCTCGTACGGCGCAGAACTCACAACAATGTGGTACAGGGGCACTTCCAAGGCAGCCTTCACTCGATTAAACGACACTTACAGTAGTTTCCGTAAGCTTGGAGAACCCCGTCGGAATTGGCAATGCTACCGAATTGTCTGTACCTGTTGATCGAACATGATGCTCCGTACAACCCGAATTCTGCTGCAGCCTAAGCAACACTCCGTCGTGAGAACGATAAGGACGGGAATCTGGTCTCCGCAGGGGGCAGCCAGCGGGCCCTTCGGCCCTTAGAGAAGCCGCTTTAGGCGCTTTGTTAGCTTCCCTCGGCCCCAGATGCTAACTGGGAAGGCCGCTGGATGGGGCAGGCCTTACCTAGAGCAGGAAGTCGGCGGTGCCTAACGAGCTCGGAATCTCCATCCACCAATTCACTGCTCGGTCGCAAGCAGAAAATAGCAGCTAAAGATGACCCCGGCTCGCCAGGGAAACAGTTTTGAGCGTATCACTATAGGAGTCACAACTTCCATGTCTGGAATAATGGGAATGTGTGTACGTAGGCGAGTTTCATCCATCTGCAACTGCAGTGATTGCAGCTGGGTTGGCATAATTTGGGTAACACCCAGGGCACGGCTTGTATGGCAAGCACAGTACCAGTGCTGTATCTATCGAGTACCTTGGTATAGCATCCACAGACAGGATCACAAGACCTTGCTCACCATGCGGACAATAATACACCATGAGGCGTCAATCATCTATCAAGGCGTCGCATTAATGCAAGCTCCAATGGGTATCCAGTGAGAGGATGCGAAGGCGTAGAAGACGAGCAACCAGGAAAAGTCCGCCAGGCGCGTCACGTACTCGGCAGCTCTTACAGAGAGAGAGAGGGGAAGTTGTCCACAGGGGACGGTCTGTTGGGTAATTGGCAGTTCGCATGCACCTGGAACAGTCTTACGTTAGGCTCCATTACCCCGCGAACGGGTGGAAACTGGGAAGTCGCGTCCACGACCGGCACGGTGTTTGCGGGCACGCCAGCCACTGGCACTGCCAACGATTGCCAACGATCTCCAAGGCTCCAGGGCCCTCGGTGAACCAAGGTTTCTGCTTCTGCGAACAACGCGTGCCGCTTCCAGCTTCCAGGGTGACGGTTGAAGGGCGGTGACCGAGGATCCACTCTGATTCGCTGGCTCAGGGGCTGTTGAGGGCGGTGAAGCCGACCCCTGGACTCCGGGCCAGTCAAGCCACTGCGAAGAACAAGGCAAGCGAGGAGGTGACCCAGTTGGATTTGTGGGGAGCAGCACGATCTTGGTTCTTGACTACAGAGGTACGGCGGACTGTGCAACTGATTCGCACGCCGTCGAGGCGCTGTGGCTGGTACGGACTAAGTACGGGGTCCTTCGTACTGAGGCTTACAAGAGATGGATCGAGGACGGAGTATGGAGTACTAAAGGCATCTTCCCTGCTCCCAAGTCCCATAAAATCTCGTGTGGTACCAGTGTACCAGCTGCTAGAAATACCTGTTTGTATGACGTCCAAACGACTTACTTGCGTTATCTCACTCTACGCTCTTACTTGATTCAGCCTTCCTCAGACCACAATCAACAGTGCCCCCAGGTGCCCAGTGCCCAGTGCCCACAGACCCTCCCTTCATTCAATGTAATGGGCTTAGCATGACGCACTGATTCCACCGTCAGCCGTATGCAGTAACTTCAAGCAAGCAAGAAATCACCGTCTTCTTGTTCTATGGCACAGCACTTGCACCACCAGATGGGCACACCAGGACACGCGGACCGTGGAGAATAGATTCATCCAGATAGGACTCAAATCACAACTTGAGCCGTCCATTGACAGGTCCTGCGTGCTTTGGCATGGTAAGGATAAGGGATAAGCGAGTTTGCCACCCAAGCTTGACACCCCCACGGCCCAAAAGGCGGTAAAGGGGGATACGATCCAATCAATATGAGACGTGGCGCTATCAGACTTTTCGATGGATTGCTCCCAAACAATGTCCAAGGTGAGCTTACCAGACGACAGTTTCGAGCCGACCGCCGCGCGCTT